ATTTAAAGTGAAAGACTTTTTTTATAAATAATTGTAATAATGGATAAATCATCCGCTACAATATTAATTCAATTTTCAATTTTTCAATTCCTTTTTAAGACTGTTAATAAAATTGTATGAATGGACTCAATATCGAGTAGTAAAATCATGAATGTCATTGCAATTTCCTAACGGACATGAATATCTGTTTGTGATTACTTCCGTATTTTTACATTCTCTAAGCTTATTGTACACATTTTAATATAATTCAAATTGTTGTATTAAGTAACTTTTTTAGAAATTTTTTCCAGTTCATTCATAGCTTGTGGAATTTCTGATTCTTTATTCTTTTGAGAAAAAGTGGCTTGGGATCATTCGTCAATGACATTTTTAAGGGAATGTTGGAAGGATTGTTGATGGAAACAGCATTGCACTTGGTGCTGTTAATTAACAGAGCTTGTGCTGGAGCCCAGTTGGCTTCTTAGGGAAGCCATAAATGACCATTTGCCTCCTTGCTCCTAAGAATTAGACAACAGTAAGTGAACGACCCCAGCAAAAAAAAAAATTCACAACAATTTGACGTTAACGTGAGAGAGTGACAATATTACGTAGCAATAACTTTATGGAAAAGGCGAAACGCTACCATATACGGCTATAATAGGCATTCTTTTATTATTTTGTTATTCTTCATGCTTTCAATTGAATGTCATGGATGAAATAAATCACTTTTATTTTCATATTTGTTTTAAAGAACAAATATTTGAGTCCAAAATTTTCTTTATTGAGTATTCAATACCTGTTTAAAATGACTTGAATATGAAATATTGATGGAGAATTTAATCGATGAGCAAAATATAAATAAATAAATAAAATTGAAGGTTACGCCAACGCATGGAAAAAGAATCTTTAAAATCAATGAATTAAGAATATTTCACTCAAAAAAATATTCTATTCTAAATAAGAGACATAGCTCTATAAAATCCATATTCATATTTTTAACGGAGTCTTTTTAATGAAGTTTCGAATCAATAATATTCAAATATTTATTGACATAATCTTAGACATTTAAAATTAGCGGATTAGCTGCGCTTCTAATGAAAAATAATTGAAATGTTTTTCTTTGACGTAAGTAAGTACAAACATCTTTTTGAAAGGGTACGAGATGATCAATACAACAATTACAAGTGATTCATGATTCTTTTACATTTATAGAATTGTTTATAAATACAATGGGAATAACAAGTGAGCAGTTCTTTCGATACGCTTAAGTCAATTAGATACATTAAGTTTATTCCTATGGCGAATATACAGCACAACTCCCACAATACAAGCATTGTGTCGCCAAACATTTCTTTCGTTTTACGTACATGAATATTGTTCAGCAACAAGCTATCGATGCAAGTTATCTTAATATTACTAATTAATTGAAATATTGCAAATTAGGTACTTAGTATTTATCTAGAGTATTTAAATATGAAATTGTTAGAAAATAGTTGTTGTAATACAACAAGATTAAAATTCAAGTTTCTCATGACGATATACCTTATATGGCACGAAACCTTGATTTCTTCATCAGTCATTGTATATAATTTCATGAACAGATATGCATGTAATTAATAAATTAATCTAGCTATATTGCAATCATTTAGAGTACAAATAAGTCAAATTCTCCAAAGTCACGTTTTATTTTTGGAAGCAAGTCGCAAGAACAATCACCAAGTCATCGTTATTAATGTTTGTAAATAAATGCGCAATTTCAATTATTATATTAAACAAATATCTCACCTCTATTGAAGCTGCTTTATTTATACGTGTCTTAAATGTTCCCAAATCATCACTATTTACCGAAAAGTCCGAAAAGCGTCTCGAACTCCTACGAGATGATGATTCGAGAGAATCAATTGATATGCGTCGCGGTGTTAATTTAGTTGACGTTAAAATACGTCCATTGCCGCCACTTGATGAGTCGCTGTTGCTCAATAAATCAATGTCCATTTTGTTTCCATTTTGAGACATCTCATTTTCAATGTAGTCGAATGATAAACGTTTAATGATTTCTTTCAGTTCATCATCACCCGCTGTTGTTTGTATCTTCTCTGGCTGCTGTTGATCTCTTTTGTTATGCTTTAAAATTGAATGTAATTCTTTTCCCTTTCTTGGCTCGGGACTTTGCGTATAATCGCGTTTAAAGATCTTTTCAGATGTAGACATTGACTGCTTTCTGTCAAGATTTGTTTTATTGTCTTCGCTTGCATATTGGTGGAAATGATTAACATTCCAATTTGACGATGCTCGACGACTCATGTCAACAGCTTTTGTTGTTCCATTGGCATTTGTTGACCTCAACATATTTGGAAAGCTTGAAGGATGTTCCATGCCCTTAAATAATCGTGAGTTCCATGTTTCCGATGAATTCTTCTTTCCATTTGTATCAATAACGGGCATTGATTCTCGTCTCATTTGATTCCGATACATTCCATTTTCATCATTAAGTATATTCCGATTAATTAGCTCCGTGAACGATGCAATTGAGTTCCGACTCTTTTGATATTTCTCCTTTTCCGTATTAAGTTTATCCGTAGAACAATAAGATCGTCTCGATTCGAGATTTGATGCCATTGATCCTCGACGGGACAAGTTCTTATTACTACCAATAAAATCAACACTACCGCGTCTTGATGATGTTTTTCCATGAAAATCACAATTTTTGTCTTTTTTCACATCAACAATCGTCACATAATGTGGATCATTATGCGTGCGAAATATTTCGTCAATTTTCTTTATTTGCGATTCAATTACTCGATTACTATGCCGTGACATGTTCACAAATTTATTATTATTTTTTTATATCCAGCTATTAATAACACGCGAATTACATTAAGACAATATAATTTACAAGATAAATATGACAAGATTTAAATTTCCGACTACTTCAAAAATATATAAAAAAAAATAACAAATGATGTTGTTCGTTTGACTCAAACTGAATGACTAAACAGCGTCAACAAAACTTTATTTTCTCTCCTCGCAAGCAGTATGATTCTAATTCATCCCATTTTTGCAAGTTGTCTTTTTAAAAAAAAGAGTAAAAACTCATGTTTTATTGTGCACACACAAATAAGCAAGAAAATATCAACGACTTTGTGTATATTAGGTTGACCAGAGTCACTCCCGAGCATTTTCTGACGTTGTGGCGCCAGAAAATTAACCATACTTTGAAAATGCCCTGACAATGCTGACGCAATACATTCCGATTAAGATGTTCAAGTGTCACAGAAGACATCGAAAATAACCCATAATGGAATTACTGCAATCCAAAGCATTTAAGGCAAGTAAAATGGTCTGATCCAACAATAAATTTAAGTAAAAAGTTTGATTTTATTTAAAAAGTCTTGAGCATTGTACAAATCCTAGTTCTAAACCTTAAACGATGTAATTATTAAGAGACCAGTGATACTCGGGACTGCTTAATATGAAAACAATTAACTCAAATGGGAGAATAATCTGACAACTCAAAAGCTTTGAGCATATATGGATAACGGAGAGAGAGAAATAAATAAATATAAAATATATTCAAGGTTGAACTCACATTCAATAAGTGTTAATGAAAAAATAGTAAATAGATAGAAGTGAATGAGCATAAAAGCTTCATTGCACATTCATAAGATCAATAAATTATTTGCACTTTCTTTCGTGACTTGCGAATGTTCAAATATTATTGTTAAGACAGTTTGCAATAAATATGCAGCTAGTCGTAGGCGTTAATCAACTTACTTTCTACTGTCAATCAAAAAAAATTTGTGTATTCATCTCGACGAAAGCAGATTATCCCAGAATTCCATAAAAAGCTTCGTTACATGATCTGTGGACATTTTTACGCTTCCATATGAATGAATCGTCATTGTGTGGAAGCTAATTTATCAAGTCATATGAACTACTTTTTTGAATAAAAAAATATAATTAAGTGAGATGTTCACATTTTGTGACAATAAATGAGACTTTCAAAAAAATCACTACAAGATCCGCACAGAATATTTTTTTTTTTGGTCAGATGAAAACTTGATTCTTTTATGTTAATTAGTAAAGTAATAAAAAATTGGAATTCTTCTCACCAATACTCTAAATCCAGTATTTAATGGATGTAGTCTTTTTGGACCATACTTAATTTAATTTTCAAGCAAAAATAAGAATTTATTAATATGAGGACAATAAACAGAATTTATGGAAGTTCTACCTTCTTCATTCCTTTTTCTATCAACAAAAAAAAAAACACTTTAAGCTATTGCAAGCTGTCAATATGACGAGATCACACAAAACACTAAAATTAGAACTAATTAATTATAATTAAAATTGCAACTTGCAAATATATAAAATAGCGAAACATGATCTGAATTTATGAATGATTTTTTTAGTGACGTAAAAAATAATTAAATTAAATTACTTGATTTCACGCCAATCGCAAGCAATTATTCATTGAATTGCATGTTGTTGTTTTAGTTGAAAAACTAATAAAATAAATATTATTTGAAGGGCTAAGTAGAAGTCATATTTATCACCCACTTGTACAGTCATTATTGACTTTGTATCCACAAATCACTCATTTTTTTACTCAATCTTGATGCTTTTCCTAGCTGAAATCATTCTGAAATTTACAGCAATTTGAAATCCGAGCTAGTCGTAAACATTTTTTGATACAATTGAATTAGAAACTGCTTCACTTTTTATAGTCAAACTGTTAATTTTTTGCCAATTTTTCGACAGCAAGGCTTTCATTATATATGAGAAATTCGATAGGGGTCAATCACTTATGTTGTTCAATATTGAGGTCTACAACACTTTGGGTATGAGACAGACGATTAGACAGTGTTTTCATGCCTACTAGACATCATTAATGAATGACCCCTTCAATATAGCACAACAATAAACCACGATGTGGTTCCTTCAATCAGCAGCATTGACCTCAAATCTCAGAATGATTTCACTTTTAACTATATCAAAACTTATAATATAATAATTCTTACCAGATCAGCTTCGAAAAATGTCTCCTTTGGACTATCCTTTATAATAGAGTCGCTGAATCCATTTGCTTTCGTCGAACTAAACAGGAATAGAAAGTAGAACAAGTTTTTAAAATCCCTGGTAATTATTTTTCTTATTCAATTCTTGTTTACCTTTTTCCACCCATTGAATTTGAGCTGTCTTTAGAATTTTTCTGTTTCTGTTGAAACTTTTCAAAAAGTTCTCCACCGCCGCTAGCAGAAGCCTCCGCATTTGACACTTGCTTCAGTGAGTTATCAAAGAAACTGTGGATATCAAAAGATGAAAAAAAAAAGACATTTACGAGCGAGTTTCAATAGACTTTTTTTTCATCTCTTTCTGGAGCATTTGTTGCAACATAACACTAACCCATTTTTGAATGTATAGATGGGTTTAATCTATGTTACATATCACAGTATTACGGATCATAGGCACAAAAGAAAGAAGTTATATGCATAAAACATGTTCGTTTGCAACTTTTGTGTTGGGTTTCAGGTTGTGGACGGGGATTAATTTCTTTCTTTTGAGTTGTGATGGTTCATGCTCAATTTTGAGTAATGAAACTGTACATCATGAAAATTGAATTTTCATATAATACTAGCTTACGATTTGTTATTATAGGTTTTCATATAATACTATCAATGTTAAAGCTCTCAAAGTATATCTGAGGTTCAACCCTTAACATCTCATACAATTCCTAATAAATCTTAAACTTTCAACCCAGAATCACATGTACACAACAAAATAAAATGAATCACTAGTTACAAACACGCCGTATGAAGTCATTCCGATTCATTTGAAATATAGTAGAACAAATTCTTTTCTTTTACTCACTTATTACTATTTCGAACAGGTAAGTCTTGTTTATTTTCTAGTAATGGATGTTGTTGCATCACATGGTGAATTGGAGGTGATTGTATTGGAACCATCGGTACATGCGGTTGTTGAGAATGATTAGGTGAGTGTATGTGTTCATGTTCGCCGAATGATGAGCTTTGTGCATTTATCACTCGTTCGTTTAAGCTATCTCGACGTGAGCTCTTTGCTGTTGATGTATTTGGGCTATCTTTATCTTCTTTTTGTAATGAAAATGTCAGTTTTTTTTTATAATTAGAATTTAATTATTTATAGCTACAATTATGGATATTTACTTTGAACAGGTTCTGGTGATTTGGAGTTAATGGAAGCTATTTCGTCAATCGACGGTAATATTTGAGGCTGAGTTGATTGATGGATACACAAAAAGTGTTCATTAAACAAATATTTACGAGTTTAAAAATAATAATTCTTACTTGAAAATCGTTGAAATTACTGCTTAGAAATACATCTCCATCACTTTCAAACAAACGATCCACACTTGATTGCATCATTTTACCAGAACTAGGTTTTATTCCGGTCAAATGAAAACTAGCGAAACTTGATCGCGACATTCCATATCCATCTTCCGTTCGTTTTGTTTCTGCTAAAGTATTTCATGAATGAAACAAGAAAAAAAGTCGTATTTTAAAGTCTGCACTTAGGCAACAAGTAATGCACGAAACAAAAATACATTATTGTCAAAATTATGTTTAATTTATTAACCAAATCATGCTATATTTTAATGTTGGAAAACTGGGTAACATTTATGTTCAAAGACATAAGGATATGCAATAAATATTGAGTTTTCTAGCAACATGTCGCACAGTTTTTGAAGAAAAAGGATTCACTAAGGTGGATTTTCACTCGAGTTCTAGGATTTCAAATAAATCCGAAAAATCAAAAATAAATCGGGTGGATTTAAAAATTAATCTATCGGACTTAAAAAAGCTAATCCAAGAACTACGATTATCCAACTCAGTCTAATCAAAAACTAGCTTTTCATGTTTATGCAAACATATTTTATACATATTTCATTACACGAAAGAGAATTCCGCCTGTCAGTTCCGACATTTTTAAAAGAACAGAATTAAGCCATATCTTAGTTGCAGACTTATCGAAAATATGGTATATTTATTTTCAAGAAATTTGTTTTAATTATAATTATTCCTCCTCAAAAAGCATACAGCAATAATAATGTTATGCAGAAATTCTTATTTAGTTGCTGCTTTTTGAATACACACGAATGAGCAAAGCCGTCCTACTTAAAAAATACTTTTATTTTGTAAATTAACTTACCGAGAACCGTTGAGACAGTTGCATCATATGAGGGCACAAGTAAAGATTTTGTCATTAAATCGCAAGCTGTTTTGGGTCTTGTAAAAGGCATCACTGAGTGAGGGAAAATTTTTGGTTTAATTGGTGTCATAAGCATGTGTTCCGTCCATGAAGCTTCTAAATCGGGTTTCGATAATCTCTCGACATCAACATTTAATGTCTTTTGTTCGAATGGAATTGAGAAGACATCAGCTGGAATTGATTGTAGCCAACTGAGTAGTGATAAGTCTGAGTCGGTAAATCCATTATTATTGTCTAGAACTTTGCAAAACACTATTTCATTTTTTGATTCGCCATTGGTGTCACCGTTTGCACTTGGATCACTTGTTGCTTTCGCTTGACAATAATTCACACATGACTCATATAATAAACCTTTAATAACTAATTGAATTAATCGATCATTCTTTGCATATATATTTGTAAGATTCATTTTTTTATCACCGGGTAAGAATTTCTCCACTAATGGAAATACTTCTTTAAAACACTGAACACGAGCTTTACTTGGATTCCAATCTCGATACGATAAATGATCACTAAGACGCGGCAATGTCAACAATAAACACAAACCCGAATATTCTTCTTTACTCGGTGCCAATTTCTCGAGAAGTCCTAAAACTTGAACCACTTCCTCGACAGTTCCCTCAACATTTGCACCCATTGTTATACCAGCAGCTTCACTTTTAATGCACAATAATTCAATATATTTATGTCTTAAAATTGTATATTTAAATAATTTCATGTCAAATGCTTGGAGTTCACAAAGTGGTTGAATAAATTCTAAGACATCATCCCATTGACCATCTAGAATCAGCTGTCTGAGAAACAGCACGTCGTCTGAGTATATTCCATTGATTACGCCCGTTTCACGTTCCTGAAAATTATTATTAATCATCAACATTTTGTTAAATGAGTATTTTCGGATACTCACCAATGCGAGTTGAGTAATGTGCAGCTCACGATTACTCAGAAATTCTAGTGATATCCTTACGATATCTTCTTCCCTCAAACTTAATCGTGACATTTTGTGTGATTTACGAATATTCAATATTCAGTAACTGAGAATTTACGTCGAACCAAAAAGAAATATTCAATGAAGCACCTATTTAATCTGAAATGAAGTAAGGAAAGAATAAGACTGATGTAGGAAGAGGAGAAATAAGAAAATATGTATGGAATGGAATATATAGATTTTTTTTTTCAATGCTGCTGTCGCTGCCAAGCAAGCACATTGATATTTACAACGATTATTATTATTATTATTGTTGGGCTGTTGATGGAAAAAGAGGAACATTTGAATTGAAATATATTCTAATCAATAATTTTTCGGCGATAAGGCTGTCAACAGCATTAAAAATAAAAATGAAGAAAGTTTGACTTGTTGATAGCAAGGCACAAGTTTTTCTTATTGCACATATCGTGTACATCCCAATTTTTATTTTATTCGTTTATTTCGTGTGTACTACATATTGCTTAGACTGAATCATGTTTTTCCACTTTGCACAAATTTCCTTCTTCTTCTTATACCTGCCTGCCTTCTTGCTCTATCTTCTTCTATTTCTATATTCACATAAGAACTTTTTTTTATGGCCAACTTAATAAGAAATTATTCTGAACGTAAAACACAAAATTCATTCACTTAATTCTGATTGTGTGCTGCTTTTTAATATTTCAGCAGCAGGCTCAGTCAAGCAGCTACTCACACTTTTCACTCAATATGTATAGCTAATAAATGATTTAATTTCTTTAACCCGTAACAATTTTTCTATTATATTTTAACTTCTTTTCATGTTGAATCTTTCCATAAAACATATCGGATAATGCACAACAACGTAAAATGAACGGATTTTAAAGAAATCATAAAGATAATAAACAGTTAGGTAAATCATTTTTAATTCCCAACTTTATAGATTTTTTTCATTTCTTCTTCGTTCCTTCTTCATTTTTTGCTAGCTACTTCTGTGGTTTATGATATTGACATAATCATATTTTATAATTCACATTTACATGATTGATATTAATAAAGGAAATAAGTCAACGGTGTCTGTATCCAAAATATTCAATCACTTTTCGTCATGTATACACAATTTCCTCAAAAAAGCTCCCAAATGTTTCGGAAAATTAATAATTTTTGTATTTCTGATCTTTAAATTCCATCACTTTTATATTCCTTTACTCCTTAACATAGCACTTACTTAAAATATAAGCTTTAAACACTTTGTTCCAATACATAATTTAATGTTTTACACTTTTTATTATTTTTTACTGCACAGCTCGTTCGTAGCTCTTGTTTACCCAAAAATTCAAATTTTTTAAACACGTTAACCTGAATTAATCCGTTGTTAATGATTCAAAAATTGTGTAATTTTTCATTGCTTTCTAAAGCTCAAAAAATATTCAAATTTTAAAAAACTGTTTAAAAAGCTCTTTTCAAAAAAAGCTCAATTGTTTATGAAAAATCGCGAAAAATTTGAAAGCAGCAGTAAATACATCAGCACCTTAAGTCAATTTTCTACTCTATAAAGCATCTGAAAGGCGATGAGTCGAAAAAACAAGGCATAATTCAATGAATTTCAGTTAATCATTTTAATTTATTTATTTTTTTACATTTTATGCTCCTCACATTGTTTTTTTATGAATGCAATATGATAGACTAAGCATTTTTATATCAAAATAATTTTGGACATTATAAAAACTGTGCAATCAAACTATTTGAATTGTTTGGATTTTTCTCTCTTGTTGCACTACATAATTTACATAAATTATAATCTTTTTATTTTCTTTTTCTTCTCAATAATCATAAGAAACTAAATTAAATTCATTCATGATTCCTTGCGAGACTGTACGCAAGTCTGTACATAACTTAAATTTCTGCTCTTGATAATTATGTTTTATTTTATTCATTATTTTTTTATATTTTATTATATCACAAACACATTGTAAATAGTTGTTTTTTTTTTTTCTTCCTTTAAACTTCCTTTTTGTTGCAATGAAATAGTAATGAGTTAAGCCATGGGTGACCAACGGTCGTTGTTTTTTTGAATTTTGACAAAATAATTTTCTCGCAAAAATTCAAATTTTGAACGTTACAAAAACATAATCGTCAATTTTTGCAATTTCTAGCTTAATTAATACATTGGCATTAGGTTAAAGTTTATTTTGAGCTGTTTATAAAGTCACTAATCTTGTTCTGTACCTCAAATTAAGTCGATTTCTTGTGATGAAATTCAAATTGTTCAGAGCCGTTAAATTTTTATGCCACCCACAGCATGTAAGTTTTGAATTTGAATGACTTTTTTTTGTGTTGATTTAAATGAAAAGTAAATTAATTAAAACGCATAATTTTAAGCAAATCAAAATGATTGAAAATAACTGATTCAGCTTTTAGCATATAATGTCATAATCCGTGTTATCGGAATAATTTTACATTTAATCACTTCGGGAATATTAATAGTATTATTAATAGTTTTTTTTCCTAACTGACTTGTGAGAGAAATGTTGGATAATTTTGATTTTTTTATTTTTTTTTTCAAATTAGAAGTATTTAAACTGTTTTTAAATTTGTTTTTTTTTTCACATTCAGATAGAGCAAATTTTTTTAATACAAAAGTGACAATAATTCTGCTACTTGAGCTTTTTGTGTCTATATATCTTTTACTGTGTGTGTATTATCTATGTGAATATCACAAAAAACGCAACAAAATCATTCCCTCTAAAGTAATAATTTTTCTTCATTACTAGTGACAAATTGATTGCAGCTTAGGAATTACTTTTTGTGCTGTCCATTAGTTTCATATACTCAATAGGATTCTTAATCGCGTTAACGAAATCAAATTGCTTCTGTAATTGATGATTGATTGTTCGTACCCATTCATTATGAAGCTCCGTTGTCGGTGTTATACAAATGAAGCTTATGTTTGATCTTTGAGGATCTGTTGAACAAATAAGGAACTTTTTGCCTCCAGAATCTTCGATATCTTGAATAGTCATTTTATTAACCTGCGAGGATTAAATATAAATTAGATTTATTTGTATGAAATGACAGAATTTATGAGGAGCCACAATGTAGAGATTAAAATTGACAGCTTTCCGAATTTCTATCGATTATTCTGAGCCATTATTTTTATGTGGAGCCAGTTTTACATCCTTATTTGATTAAAAGGAATAAAAAATTTTAACAGTTATTTTCAAATTAAGTGTTTGAATAATTTCAAACATTTTATGACCGTTATTTTTTCATTCTCAGAAAATCGTTGTCATCACTGCTTAAACACTGATTAATCACTGACTTAAAGCTGATATGTAGCAATCTACACTACCCGACCGAGTTTAAAAAGTCAAATCAAATCGTACCTGTATATGTGATTTGTAGATATAAGCTGGATTTGTGAACTGAGTCTTTTTACCAACAATATCAGAAAATATGATATTTTGTTCAAACAAGAAGACTTGAAGTTCTTTGGGCTTCTGCATAGAGCTTGTATTACGTTCAGCATTATTACATTCTACACAAAATAACGTTCCTGATAGCAACAATCGTCCTTGTGCAGTTATCTTTCCCTCAAATCTCTGAAGTCGTCCTACTTGCATCATATCATTTGCAGCTTTGGGTACAATCTATGAAGCATATACATAAAAAATAGATTAAGCTGTGATATTGGCATAAAATTATTATTAACTAATCTTACTTTCATAATATTTAAAGCTCGTTCCAACTCATCTGCGTCTTCCATCAATCCAGCTCGTCTAGTGTGCTTAAGAATATCTTTAATCAATAGTTCGTATTTCATTATTCTTTGTACTGGTTTAATGAGCAAATCGCAAAGCTGTAAAATAAAATTAATTAATTAGTGATGCATGATAAGTCATGGCATGAATAATTCAAGCCTTACCAAAAGTTTGTGCTTTAATTTTTGGCGAATATCATCAAAGTAACCCAAATGTTCTGATACAATATGTTCCGAAACTGGCTTATTTTGACAATATACAACATACATATGTAATTTCCTTTCACTACGCTTAATAATTGCTCCTAACTCGGAAGGATTTTGTATGCAATTCTGAAGTGCCTTTAAGAATGTACTGCAATGAAATAAAGTTTAAATGACAAAATGTTCTCCTTGAAAATATGTTAATTATACTTACTCTCTATGCCACTCGTAAATTGCTTCAACATTTCCAAACACCATCCGTTCCTTTCCACCTTTAAGGTCGTCCGGCATAGGAATGTCACTATTTGGATTCCTTATTTCTGCTATGTAGCTGTGAGATTTGAGAAATTTGTTATAATTTTAAATCCATCGGATTAATATTAAGTCCCATAGATTAATCCTTAATCCATCGAATTAATTTTAAATCCACAAGATTAAATCTTAACGCTTCAAGTGTCATTAAGCTTACCCATTAACAATCAATGATAAATCCTGTACATATGATTCCTCAGTAGTTACTAATTCCTTAAGTGCAAACATTCTCTTCTTTAAAATATCCTCAATTGAAATTGCAACATCATTTGTACAATTCTGTAAATATTTAAAAGTCAATAAGTATTGAAAGAGATACACACGTGAATTAACATCTTACATCTTCATTCTCTGATACTTGTGGCGATAATGACTGAGGATGTTTTAAACTTGCCTCGTGTTTCTCCTAGGAAAAACAAAAATTTATTATGTTAATTTCGAGTGGATTTTTTGGAGCTACAAAGCATGCCACTCACCATCTTTTCTTTCACTATTTGTTCAATTTCTGCTAAATCATTCTCATCAAGTGCTTTACTTCCGGACGATTGATTCGATGATTGAATACAATTATCATCAATCTTTGATATTGGCTTCATAGGTGGCGGTAACTCGAGACATTCAAATGCATCTTCCTCTTCCTGATTCTGAATAGAATTTGTAAGTTGCGTTGATCGGACTGGTAGTGTTGTTGATGAAGTTGACACGCCGGCAACTTCCGTTTCCTCTTTCTGCTTTTCTTGCTGCTATTAATAACAATAAAAATGTAATAGTTGTCGGCATAAACAATCAATTCAATTATTTAATTACCTTTCCCTTTTTGTCAACTTTCTCCTTTTTCAATCCTTGCTTCTCGACTGTCAACTTATCTGTCTTGCTATGTGAAAGTTTTCTGAGCTGTTGAGGAAGCCACTTTTTACTGAAAAATAAAAGAATAAAAGAATAATGAAAAATAAGTTTTTGAGAAATTGCAATTTCCGTAAAAAATCAATTATTTCAAGTTGTTGAAAGTAGTATTTTAATTGATTATTGAGCTTTTGGAATGCAAACCTCTTGCAAATGTACACATAATGGCACGTGTGGCTATATAAAGGCTCAATTTATCAAAACATGACTAAAATCATAAGCTTCAAAGCACTTTGTATCATGAATGAGAGCAAAAGGAGACATTTAGACAAGGTAAAGCTTGCATAGACATGGTCTGTTGTGATGAACTTAGACGCATTGTCCAATTTTGTTTGAAAATTATACTTGAATTTTTAACGTTTAAAAATATTCAAATTTAGGAACAAATTTCCGGTTTGAAAAATATTATTTGAATCTCAGACTCTTCCGAACTTCCTCAGACTCATGAACAGACAAAATGCAGATTCATAAGTCTTGCTTCCTTCCAAAAAACAAACAAAAGAGAGAAACAGAACAAAACAATCATTGTGAAATGATTCACACAATATCACAATACATGACGAATGATACCGAATAGAAACAACAAAAAAAAATAAGCACAGATTCACATTTTTATGATCGTTGTGATATGCTGAGACAATTCATTCTGCTCATCCATTTCAGTGCCCAAATTATGTTTAATAATATTTTTGATTGATTTAATCTCAACTTATATAAACTTGTCACTCGTTCACATATTAAAAATATACAAATAGTAAATTCATACATACGAAAATCTATGGCAAATGTATTTTCCTAATCTTATCATTCAAGAGTTGATAAGACCTTAAGTATGATAAATGTTTCATACATAAAAAAAAAATATTTCCTCTTTATCTTTTATTTTTTTTTAAAGAATCAAGAACATGCTCTAAATGTCTCTTACTCTGTCTTTCAAATGTCTATCGTACTTCACTTATTGCTGTTTACTCTTGCAAGCTAAATTACTTTAACAAGTCTAATTTAAACAAATTCCTCACAAAATTTATACATGTTTTTTGACGGTATATCTAACAGGCTTAGTGCACGACTAGACCATGACTGAATTAATTTGTGGAAATTGGAGCTTACTTCACCAATGAAAAATTTTTGTACATACATGTAGTACGTATATATTTTAGTGATAGTATTGTATGCAAATTTAGTACACTCTTTTTTTTTGATAATCTTTACAACTTACCCACTAAATCCCTTTCGTTTGTTTACAGGCGATGTGTGATTTGTACCGTCATTTTCTTGTGGTTCTAAAAATAATTTCAAATAGATTAAATTATTAGATGCATAAAAATTGAACTGGCTGTGACGAAGTTATAATAAATTTTCCATGATTCTGTTTTTATTCAGATTTACTCAATTGATAAGTCCTTGAACATTAATAAATTTGTAGCGTATTTTTGAAATTTAAATTTTAACGAATTTTTCGAATTTAATTTTTTTCTAGTCAAAATAAACTGAACTGAAATGAACTTAATATTTACTGAACTAATGAAATATATCCTTAATGAAAGTATAATAATCTTGTTGCATATAATAAGCATGTCATGATGATTCTCATAATCACTTTTTACTTCAAGCATGTGCAATACTTGAACTGGTTGCTAGATTTTATTGCTTTCCAAAACATTACCCACATTCACTGTATTGACTGTTTTATAGCGATAAATATTTGCTTTACATAAATATTAATTCAAATTTGATAAGAAATTTCCTTCTAAGTTGTGATGAGCAAACGGAAACGATAAACACTTAAGTGTGAATGCACATAAATTCATGAACTCTAAAAGATGAGTAATAGTCTATTAGTAATGTCGTGTGGAATTATTTTCCTTGCCCATTTGATGTAAATAATAGGCGTAAAAGTTAAATATTTATTTACCAAACAGTCTGTCTGTTTGAGTGTTAAAAGCACGACACATGAAAGTATAAAGACTTATTTCTGTGGACATTGATGTCTACCAAAAAAACAAAATGAACTGAATAAAGGAAAGAAAAGATAATTGAAAAGCAATTGTAGAAAATTCACTTAGTCGCAATTTGTCAATGTAATGAATATTTAAAACCGTGACATTTGAGAAGCAATAATGACAAATATTATCCTCGCGTGGAGCGCTCTAGTTGGTTGCTTATTTGAAATTAAGCAATTTTGACAGAAATTTTATCGGATATTTCTAATTTAAAAAGTTAACGACTTTCGAAAATTCAAATGAACTGAACAGAAATGAACTTAAAGACTAAATAATAATACGAATTCGAAATAATCGTTGGACGATGAAAACATAATGCACAGTCAGCTAGCCAAAAGCAGCACACAACATCATCCCCTGAAAACTAACCTTCATCACCATCAGCTGTCCGTCTGTTTTTCATTTGGGTTGGTGGTGGTTTGAGAATGGACGATGGTACTAAACCTTCCTGTACAATTTGTTCTTGAGTTGATGATGAGCTTAAGGAAGTTGTTGATAAATTATTATTATTATTATTTGATGATGAATTTGTTAGGCGAACTAGACAATAATCGGGAGCACCCAAACAGTTTGTATCGATCACTTCTACTTGCTGGCCTTTTTGAACGCTCAATTCTGCACTGCCTTGCGCTGCCACATAATCAGAAATGACCCATGTCATTTCTACTCCACCAGTCTGTGAAAAAAAAACAATATGAATTTAGCGAATTTGAAATTTATTTTTTTATTAATAATTGTGGATAAGGTTAGACTTAGTATATATCGGCATTTAAGAAATTAGCACATACGACAAATTAATGATAATATACGGTATTTACACACAGACAGTACAAATGATAAGCACATGTTATGACAAAAATCATAATACTGTATTTGTAGGTAAATTAGAATACAAAATGTTGACATAGTGTTGATAAATTATAATTATAAGCTCAAGTGGAGCTGAATGTTTGATAAATTCAATTTTTTTATAACGGTAATTTTGAATTCAAATTTTAAACCAAAAACTTGGCAAAAAGAACATAAAATTCAAGTCCCAAAAGATCGTTATTTTAAATAAAAGAATTCCAGATAATAAATAATGAGAAGGTAGGTACAATAAATGAATAAAGTATAACACATTTAAATAAGAATCTACATAATAAAGGCAGTCTAGCAGTCTAGCAGCCAGCCACCATAATTGAAACATTAATGACATCGATATCAAAAATTAACCTGTAGTTTTTTTGATCCTACATAAGATCTAAATGAGCCAGGAGTATCGATTGTATGCTGACGTGATAAAGCAGCATGCGATTGTTGAACGGAACTTTGTTGACGGAACCATGGAAGAGAAATTTTCCGTCCGCCTTTACTCGTTTTCATAGTCAGAAGATCCATTTTATTAATAATTTATGCTGTTCCTGGATAACTTTTTTTTTATGTTTTTCACTCACGCATTCAACATAACAAATTAGTAATTTTTTTCATATTATTATTATTCTTATTATTCTATGTGATGATAAAAATTATTTAAAGTCATGATAACGTTTTAAAGCTTTCATTGTAAATTTGACACTTTTTCTTCTATGCCTTACTATCATTATTTATTTGATTAAATCTCTAAACAAAGAACAAGAACAAAACGGAATTAACATAAGTCAAATGAGTCACTATTATAATTGTTAAAAACAGAAGATTCTAATAATAATCAGCCTTTTATCGATTTCACACATTTATTATGTCCAATAATTTTCACTAATCAGTTCATAATTTCCACCTCATTAACTATTTTTCATCTCCTTCCTTTTTAATATTTGTTTAAAAATTACCACTCACTGGCTGTTATTAAATTACTAATCCAAAAAAAAAAATGTAATGTGATGAGTACAAACCACTACTCATCTCCCTCGTTTGCTTGCCTCGCTCACACTCAAATTTACGACCATGTGTGAACAAATAATAATAATGAATGTCTAAATAATGGACAATGGTGTAAAATAAGATTTTTTTTTTTTCATTGATTTTTTCCCTTCTCTCTCTCAAAGTGCGATCATATCGGAAAAGGCTTCTTTTGATTTACATCGGAATACACTCATCATTGTGAGATTTGATAAGAGCTCTTACACGTATTACATTATGCAGAAAAATGTGTTTAAAAACCTCCCTCCAGACTATGAAGAACAGTCTATTAACACCCCCCCCCCCCCCCCCTTTAAAACATTTTCTGAACACACCCCTGTGAGGAAACCCCTCATATTATATATTCTTCCATATCGCGTTAGATTTGTCATTTAATTTTAAAAAAAATTCCACCATCCTCAATCCCCTCTAAAAGTATCTAGTTCAAACTGGTTCAAACAAATCTATTCATAACTTTTGTCAAAAATGATTATAGTAATTATTTTTTCATGAGACTTTTAAAGTCCTTGAGTTTGATTCTTTTTTTTTTAAATAAATTATTGATAGTGGGAATTCTCAAAATTAAGTTCCATTTGTACTTCTGAATGTGTTATTTAAAACTGAAAAATTTATCTCATCTTCTTGGAATTTAAAAAACAAAAAAAAAAGCTATTTTGAAAAAAGTCAGGTCTGGAAAATAGCAAAAAACTAGCTTGACAGAAAATGCAACAAAAATTGTTTAGAGGTTACTGTTGCTCCAATGCTGGTACCAGCATGTTTTTTTTTCGTTATCAGTATGTTCAAGCCTTGGAAAAGTTCATTGATTTCAAATCAGTGAAGTATGAATACATAGTACTTGAAGGTATGAAGGACATTGATTACAAAATTATGGTTTCTAGATGATAGAATTAAGTGATTTTATGTGGTTTAACGGAAATGCTCTGGTCTCGAAAGCGACTTTCAAAAATAACAGACAATTTTTAAAAACAAACAATAGATTTCCTACTTTTAAAAAGGTCTAAACAGTCGTAATCTTGCGTAACGCAGTAAGTAAACGTGTGCTCTTAGTATCAAACTATATGATAGTCGATTCCTCAAAAATTTTTGTCTTACATTAAACCTTAAGAAACTTTGACAGACAATAACTAAACCATAAAGGCGATTTATGAGACATATCAAGAATGACGATTGACCTTAAGTGCCAACGATGTAAAGTCGATTGAGCATATTGCAATATACCTTAAGACTTAAAATTAATTTCAAATGCTTTTTCATCTTTGACTTCTTCATTACTTCTCTTAATTTCCGCACAAAAACTATACAAATAATCGTTTGATTTTTAATTTGAGAATCTGTCAGCTCTATTTTTGAAGCTTTACTGATCCATAACTGTAGTTATGATCCATAGATGTTTTCCGAACACTTTTGATGAAATCATCACTGGAATCACCCAAATTCATTAATCATATCTAAATCATAGTTGTAGTAAACTAGCACTATGTTGATGACTAATTGAATTAAGGAATAACTTAGATTATGTTGAGTCGGGAGCATAATTTCACAATCTTTCATTCCTTGACTATTACGTCAAGCATCGAAATGATCAAGACTTTAGATTCAGACTTACAAGGCAGTCATGATAACTTTTAACAAGCACGTAAGCCTCAAATCACCTTGATATCATCAAAAATAAACTTTTTCTCATGTTAGGCCATATTTCCACCCGTTCAAAAATCTCCAATTAAAAATAGTCTTGGTTGGCACTCCTTGAATTATTATTTTTTTTTCTTCTCCATATACACACTCTCCTGTCAATTTTCTTCAACAATGATTATAAAGATGCCGATTTTTTTTTTATTTCATTTCTTCTTTTTAATCTCTTTTTTTTTGCTTTTCATTTCTGACTCAGAATAAAACATCAGTTCATCAATTAGCTGAGACAAAAACTAAATTGTAATTTTATTGAACCATCGCCAATTTACGATTTAAATGGCTCTTGAATGAAAGAAGGCTATTAAAATAATCAAAAATAATATTCTTTTTAATTAATTTGTGTCCAAATCGAGCGGAGAGATAAAGGAGTCATCGACAGTTTTGAAGTAAATTGGGGAGCTAGTTAAAGAGTATTAATCTGGATCTTACTAGCTCTCCTACTTTTGATAGAATATATTGCAATATAGTAGAGGAATCAACCTCTTATGGTAAGTTGCTGAGCATAGAATCCAAATTTAAATCTCATATTTCCATCAAAATGATGTCATGAGTGAATGACCTCTAAAAAGTACATCCCTGAATTATATCAATGTGCAGCAATAGTCAAAATTACTCTCATACTGCACTTTTTCGGATGGATGGTGCTTGGGAGTTTCAAACCAATTTAGAGTTCAAGAAGAGAGCCTAAAACTCAACTATAGCTTTTTTGGATGCAACATGAATGTCAAATCATAAAAAACCGTATTTACTGAATGAAAAATCAAGTTACAGACGGACAGACAATAATAACCAAATAGCTTCTAACACCAAGAAAATAAATGATTTTTCAATAGAAATTGAGTAAATAAATCAAAAATTGAGACAATTAGATTGGTTGGACCATCTGCTTGGTTTTTCAGAGGAACTGTCTTAACATTTTATATAATAAAGTCATCAAATGTCATCACAAAATTTTTATAGATCAAAAATGCGTGATTGTAGCTCGTCGTCACTCAAAAAATTGCTTTATACTTAAATGTCCTCTATTTTCACGAATGAAGCTTGTCTAAGTCAGAGTTAACACCTTCAAATTAAATATCAAATTTCACTAATAATTTTTCACGTCATATGCTGCACAGCTCAACGAGAAATGGAAAGAAAAAAAAAGGAAATTTAAGACATGACTACATGTAGGAAATAGGGATGTAATTGAGAAAGTGAAAGGTAATGGCATCCATGATGATTTGAAATATTTTTAATAATTTCCACCGACTAGAACTGTCTTTTTCTATTTGACCTTTAAAAATGCTTATTTTTTGTGTACACTTTTTCATAAATTTTAAAACCTTTTTTTGAGCATATAAGCAGACATTTTTGTTTTTCTTTTTCTTCACAAAATAAATTTTTTTTTCTTTGCATAACGAAAAAAAAGTTGACCAATTTTTCCTTTATTCGTCTTTCAGAAAATATTTTCTGCATTCATTTCCGTCCGAGACTCGCAATATTTTCTTTATTTATTTGCAAAAAAAAAGAATTCATGTTCAGCCTTTTGAGAGATTTTCATTTTCACTTCTTGTTCTCATATTTTTTTTAAAAAAAAATTAAAACATGTTATTTATCACACTATTAATTTTAGTATAGACGAGATATATAAATTAGTTAAAATTGACTTTACTAACATCATATTTATATAAACTTTTGGCTTTTCTTTGTCTTAAAATACATTCACTAAAGACTTTTAATTTTTGTAAAATTTTGGAAGAGGTTTTTTTTGAATAAAAAAAAAAGAATTTTATTTTAAAAAGGTGAAAATCACTTTATTTTCTTACGCGCAAAAATTCGCGTCTACATTCAAAGACTTCTTGCGAATCATAGCGCGCGTGTTTCTTACAATATATCCGAAAAGCACAAATGATGATTGTGTCTGTGCCTTTTTTGCTCTCTCAATTTCCTCTCACAATCTCTTTAAACCAATACAAAGGCATGAGAGGGAAAAACTTTTCATCATGTAGCTTGTATGATAACAGACAATATTACATTGATTGTGTAGGGACATCGAAAATATTTTGAGATAATTTTTTTTAACGTGTTTTTTTTTCTTTCTTTTCTTACGATCAGCATACTTAGTGGCTGTGTGAAGCACTTAAAATTTTTAAAAAAAATATTTCTTCAAGCTCTTTCAAGTCTTAATCAAAATAAACTAATAATGCAGGAATTTCTGCTGTAACAACTTTCCGAAATTTTTGCGCCCACAATATTTTTAATCTTCCAAGTCTTTTTTTTATTTCCCGTTATCCGCATGCGCTCGTTATCGAAAAAGCTTTTTTTGATCATAAAAAAATATGAGTATCATTTTCCGATGGAAATATCTCCAACCCTTACTCAATTAATGGCTTTTCTGGTTTTTGTTATTATTATTAAACATTTTAAATAACCATTGACAGACTCAATCCATCCTCTAATTTATGTTATGATTATAATATGCACACATCTATCTTGTTCTTTCATTAGCACCAATTTATAGTAAGCTTAATACTTTTTAAAGTGTATTTAGCTCTTTACTGTGGATACCTGTTGTGGACTTTGATTGGCTGACTCTCTTTTTCAAGTCAAGAAAGTCATGAATCTTAGTTTTATGATTCTTATGAACCACGAACGTTAACTGTTGTAAATCTGATTTAACAGATTTTGAAATTTTAAAAAATAACTGTTGTAAGGTTTCATAATTCAAATTTTACAAAGCAGTATTTCATTACATCTCTATATCTTCAATCTGTTGCCTTCTTAATCATCTCCAGAATAATTTTATTGATCTGACCACAAAAAAATGCGCTCAAATCATCCACGCAATACAATATCTGCGACTTCAATACTACTTTACTATGTGTTGAGAGCTTATCATTCCCTCTACGCGAAAATGAAAATTTAAATGAAAATATTTTGAGAGATTCCGTTTGCTTATTTCTTTTCTTTTCTTCTCCTTCATTCCTTTCTTTATTTTGCACAATAATTAAACTTGAAAAATCTTTTACAACATAAATAGATTTATTTATAAATAACTCAATCGTCTAGTTACGCACAATTTAAAATCAAAATACTGAATGCCAAAAATAACACTCATAAGTGAAATATCGTGGTGTGAATGAAGAGCGAGTGAAGAAGAGGAACAAATATTTCTTTAATGGGACAAATTTGTCAAAAAGTCATCAATATTGTTTGTTTCGAACGGAAATAAATGGAATCGTGTTTCAACGGTTTTTTTTCACATTTGAAAACGTGAAATATTTATTTTTCCGTTAGAAATTTGAATTATTTTTTTCGTTAAAAATAAAATAAAAATTTGTTCCTTAAAACATTACCATGAAAACAAGAATCTCGAGTACGATTCGCATATTTACGGGGAGCAATTTGCACATATGACACATTTGTGTCTCATCGGTTTTGATTGATTCCATTTAATTTAAAAACGCTCTATCCGATGCATCTTGGCTCACGTTCAAAGATCGTAAAATAGATTTCAGTGTCATTAAAGTTCATTAATTTTAATACTCTAATCCGTGCCGAGATATACCAGATAAATAATTTATATTTTTTAATATATATAATTTCACTTACCTTTTCACTATCAGTTGTGTTTCCAGAACCAAAGCTAGCCAATGAACTGCCGTCAGGATCATGTTCTGCATTGTTGATAGCTTGCTCGTCGATATCTTTCGATAATCGTTGTGATGTTGATAAATTATTGTTATTATTATTATTATTGTTATTACTACTTTTATTATTTGTCATTTTTCCAGGCGATTTGAGAAGCGCGAAAGACGTTCCCGAAAAATATGTTTCTTGGATAACTTCACGTAAACGTTTCACCCATGTTTGCTTTGTCTCAAGACTATTTGCTTTTAATACAATTCTAAAATCTGACATCATCGGTGCTCGTCCAGTCCACACAGCAAATTTACACTCATCTCCTTCTATATGCTCAGTAACACCTAACTCAGATGTCATCACTTTGTTTTTATAAACATATTTTACAACGCCATTTGTATCCTTTACTTCTTTTGAAAATAGCAGATACAAATCAAATAGGAAGACATGACGGTCACGTCCTTTTCTTATAATTTGTTTATTGTCCCATGTCGAAAATGAATCCTATTGTTGGTTGTGGACGAGAAAATTGAAAATCAAATTAGCAATGACGTCACTAATGTGCATTCTTGCAATTGCACGACCATACTAAGACGTAGTAGCAAGAAAATGCGCAAAGAAAACTTACCTGCAGAACTACGTCACCAAGAGAGCTTATAGAAATATCACAAGACTCTAATAATGATAAATGCATTGCGTCATTTGCTTTTTTTGGAATGTTCATACAAACTTCAAGTCCATCTTTAATCTCTCCCTGTCCCTCATCACAACACGACTGAAGATCTTTTAAAAGCAATTGATATTTGGTAATTCTTTGAACGGGTTTAATCAAATATGCTGGTAATGAGTGCTCGATTTTGCATTTCTGTTGGATCTCTTCGAAATATGTTCCACCGTTTTGAACAACAAAATCATTCGATGCGGGCTTATTTTGACAATAAAAGACATACATATCAAATTTTGCAGCCCATGTTACAAAGCAATGGCCCACATCTTCCGGAATTGTTTGATACTTTTCCAACTCTCTTAAAAATATTAGCTTATGAAATTGGTAAATGTCCTCAATATTACCAAATACGAGGCTTTCCTTCCCGACTAATTTCTTTGGCACATTTGCACCGCTTTTCATATCTTTCAAAAATGTTTCTATACACGTCTCCAGATCCTTTACATAAGTTCTTTCGGTCTGCAAAAGTTCAGCCATTATAAATTCTTTCTTTCTAGCCCACTTGCGCTTCTCTTCGGAAATTTCTTTGGATACGACATTTAATTTGTTTTCTAATGATGGATCTGAGTGGCGATATTCAGGATGAGATGATGCTGATTTTAATGAGTTTGTTGATGATGAATCTTCTTCAGAGATTGTTAGGCGTCCTAGAGATTTCTCTAAATTTGTTCGGTACATTTCCATACGATTACTGAAATCTTTGTATCGATTATCAACAGTCGCAACCCATTGCTTAATCGAGATGGCATGTGCATGACCTTTATCTACCAGCGAATCTGCTAATTGTATCAACAATTTCACTCGTTCTCGTGTCTCCTTCGCCGTTCCTGTAGAAATTTTTTTCAAAACGTTTATTAATACTCGTACTTAATAATCTAATGTATTACAAGTCTGAGAAACGCACTAGTTTAATACATTTTAGACATCAACTTGATTAATAGGATTTTAAGATTAATCTTGAGATTTAAATAATAATCCGAGGGTTAAAATAAATCCATGAATTCTAAAGTAAGATTTCGATTAATACTTCAACAGACACTTAACAATTACGGTAAGGTATCAACAAATTAAGGACAAACAAGGTTTCATACTTCTGAATCTAAACTTTGAAAATAAATTTGGGAAGCAATTTGTTTTTCTTGGTGATTTCATACTTTATAATACAAGTCAAATCACAGTGTTGCAAAGTATTATATAAGCAATCACGTTAAACTATTTTATAACTGAATAAAGCAGACACTTAATTAAATTAATTCAATTTAAAGTCTAAATATATATTCGAGGAACTTTTTGATTTCTTTTGTCACTTTTAAATTCACAATTTAATTCTTTTTAACATTAGTCGATGCCTGATTAATCATTGTTGATTATCTATAACTTTAAGTTACTTATAACTAAGCAGAATACAACATTAAGTTAAATTTATTCAATCTCAAAAAATAAATAAATTCGAGGAGGAAATCACTTTCTAGAGGGGTAATCAACTTTCTGTTCAAACATTTTTTATCCGTTAGAAATTCATTTTTCAATTTCTTCCATATTATAAAGCATAAAAAAGCTCACCTTTAAATTCATTATGTTCTTTCAGGAGAACCTCCCTCTCTTCGTTGTTATTGCAAATTTTAGATGCTCTGGATGATAAATAGGCCTCACCAGTGTCATGAATCCATTCGATTGCTTGTTTTGCTGATTTCTGTATTAAATTAGAGTTAATCAAGTTATCACATTTAGATTATTATATACATGCCAAACATACCTCAAACAAAACAAACTGTTGACATTGATCAAATGCTTTTTTTCGTTGTGTCCAATATTCTAAAACATGGTTTTCTTGTGACAATAAGTTGTCTAAAATCGATTTAACACGAGCTTCGCTTGTTCCTGGCGATTGAATGTTATAGAACTGATATGCACGACTAATAAACTTGAGAAAGGTTTCTGCTGTTCGTCTAGCCAATGTACAAGCTTTTAAAAATGCTTCTTTTTGTTCTTGATGCTTTGAGATTAACTGCACGATTATTTGAGCTTTTTCAGAACTTCCACCTCCTGCACACCAATCTATTGCACATAAAATGATTAAGGATACTACAAAGTTAAATTAAATAAATAATAATTGCCTTCTTCACGTTTATATTCCTTCTCTAAGCTGTCCAAAACGGAACAAACTTGCTCGGCTGTTTTGAAAAAGTTCATTCCAGATTTCATTAATTTATGTCGATCTTCTGCACTCGTCACTAATTGTTGCCATTTCTTGGTGACATCATCTGCTATATCAGCAATAGCTTGTGGATCATAATGATTGGCATTGGTCAATGCATCAGCTCGATATTTAACTTGAACAGCAGCCGTATGAGTTCGTTCGATTGCGACTTGAAACTGTTCGTGTTCCTTCATAAAGAGCTCAGCATCTTGGTAACTATTGGGAATGGCAAAATTGGCAAATAACATGGCTTCTCCATTTCTAATCCATGAAATGACTTGATTGGCATCATTTTGGAAGTGACAAAGTTGGATAGTTTGTTCCAATTTAATACGTTTAGCTTCTGCCATATCCTCTAAATCGAGCTCACGTTCATGGAGAAATTCAAGTAAATATTGGACTTTTGTGGATGCTGTGTGAGTCGTATCTGCCATAATAATAAATCCACAGTTTTCAAACAACTGACTGAGTTCTTGGCCTTGCTGTAGAATTTGATAAACAGTACTCTGCATTTGGCTAACACTTTCATTGTGTAAACGAAGAGATTGCTCAGCAATTTGGTAGCTGCGTGTTGCCTCAATGTGCTGCAATTCTTCGGCCCACATTTCAAGCTGTGACGATACTTCGAGAGCATCACGTTCGAAAATTTTCAATCGCAAATAAAAGTCAATTCTCATCTTACGAGTCTGCCACAATGATTCCATTTCCTCGCGATTCTTTGTTAATCTTTCTAATGCATTTTGTACTGCTGATATCGAACCTGTTGAGTCATCTTCGGGTTCCTTTAAGGCTCTCAATTCCTGAATTAATGCTTCCGCTTGCGCTTGTGCCTGCATACAAGTTTGTATTGTATTATCCTCTTGTTCCTTACATTGTTCTAATAATCTCTCTGTTTCGATTAAATCCTTACTCGATAAACTTAATACTTCATCATTGGAAACTTCATCACGAAGTTGGTCTACAAATGCTTGAATATCCTTTTCATTTGTGTAAAATAAGACGGCTAAATCTAAACGTCGACGACGTTGTTCCACACGTTCCGCAAAAGACGATACATGCTTCTCTAAATTACACACGACAGAATGTATTTCTGCCGGCGCAACTTCACCTGACTGTGCTAATTCGTGTGCTGCAGCTAAAAGCTTCTCAGCATTACGATAAGTATTTTGTGCAACATTCTCGAAATGTTCATGACTTGTCTGATAAATGCGAGCCTTCTGTAAATTTCGTCCTATTCCTTTATTCTTTCGAAGGAAAACGTCACCGTGATTTTGGAGCCAATCCAAAACCTGTTTCACATCCTCTTGAAACAAACGTAGTGCTAATTTTTGATGTAATCTCAATTTCCCATTATGCCATTTCTCTTCCAATGCTGTTTATACAGGAATAAAGTGTTAAACATGCCCAATAAAATTGTTAACACGTTATAATAAATATACATACCTCGATGATGAGATAAAATTTGATGAATTAGGTTCAAGACATGTGTTGCTCCTTCACTGTAATCTGCTGCTGGATTGTTGTTATACTTTACATTTTCCTGTAAATGTGTATAAAATTACTTATAAATGTATTTGACCTTTTTTTTCAGGGTCGTATTAGTGTTCTTACATTTTTTCTGGTGTTTCCATTAATGCTAGATGATGCTGGCTGATTACAAACTTGAACAAGATGATCTAACTGATAAAGGAGCTTTTTACTAGTTGAATGTACTTCAGTATAAGCATGACACATGGCTTCATATAATGATTGGTGGGTTCTAATTGCAGTCTCTAAATTTTCTGCATCCGATGGATTTGGAATTGAAGCTTCGACAGCAGCTGACCATGATAAAACACTCTCTGCATACTGTTCAGCTTTATGATGAAATATTACACTAAGATTTAAGACAGCCGTTCTTTCATCTAATCTATTTGTAAACTCTTTCCATGTTTTATCTAGACGCGAAGCAAGTGTTCTTATATGCTGTGATGCATAATGATTTGTTTCAACTAATCGACCAGCTACATTTAAGATTCTTCCGATATTAACGCTGACTGTCATTGTTGTGACTGCGAATCTATTATGATCTTCTTGGAGATTTTTAGCAGTAATATGATTAACACCTATATCCATATAATTTTGTTGAAAGACATCACGATTGTGCATTATCCATTCAAACATCTTTTCACAATCTTGTTCAAATAATCTCAATTGAAAGCATTGATCTAGTCTAGTTTTCTTTTGTTGCCAAAGATTGAGCAATTGTTGTTGCGAGTTTCTCGACGACTCTAAATGTTGTAAGATCTGATTAATTGTATCATTAACATCTGGATTTGGTGAATTTGGTGATGTATCGTTTGAACTGGCATTGCTTGGTGTTGATGTATCTATTCTATTCAAATATTGGGCCAATTTTCCCAATAACTTTTGTCCTTGACCTTCGAGATCATCTAATGGTAATTTGAGTATTTTTCTCTTCATATCTCCGTGATTGTCAATCTGATGTTTAGCACCATTCACCTCCTCGGCAAGATCAAAGTGCTGAAGGTCTTCTTGAAAATCCTCAATTCGATCGGCAATGTCGTTTGCTTGCCACGAAAAGTCCTCATACGCGAGACGTAATTCAAGCCATTGAGCATGATCGTAATGAAAGAAACCATCGAAATCGGATGTCAATTGTGACATATCAATAATTTTTCCAATTGCTTGAATAGAAATGGTTGTGACCTCAAATTTATATTTATTGCTTGCGATTGAACTCCTCTGTTTTTGCCAAAAATTATCTGGCTTTATGATCAATACTTGATGTACAAGGTCACCGAAATTTTCTTGCAATATTTTCAATGCCGTTTTGGCACCTGCTGATGTATTTGCATTTCCTCGCATATCTATTATTATTGTAAATCCCAACAAACGTGCCTCATTGCTACAATAAATGGAAATACTCAAATTAAATATCCATTCAAATTTAATTACATACAAAATTGTTCGCTGGATGTTACCTTGGAATATTGAAAAGATAGCTAATTATCTTCTTTAAATCTTCGGGCTTAATTCTTTCACGCTTGGATGTTGAAGGAAAGCTGACAAGTGGTCCACCACGACTATCTCGTCCACCAGAAATAAAAGCAACTCGCTCTTGGAGTAAAGTTATAATATCTAAAGCTCGCACACCGGTCTCCATTATGATTATGATGATTATTATTGGTTTTTGTAAACTTTATGTCCTTTTAATTTACTATAAAGATCCTGCAATCGATAAATAACGTTGTTAATACTTGAATACAATTAAATTTTCAATTTGTCAATTTACTGCGCAAATTTTGGACCAACTTTTGTTTACATTTTCAACGGTTTTTTGACATTTAAATTTGATGTGAATTTACATGAAATGACAGAACTACTGAACGACTAGATATAGAATTTAAATCTGAAAGGTCGTTACAAATTATTAAGTAACATGACTTATGGTCATGTTTTGCCGAAAAAAAAAACTTTATTAATTAATGATTCGTTATAAAAAGCTTTTAAAAACTAATAATCCAATTGAGAGTTGCGTGAAACGCTTCGAATGCATGCAATTTTAAAATAAAAGTAAATGAAATAGAGACGAGTAAGGCAATTAGACAATGAAATGAAAGCTCCTAGCTTGCTGTTCCGCTCGATAAGAACATCTAGCATTTATGTTTTGCGTTGCTTGTACTTTACTTCACTTTTTACAAAGCGTTAGCTCTTTTTCTTTCACTGTCGTTGTTTATTTTTCTTTAATTAGCTTCTTTCAGAAACTGTTACAATATACATTTATATGATTCACAAAATTTCCAAGTTTTTCATTTTTGCTTCCTTTCCACACTCTCTTTTATAAAATAAGAAATATTAATGTATACACAGCGAGTATGGATGGGTGGAAGAAAGAAAAAATATCACTCGAGAGTCCCAAAAATAGCGCAATTAAAACAAATTCGCATATAGCAGAGCTGTTACAGATGATTGATTCATATGTAAAAGATTCAAGGACATTCAAAAACTACAGACATCATTTTCTGTTGCTGCTCTTTTCCAAAAAAAAAAAATATATATATATATTCAATTAATGTAATATACATGCAAACTAATATGTTTCAAAGAAAGAGAAGGAAAGGAAGGTCAATAGAAAATTATTATTAAAATTGTGAATCAGCCGCAGCAAAAACTTCTCTTTTCTGGGAATTAAATGAGAACGGAAGATTTGACAAATGCACTGAACTGTGGCGCATCTGCATCTGATAAGAATGAATGGAATGTTTTAATTCCTTAATCCCAACTAATGCTTGAGTATGATTCATTGGAAAGAACTAGGTATAATCTATTGTTATTGACAATTTTTGCGCAACATTGATAGCTATCGAGCCAAATATTGATGGGTAAATTTGGAAATAGAGAAGCTTATAATGTCTAGCAAAAATTAGATTTTAGACCCACTCTCACCTCGTCATGCAATAAGTTTTTTTCTTATAGGTTTCTTTTATAATATTTAATCTACCCGCCTACGACATAATCAGTTATATTATAATGCTTAAAAGTTGTTGTCACCACCCAAAGTGAGCGATCATACCAAAAAGATCCAGTTAAAAATGCGCTAAAGAGACAATTTCCTCGTAAAAATGCAAGCAAAAAAGAATTTACCTTATGAATGAAGAAGGAAATTTAATTTGATGAATTCTTATTCAAATGATATCACAAATTGATGTTGATTCAATTGGGTAATGAAAACTTTTCATTATATTTTGTTTTTCACTATTTTATGGTGTTTTCTTCGTATTGTCCAAATCACATTTTTCTTCTTCACTTATTAAAAAAAAAATCTCAGCATTAAGAAGAATTCCCCTCATAAATAGACCTAATAATAAATGAAATTGCATAAACACTCATTTTCTTTCAAAACTCTGTTTTGTCATCTTTTTTTTGCTTTTCATCATTAATTTTAAGTCTAATAATTTTCTATACAAAAATTTGCTCACAAATCACTTAGATGAAGCAAAATTAAAGACGAAATATGAACAAGAACATTAGCAGATAAATTTTGCTATTATTATATTTATTATTACTTGGTACTCATGTCGGAATACTTCCACAAATCATCACAAGATTCTTCTTAGATGATGAATAACAAGAAATTAATCACATAATACCTCTAATTTAATATTTTTTCCTTATTTTTCTACTATTTTTTTATGAATTTTTCGACATTTTTATAATTTTTTTCTCTTTGACTTGAACAAATTTTACTATTTTACAACATTTATGATACTTGCTCACTAACACTTATGTTATAATATAGCATTAAGCATTTATTAAGCACTTTAAATTAAATACTTTAGTTAAATCAAATATTTTCATTAAATTTTTCAATATAATCATTTTTATGAATTTTTCTTAAAAATATTGAAAAAATACCTATTTTCAAATTTTGACATTTTAAGTTTTTTCAAAACGTTATTCTTAATTTTTCAACATTTTATTCGTTATTCAAAATTTCAAACATTTGATGTGTAAAATTGTCTTTGTGTAATAACCAGGAATTCAAAATTTAAATCACGATTAGAAAGGAACAAGATCAAAATTTACAGGGCTTAAAATCCTCTTCTTTTATGTTTGTTTATATTTCATTTGTATTACTTTTATTATAAGATTATGTACCTGGCATGTTTAAATAAGTTGATTTATATGGGCCTGGACGTTTTTTTAAGGATTTTTGCTTAACGGAAAAAAATAATTTGAATTTTTCACTAATACAAAACATCAAAAATTAAATTCTCAAAATTCTTAATTATTCAATCATTAATCCCAAATATTATGATTTGAATACGAAAAGTAGATGGTGCATTAGCTGTTTCAACTATTTTAAGACCTTTTACATTATTATTGAGTGATATTTTCGTGACTTTTCACATTTCATTTTCGATTTTGTTTGTAAACAAATAAATTGCAACCGAAAGAATTCAAAAAAATTAAAACCGTTAAAAAAATTTTAACTTAATTTTGTCCATTTGGGTATGTTAATGCAGCAGTTTTAAATTTTATATAAACTCAAAAAGAACAGAATTGAATTTCGGATCTAAAAACATACATTTGGAGATATATCAATAAACAATAATGAAGATATAGCAAAATTCCCAAAAATTGTACGTGAGTGACGCTTAGTTAAAGTGATTTTTTCGATAAACTGTAAACATCCATGAAGTGAATTGTACAACAATATATGGGGATTTTAACTCTCTTTTCAAAAAAGTAACTCTTAAATTTATCACTTTTAAGGATAAGGAGATAATCAAGAATAACAAAGCGTCACTCACGTACAATTTTTTTGTCACGAGGCCCAAATTTTAAAGATTTTATGAGATTTAAAATTTCTGATATTTTCATTTTTCATACCACTTCCAATGCCTAGTATAGCTTTCAATTGCAATAGAATAAAAGGTTTAAACCGGTTTAAAAAATCAAAATTGAATATTGATCCTCTCAAAAGCATGATTGAACATGATAATTGATGATATTTCATTCTTACCTGATTTAATGTTCTTGAAAGCTTTGAGTGAAGAATATTAAAGTCTTAACGTATTTTAATACTTCAAATTCTATGCTTCATTTTTTGCGGCAACTTTTCAAAACATTGCAAAAATCAAAATTCAATAGTTGATAATCAAAACACAGTGATTGATATGATTTGATTTAAAGACTACAGAATGCGAATGAGATTTTCAAACACTGAAGAAAAAAAAAGCATTCACTGAACAAAAAAAGAGAAAAAAATTGAATTGAAATTTTTTTCTACATATTATTTTATCAAAATATTAGTATTTTAATTAAATATTATAGTGAATAATAGTGTTTAGTAGTGTCATAAGTGAAAGGTGTTTAAAAATTAGATAAAAGAGTGTCCAAGTTTCATGTTTTCGGAATTAATGATTTTATGATTTCTTTCATTGAAACTTGATTTAATTTTTTTTTTTTTTGATTTTAAATAAAAACTTCTCTTGACTAAAAAAATGTATTCAACAATGGATAAACAGTCATCGAGTAGCAACAATTTGAAAATGACTACAACATCTTCGTCAGGTCAGGAAAATAGTACGGAATAAGTGACATTCTAAAACATTAGAAAAAGTGCATTATTTTTCCTATGTATTCACTGTATCTTTTATTTGTACTTCCTTGAGAAGGTTCATACAACTTTAATAGAGACTGTATGTGAATGAATGAGATGCGTAATGATCAAACATTATCATCCATACACTTTGATAAAAAAATAATTGTGTTACTGGAAGTGCTTAAAATATTACTCTCGAGCAGTGATTAATGTGAAATTAATGAATAAGATGTTTCTTGGTGATTTCATTCCGTTATTCATGCAAAAGTCGAATCATTTGGACCAATCTATAAATTTTAAGTTAATATGCTCATTAATTGAGTGAATGAAGAAAACACCCACAACTATCTCTAGTATCAATGTTATTACATACATACATATTTGCACCGTAAGATGACGCTCTTAAGGAGAAATGAAATCATTTCCATTAAATATATTGACTGTTTTAATTCTTTTTTTTTTTTTTTGTTCAATACATTTCCAACTTTGCTTACATACACTCAAGTACGAGTAAACGTTGAGAAATAAAGAATCTAGAGTAAATTTCTACTTGATTATTTTATTCAATGCTTCGAATCAATGAAATTTATATACTCATGTTCCTAATAAATTAATTTTCCAATAAGCAGTATGCTAGTAAATAGATATTAATTCATAAAAAGAAATGATTGAACCTCATAATGTCTCAGATTACTTTAAATGACGGGAATAAGGCATTGAAATGAGCAATGCAAGTGTGAAAATTTTTGTCATATTACTACTCGGTGTTATTTTTCTCTCATTCATTCTGTTTTTAAGCATTTCAAACATTTCCTCTTAAGCTATACTCGAAAAAAAAAACACAAAAAATATGTGCAATATACACACAGACATTCTCATCGTCACATGTATCCTCTTCTTTTTTCGCTTTTACTTGCTTACTTACTTCTCATTCCACGGATCTAACCGAATAATAATTGATCTTATATTATGAGAGTGTTGCCTACTTAACTTCTTTTTTCTTTGTAACTGTTTTAAAGCATTGCTAAGTTTAGTTTCTCAAATAAATCTTGTAATCCGTCCTCAGTTCCTCAGTAATTTGTATTTTCGCACGATGAAATTATCAGCTTACAACTGATAATAAAAGATTACAAATTTTTTACTGACTAATTGCATTACGTACCTAAACATTACCTGTATATGCTTTAATTTACATGATTTCATTATTGTTCTAATTAAAACAATAATTTCCAATTAGTATAGTGCAAATATGATAAAATATTGATACAAATTCATGATTTATTTATAGGGTGTCCATCTCGTCAACAATTTGGGTCAGAAATTATTTTTTGGCATCGACTGGACTTTCAAAACTGCTCAAAACACGTGACAATCATTAAATATCCAGAACAATTTCATTAAAAGCCAGCAGATGGACATGCTATTTATTCATGAATGTTATTTTATAAAAATTGCTTCCTGTATTCTTAAACCCGACACCACATTGCATGAATCATTCATTCATTCACTTTTTTTAAGACCAACTCTCGAGGTTGAATGCTATTGAGGCTTTATATTGACTTATTGTCCGTCTGAAGCTAAGCTAATCCTCAGTAATTAGCTATTTTATATTATTTTAAAGTGGAAGGACTATGTAGATGAAAAGGTTGTCAGCCTTTGTATTTAAGGGTTACTCACTTATGACGTCATTAGGGCGATTCCATGAGTGAATTTTTTTTTCTCAACTCAATTTTTTGTAAATATTTCCTCAATTAACTTCATTTAACGCCATATTTAAGATTTATTTTATTTATTATTATGGTTTTTATGTAATTTAGTGCATAATCTTTTAGTTAAATCTGTCTGACAAAAGATATTTTAAAAAAACCAAACTTAATCGGTCAACTTTACAAAAAATTGATTTTTAAATTTTTATCAATATTTCTTTGAATATCCATTGTTGTGTTACAAATCTATGATAAACACACGTGAAATCGCCTGTGCTTTATAACAATATCTTATTTGTATGTCTTACTACTGTAATTAAGGAGAAAATTGGGGAAAACACCACTTAATCGGTCAACTTTCAACCGATTATTGCAAAACATATTACATATTTTTGTCAAAATGCAGCATAATTAAGACGATTAAATGCTAATAACACATGAATTGATGAATAATAAGTCTTATTTAGTGAAAAGATATGTTGAAATATGTATATTTAAGCAGAAAAAGCTAAAAAATAATTTGAAAAAAAAATTTTCAGTTTCATTTACCCATGGAATCGCCCATTAGTAGAAAGGTATTTGGAAATTTAAACAAGATGATTGTGACAAGCATGGCAATCTAATTTCTTTATGGACGTCATAAGTGATGATTATTTCTTATCCTGAATACTGTAATTCTATGCATGCATGAAAAATGCGCATTAATCAGTCACGAGCAACCTTGTCTATCTTACCTAAGTTTTTCTCATATTGCTTGCATTACATTCTGACAACAAGAATCATTTATTCAATGTTTATCACTCCTCTGTACAACATGATAATTCTAGAGATACTTTTTGTTGTTCTACATGATAACAAACTCAAAGTTTGTTGTAAAGCTATACAGAAGTAGTAATAATAATAATGGGAACCTCGTCAAGTCGAAGTAAAGGCATTGAATATAATTCGATAATAATGCATACTTTTTATATCAAAATATATTTATATTTTAAATACGTCCACGCCAAAAACAGAAACAAAAAAAAATAAATTTATGTACTATTTATATTATTGTAGGTGTAACTATGCGTGAGAAAAAAAGTGGAGCCTTGCAGAAACTAAAAAAGCGGCTGTCACATAGTTTCGGAAGATTATGTAAGTTAATATTCATTTTGGAAATGAGCGCAGCTTTAATTTCATGCAAAATAAAACAAAATTTTATAGCCATTTCGAGAGAGGATAACGATGATACTAATAATCACCATAGTCAGAACAGAAATAATAGTAAAATGCCATACAATGGATATTCAGACGAATATTTAGATCGTTTAGAAACAAATGGAAATATTCAGGCTGATAATAAAGCTTACAGTAAACGTAAGAACTCGCGATATATTGAACAAACATAATTAATTTAATTAACTAAACTCTCACTCTTTCTCATTATCTTAATTCTACACAAACTCTTCGTATAGATTGGTCTGGCAATCACGGTCAAGTTCATAGGCAATTATCTGTATCGTCAGATAGTAAGTTGTTAGATGATGACATAAGGGAAGAAACTCGTGTGATAATGAGACCTAAGAAACCACCACGTCCGAAATCAGAAGTGTTCCTAAATAAGCATGAAGCGAATCCACGAAGGAAGCGATTCAGTGCATTTGGAGTGAGTTATTGATGCCTCAAAAGTTTGTGTGCTAATTAAAATATTAATAATTAATGAATGTTTGCAGGGAGATTCTCCTTTTGGAAAGTCCGAGGCATATGTGAAATTAGAACAGCTTGGAGAAGGTTCATATGCAACAGTATTCAAAGGTTTTAGCAAGTACGTTGCACAACACAATACTTACTTCATATTATTTCCATATTCGTCGTGCTTCATGCAATAATTTTCCATTATATTTCCTTTTCGCAGTCTTACAAACCAAGTAGTTGCTCTGAAAGAAATAAGACTACAGGAGGAAGAAGGTGCTCCATTTACCGCAATTCGCGAGGCATCTCTATTAAAAGAGTTAAAACATGCAAATATTGTTACACTTCATGACATAGTACACACAAGAGAAACCTTGACATTTGTGTTTGAATATGTGGTCAGTGCCTTTACTATTATTTTTTTGTGTCTACGAATTCACTTCTAATTGGTGATTTATCTTGTTTTGCAGAATACTGATCTTTCTCAATACATGGAACGACATTCAGGTGGCCTCGATTATAGAAACATTAAATTATTTCTCTTCCAATTATTACGTGGCCTCAACTATTGCCATAAAAGGAGAGTCTTGCATAGAGATGTAAAGCCACAAAATCTATTAATAAGGTAATTTTCACAAGCTCCGTCCTAGTTATTTACTTAACTTCTATTTCTTCCTATTTACAGTGAAATTGGTGAATTAAAACTTGCTGATTTTGGTTTAGCAAGGGCTAAAAGTGTACCAAGCCATACATATTCACATGAAGTAGTAACTTTATGGTACCGTCCTCCAGGTAAGTTTCACCTTCTTTTTGCTCTATATTCTTAATTAAATATTTTAAATTTCCTTCTAGACGTTCTTCTTGGGAGCACAGATTATTCGACCTCATTAGATATGTGGGGTGTTGGATGTATCTTTATCGAGATGATAACGGGCTTACCAACGTTCCCAGGAATTCGTGATACATATGATCAATTGGATAAAATCTTTAAACTCCTTGGAACGCCAACCGAAGAAACATGGACAGGAGTAACGCATTTACCATCCTACAAGCCACACAAATTAGGTATGTTACATATGTGTTTTTCTAGAGCACAGTTTTATTATTACGCAGAGTCGGCATTACACATTCAGATTGACTGGTTTAGTGCAATGTTGCGTCAATATTAATTAAACTTGATACAATTTATAAGATCGTCTACAAATGACGTATGTAAAACTTTGATTTTCCTTACCCACGCACGTTGTAAACTCATCATTGACATTTCATCAAGCTTTTCTCTTGAAATTTTGACGTAACAAGCATCTGTGTCAGACATGCTTGGTGGTGAGTGACTGAACAGCGTCATTCAGTAATTGAATTTTCATCTCGGTTCAGTTACATCTGAAATTTAAATTATCACCGTTATATTGAGTTTTCAAAAACGTTCAGTAATTTTAGAGTTTATTTCAGTTCATTTCAAAATGAAAATTAAATCTCAAAAACCCGTTAAAATTGTGATAAGTACTTTTAAACTTAAAATTCTCAGATTCTATTATTAAAAGCTTATCGAATCGACAATAAAATTTCAATTGAGTCATTCAGTTGTGGATAATTTGTTTTGACTCATTCTGCCTCAATTAACTCAGATAACTAATGATACGCTTATTACAGGTTTTTATCGACCTCGCAAATTAGGTTTAAGTTTTCCACGTTTGTATGATATTCCGGAAGGAGAAGCAATGGCTAGTGCATTATTACAGGTAAATTAATTGGATTAACACTTGACTACAATGAAATTGATTAAACTGTGAAATTATTATTTCTATTCAGCTAAATCCAAACAATCGGATAGGGGCAGACGCTGCTCTAATACATCCATATTTTAACCAATTGCCTAAGAAACTTTACGAGCTTCCCGATGGTAAGTTAATGATTATGCTTAAAATTGATGTGTGAGACTATTAAAAAAATATATATTAATAATTAACAGAAACTTCAATATTCAACGTGGAAGGAGTTTTGGTACATCCTGAACCCAATCGTGAACGACATAATAACTGAAATTTAAGAAAATCTTTAACTATGGATGATATTTGTTTTTTCTATTGTTGAATGTATTGAATGATGAAAGTTTTTTTAAAAAAAAGAATTGACCCTTTCTAATTTAAAGGAACAAGAAAATACCATAAGAAAATGAATGATGAGGAATTTTTCTATCCATCAAATGGCAAATAGTTGTGTGCCATAGATATATAGATCCAATCAAATAAAAATGAATGATACATCGCAATAATTGTGCAAGAGTATAACCTCAGGAGTCAATCCATTAAAGATACAGTTTTATAATCATTTCGGTATGTCAAATTGTTTTTAAAAAATTACTTTGTTAAAAGACAAAATTTAAAAAAAAAATATTAATGAATGACTAAGTAGCTACCGGATTTTTCATAGAGGTTTTTTAAACTATTAAATAACGTATTTTCATCAGTAATTGAAAACAAAATGAATTTAAAGTTCAAAAGAATAGGAATCAAACAGATTTTGACTTGAGCATAACATAAGTAATGTCAAAAGACAATCCTGAGCAGATGCTCGGGGAACTGTACTAAAATTCTTAAATTAAATCTCCAAGACTTCTGTTGTCAAATGACTACATAAGTAAAATCAAAATTGGACATAGAAATGAATGTTTTAGATCAATAATATTAATAATTTTTAATTGATTGTTTGCTTCGAAGCAATTTATGGCAAATTACCACAAAATAGCAAAAGAATATAACATAAAACTGATTCTTCAATAGCTTCAGCTCACCGTCCTAATTTGACGCAAGAAATAATATAAATCGAAAACCTTAGAAAATGTAAAAAAAAATATTCAATAAATTTTTCATCTTGTAGCACAATCTATTAAAAGAAAGAAAATTGATTTATAGAGGAAATTAATTTTTCTGTTCAATTTAAATTCAATTTTTGTGTTTATTCTTAGGCAATTCAAAGCGATCTTCATATTCACATTGATTGTAGACTTTATGAAAAAATAATTATTAATTCAGTCAAAGAATTAGCTGCAAGCTTTAATGCATTTATGAGTAAATAGAATCCCCCCCAGTTTTAAGTCATTCTATTGAATCACGATTAATAGGAAGTGTGAATAGTTGTGTGAAATTTGTCGGTTGGTGATGACTATAAAGCATTTTTTGGCAGCTAAATGATGCTCTCGTGAGCTTTTGAACTTAATCGATTTTGAGAGTTAATTGCAACAAATTTTCTTAAATAATTGAGCCTAATTTTGCTTAAAAAGAGATGTAGATTTAAAGGACTTTTAAAATTTAAATTTTCTGACGAACATTATAAATTGAGTTTCTGAACATGTTCAGAAATTTTAAGATTTTTACATGAAGCAAATTGAACTCAAACTCAAAGACCAGGAAAGACTTAAAAATAAACATCAAGCCAATGTAATTGATAAAGAAAGAATTCATTTCATCACAACTATTCATAAGATATCTCCGAAAAAAAATAAAAATATAAAATAAAATAAATTCGAATTTCCAGTATTCCTTTTTTGAGCTAAGGTATCAGATAAATAGAAATGAAGTGATAAGCACTTCTAGATTAAGCGGAAGAAGAAAAACAAAATAAACGAAATTTAATCCAAACTAATGATAAGCAGATATAAAGATATGAGGCTCATTATTTCATCAAATTTCAAGTTTCATGACTTTTTTTGTGTTTGTCTGACAAAGACTTGCAAGTACAACTGATTTTTTTAATTCATATGATAATCCACAGACAAACAGTGATAGTTTTTACTTCAAAGACTTGCTTCCATGATTTATTATTACAAGGATTTTTTTTCTTAATTTTCTCTATCCTCAAAATAAATTGAATTTAAAATAGAAAATCGTTCGATACGTACTTGAAAATAGCATTCTTCTTCTTTTCTGCCTGCATGCATTAGATTTCTTCTTCAAAAAAAAAAATAAGATGAAAAAGTAGTGTGATTAAAGCCAGCATTTTCCTATTAAATGAAAAATAAAGATTATTAATAGATAAAGAAAAAAAGTGAAAAAACTGTCTTAAATGATAATTAAACAGCCGCCCCAATTAACACGATTTAGATGTCAAAATTTTTATATAATGAAAAAAACTTTAACATAGCAAATAGAATGACGTCCACCCAAAATATAAAATTAAGTTGCAAAGCTCAGCTTTAGCATAACTTTTTTTTTATTTCATTTTCCGTAAAATTTATTCAAAAGAGAAAAATTAATAAAGAAAAAAATTACTATATTTAGATTAAATATGATTGTGATAACAATTTAAGGAAAAAAAGAATGAAAAATAAGGAAATTCGAAGCATATTGCTACTATCCTAAGCTATGCAAAAGATTTTAGCAGTTGATTTTGTTGTGAATGATTCAAAGCATGAAAACACATTGATTTTAATTTAATTTATTTTAATTATAAGGAAGTGAGAACTGTGATTAGACTAGAAAATCTCTAAATGCCACAGAAAATATATAACGGCTTTTTGAAATTCAAATTTAATTTGACTCAAATGAGATGAAAGATCTGTTTTAAACTGAATTGAAATGAAATCACTTGAGTTACTAAATGACCAAAAACATAATTTTTGAATGTCAAAGAACCGATAAAATTTTCAAATTTTTTTATCAGTCAAAAAAAGCAATAGAAACATTTTTACCAGACTTATCAGCACTCTATAAAGACCTCATACTTAACAATTAACTCACTTCCAAATTGAAAATACATCAAATTAAGCAAAAGTTTTCACGCTTTGGATTAGATTAATAATTTTAAATAAAAAATGATTTTCTTTTCAAAAAGAAAAAAAAAATTGGAAAAATGAAAACAGGAAAACATAATGAATAAAAAAAGGATATATTCAATTGTAAATTTAATGAAAATTTTTATAAATAAGTAAATAGTTGTAATTATTGAGTTTAAAACAAATTTTTAAAAGAGAAACAAAAATGGAGAAAAGATTTTTTTTTCTTAAATACATTCACCAAGTCACAACTTTTTCATATTCAATTCAATTAGATGAAGAAAAAAAAAGGAAATAGAATTCGCACCAATTAAATATTGAGAAAAATAATGAATAAAAGGAATGTTGAAAAAAAAATATTCAATTGGGTATTTGTGCTTATTATTGAGGAGTATTTTTGGAATATTATTCACGAGAGCATGCAATAGCATCAGTATAGTCTGACTTGTTGATCGCGACACACCACGTGCTGAGAAATTTTAGAAAATCGTGTCACATTTTAATATTTGGGCTTAAATATTTTAATCCTAAGACTAAAACTAAATCCATCGAATTACATCGTTGGATTAAAATTTGAAAAAATCAGAACTTCCAGTTTAAAGAACCGAAACGTCTGAACAGAATTTAAATTCGTTCCTCTCTCTATGCCGCTCTCTTATGTGTATTCTCATTAAAGCACTCAGTGTGTTCACGGTCATTCTCTCTCGATATAAAAATCGTACGAAAGGTTGACATTCGACTTAATATTAATTTTCACTTTTAAGCTGGAAGCAGTGCTTAACAAATCATTAATAGTTCTTAAACGTGTTCATAACATTTTGCATATTCAGACGAAAGTGTTCAATAGTGACTTAATTAAGTATTTCACAGTATTTCATAATATCCAAAAAGTACTTCAGGAAAGTAAAAAAGAGACAGAGAACACATCCACACATCCACTTGTTCAATAATTAAATTATAAAATCAGCATGACTTCTACATTTTTTGACAATTATAAATCAATAATACTTGGAACTGGGAATATTTTAGAGAATGAGGAATTCAAGAAGGCTAAAAACCCAACTCAGGAAGTAAGTTCGACCTTATCAATGTTTACTTAAAGCATCGTTGCATGATAAAATATAGATTATTAACTTTATGCTTCGAAATCAATTTTAGATGCTTCTTTGTATGTGTGCAAGAATCAAGGAAATAAATGAACAGCATATTGAAAATGGTGCCGAGCCAGCTGACGAGTTTGTAGCGATTCCACATGAGGAGATAACAGAGGAGGACGAGACATCTGAGGGAAAGACAAAAACAGTCATTAAATTATTTATGAATGAATTTCATGAGGATGCAATCGACGAATGCTTTAGTCATACCTTGAAAATCTGTAAAACAGCACCGAATGTCATTCTTGCTTACACTCCAACATCGAGTATTCATAATGATAAGTTTGTTTGGGCTGATAATGATGCAAAATCTAAAAAGCATTTCAAGACATTATGGGCGAAATTAAGAGAAGAGAAGAAAGCCGGTAGAATAGAACAATTGGGGATTGCAGACATGGATCTTGACACAATTATGGATATTTTTGATGATAAAAACTTTGATTTTACTATTCTTCAAATTAACATTGTAACATGCTGCATGCCTCCACCTTGCCTTGTCAGTTTTTGTAAGGAACATGAGATTCAGCTACTTACTCATTCAGATCCACAGGGTAAGTTTTTTTAGCGTACTTTTGAAAATTCAAATTTTAACATCATTAAATGATGACGTCATAGCTGAATGACCTTGACTAAACTTTTTGCTGATTCATTTTAGTTCTATTTCCATCATGTCACATGTGTGATATTGCTTTGGGAAAGTCATTCAAGATAAAATGGGTCGTAAGATTCCTCGAGACACTCATTTGTCGTGGCATATTAACCAGAAAAGGATTCATAGTTAACTTTCAACGAATGTTGGACTAATTTCACAGGATAACGATTCATTCATCGCACTTAATTTTAACGAACAAAATCTGTTAATTTTTTTATTTCGCACATTTTTCACAGACTTTTGTGGGATGCAATGCCTATATACGAGAACATTTTAAAAAAGATAAAAACTTTTATACACTATATTTATGTATACGCAATTTTTGCATTTTTTAGTTTACTAGATATTTTTGGAACTGTATTTTTTATAGCTTCTATTTAAACAGAATAAAAGATTTTACGAAAAGTTTATCAATGTTAAATCTCTGTGAATGTTCATAAATTTTCATCTGTAAGATAAATATAGAGGAGGATGTGACATTAATGAGAATTCCGTTTATGTTTCATTAACTTTCTCGTGTCGGTGCTGATTATTCTCTTGATTTTAGTGTGTATTTTAGGTATTTATAGATGGGAAGTCATTTTGGAAATTCCTGACATGCTCAAAGTCATCAGCTTAGATATTTTTCTATTGCGTGTTTTCCAGATCATAATATTCTAGTCGACAAAATTGCTCAGAAGTTGTTTAACACGTGTCAAAGTAACATAGAAAGTACCGTCAACACATCAACTAGATCAATTATTTACAAACAAGTGACGTATAAAGTCGTTGGCAGATTTCAAAGCAGCTACGTGAAGTTAGCTTCATCAACCGGCAAAATTCATATTAGATTTTCTTGCTTAATTCTCTCTTACAAGATTTAAGCTTGAGTGGGATGTAGATATAGCTTAGAGAGGATCATGTCAATTACTCAAAAACGAGAGAGTAAGCTTAAAAAGTTCTTGATGATTTGCAGATTTTCCCTTTGTTTTTTAGCTTATTTTTTTGCACATTCATGCTGGATGTTGCATACTTTATGTCATTGTTCCTTATAATTCAAACATTAATGGCTGTCAAAAATTCAAGATTTTAACAGATTTTTGCTTTCAAACTTGAAATATTAAAATCTGTTAAATTTGGCACAAATCAAATTTATCTAATTAAACTTTAACATTCAAATAAGCATCAAGCTAGTATTAAAAACGAATCATAAATTTCAATAAAATAAATACATTCGTTTTTAAAAAAAGCGCTTTGTGAATCGATTAATGGAAATTGCTCATACTACTTTGTATTCACTTTGTTCTGTTCAGCTAGGAATATCTTTATTGCATAAAAACTCACTTAAAAGGCTAATAAAAGCAACTTGAGTAGTATAAAAGTGCACAGTAAAACGTTATCAGTACTAGAAATATCGAGATAGAGCTTATCTTTGTAAAATATCATTTTAAAATAAATAAATAAAAGTTTTCGTGGTAATTTGTGCTTACTCATTATCCTAATTTAAATCATGAAGCACGATTTCGAGAGATTACCTAAATCTGTCGTTCCAAAGAACTATCACCTTCATTTCATTCCTAATATCCCTCAATTTTCTTTTACTGGAAGTGCTTCAATATCTATTAAGGTTAGTAAATTATTGAATTTTAATTCCCTGCATTACAATCTAGCTTAATTAAACTGACTAGATTGAGGAGAAGGTTGATCGCATTACATTGAATTCTGTGGATCTTAAAATAAGCAATGTTCGAGTTAAAAGTGCTGATGGAAACATCCAGAAATGCAAGGAAGTCGTGTATCTTACAGAGATAGAAGTTGTGCATTTCCAGTTTGATACTTTATCGCCTGGAGAATATTCTCTTGATATGGACTTTGAAGGAGAATTAAATGACAAGATGAAAGGATTTTACCGAAGCAAATATTTTTCACATCCAGACATGCAGGAAAGATATGCAGCCGTAACACAGTTTGAAGCAACTGATGCCAGACGATGCTTTCCATGTTGGGATGAACCTGCATTAAAGGCTACATTTAATATATCCATGACAATCCCTCAAAATCTCGTTGGATTGTCAAACATGCCATTAATTGAGGAAACAAAAAGCGAGAATGGAACGAAGACATTAAAGTTTGGAACATCACCTATTATGTCTACATATTGTAAGATAAGAAGTTGTTTAGATAAAACTGAATTGCTTTATAACTTGTTGTTTATTTTACAGTATTAGCTATGTGTGTTGGTGAATACGATTATGTTGAAGGAAGTTCGAAGGATGGAGTAAAAGTACGTGTGTATACGCCTGTTGGAAAAAAGCAGCAAGGTCTATTTGCCTTGGAAGTTACTATAAAAGTTCTGCCTTATTATAAGGATTACTTTCAAATTGCCTATCCCTTGCCAAAATTAGATTTAATCGCAATTAGCGACTTTGCAGCCGGTGCCATGGAAGGATGGTAAGTTCACTGTACATTTTTGAGGAACATGACATTCATTGCTATGCTTTAGGGGTCTCATCACATATCGTGAAACAATGGTTCTCGTAGATCCAGAAAATACATCACTTATAAGGAAACAAAACATCGCATTAACTGTCGGACATGAAGTTGCACATCAGTGGTTTGGAAACCTAGTAACAATGGAATGGTGGACTGAGTTGTGGCTAAATGAAGGCTATGCAAGTTTCACAGAATTCTTGTGCGTCAATCATTTGTTCCCAGAATATGATATTTGGACTCAATTTATGACTGATATGCATAGTCCAGCATTAGATGCTGACTCCTTAGATAATTCTCATCCTATTGAAGTTGAAGTTAATCATCCCGCAGAAATAGATGAGATTTTCGACGAAATCAGTTACAATAAAGGAGCAAGTATTATTAGAATGTTGCACAATTATTTAGGTGATGAAGATTTCCGTAAAGGTATGCATTTATACCTGACTAAGCATCAATATAAGAATACAATTACTGAGAATTTATGGGAAAGTTTAGAGAAGGCAAGTGGTAAAGTAGTCGCAAATATCATGAGAACCTGGATTAAACAAATGGGATTTCCAAAAGTGAAAGTTGTGAAAGATACCCAAGAAGAAAACGGTCGTCGTCTTGTGCTTGAACAAACAAAATTCACAGCAAACGGAAGTATTGATGAAAAGTCATTTTGGATGATTCCAATTTCCATTGCTACGCCTAAATCAGCTAATGCATTAACAACAGTCTTGGATAAAAAGGAAATGGAAGTATTTATTGAGAATGTCACTGAAAATGACTGGATCAAGATAAATCCCGGAACTATTGGATTTTATCGTACTCAATATCCACCGGATATGCTTGAAAAATTCATTCCAGCCATACGAGACTTGACATTGAGTCCATTAGATCGTTTAGGACTTCATGATGATCTATTTGCATTAGTTCAGAATGGCTCTAATAAAACAGTCGAAAGCTTAAAGCTGATTGATGCTTATCGCAACGAAGACAATTTTACTGTTTGGTCATCAATTGCCACATCATTGTCTAAATTGAAAAATTTGTTGTCGCATACAGACTTGACTGATAAATTTAATGCTTTCGGAAGACACATCTTTACGCCATTAGCTGATAAGCTTGGATGGGAAACGAAGGATAATGAAAGCCATTTAGAGACTCTCCTTAGATCTCTCGTATTGAGCAAGCTTGTCTCATTTAATTGTGAAAAGACTTGCGAAGAAGCAACGAGACGGTAAGTCACTGGCATTTAAAGTTTAATGCTCAATAATTATGATTTTGTCGTTTTCAAATACAGATTCTATCTCCACAAAGAAGGAAAACAGATTTTACCAGCAGATTTAAGAATGACTTGTTACCGTGCTGTTTTGCAGAATGCAGATGACAAAGTCTACGAGGAAATGCTTGCATTATATCGATCAACAGATCTACACGAAGAAAAAGACAGGATTTCACGTGCTTTAGGATCCATTAACAATCCAACGATCTTACAAAAAGTCATAGCATTTTCAATGAGTAAAGAAGAAGTTCGTGCACAAGATGCAGTCTTTGTCATTGCTTCTGTTGCTGTGAATCCAAAAGGTCGTGATTTAACATGGACATTCTTCAAAGAGAACTGGAAAATCTTATTAGATCAATATAGCGGTGGATTCTTACTTACAAGACTTGTCAAGCACATCACTGAAAACTTTGCAAGTGAAGAAAAAGCTCTGGAAGTAGACAGCTTTTTCAAAACTCACGAATTTCCTGGTGCTGAGAGAACTATTCAACAATCTATTGAAACAATTCGATTAAGCACAGCTTGGCTGAACAGAGATCTTGCTGAGATCACTGAATATCTCAAAGATTATTAGACTTGTGTCATTTTTAATTTGTACAAATTTCTACAATGCTTGCAGAATTAGGATTAGATGAGCTAAGAGCTCTAAATGCATGAAGAATTTCCTTAATTTAAATTTGGTTGTAAAATTGTGGATTAAAGTTGGTTTGGGATTAGATTCATTTTTAATCCATTGGATTTAATTTAAATCTTGAATTAATCTTTAACCTTGTTATGCTTAACTTTAATTTCGGATAAATTTTGAATCCTTGTGTTATAAAAAATCGATGATATTTCCTTTAATTCTTTTTAAAACAATTATTTAATCCTGTGTGAACCGTAAATTTTTTTTTTTTTTAATATTACCAAAGCCCTCAGTCAATCAATGTTTGTTTCTGTTCCACATATCTTAAAATATCAATATTTTGTTAATTTCATGAAAAAAAATGCCAGCAATAAACAAAAAACAAAAAAATGTAACAAAAACAAATGCTTATTGCAAGTCAGTTACTTAAAATTCATGCTGCTCACTCTCTTTATGTCTCTCGAATCCACGATTAAAAACAATACAGCTGATTCCAACACACATAAAACTTCTCTCTCATTAACTTTGTACATAGAGGAACTACTGCTTGTGTCATGAAATGTGATTGTAATCTATGCATCGTCGGAAAATTCTCTTGATTGACATTGATACACAACCAAATTTTTACATGCCTTGTCATAGCTATTGAGAGAGAAAATCGTTAAATACTATTCTTTTTCTACGTTCAGTTTCACCCACTCACCCATTTATGTATATTTATTATGTACTTCTATGTATCATGAAGAGAATGGACGGAAAAACTTTTTTTTCTTCTCTCAAAAAATAATGTATGTATGTATAGCTGGAAAATCAACAAACATAAGCTCAGTCTTACGGAAATTTTCGAATCGTACAGAATTGCTAAGAGTGCTGCAAAATTAAATAAAGACATTTTTAAAGGAAGTTGATGGAAGTTTTTTAAGGATTTAGTGTTTATAAACAGTTTTTAGTGCATTTATGGATGTTAAAGTGAGAAAAAAAATAATTAATTAAATTTTCAATGCTTTGACTTTAAAACAAATAATATAAAAAAATTAAGTAAAGTCAATGTGCATCATAAAGTTGTGGGAAAAAAATATTTCGTCAATTATCACCAACAAATTATTGATTATTTATTACAATTCCGTTTCCTCACATGAAGGAATGGATGGAGAAGAAAATGCCAATATTCTGCGATTTTTTTTTTTTTCATGACGCAAATTGCACATGCCAAATTGTAGCAGTAACTCAATTCCTTTCACCTTTATGTGACGAGAACTTTTTATCCGCCTTCGTAATTTCCACACTTGATTCCAAGAGTCATAAAGCATTTCAATAACTCCCTTAAAAAAATGCTCAGTTCTGCTCATTTTTTTTCTCCCAAAAAAAAGTATTACAACCTACGGAGTAGTATATAAGCAGGAGTATAGGCTGCAAAAAAAAAGAATCTATGTAACGAGACACAGCATGAAAAAAATATCGAATTTTTCGTTATCAAGTCTAGTATCATATACTTTCCTTCTTAAATATTGTATGTTTGCGCATCACGTGTGATTTTATTTTGCGTTTGACTGTATTGGAAGCATAAATAAATTTCCCAAGCTTTTTTTTGTTCCTACATTGATGGTAAACTTTAACTGTTATGCTTTAAAGCATAGCATGCTTAAAGAGTAAATACCTAGATTTGAAAGGTGCTGTTCTCGGGATGCATGCGATGTATATTAAGGCATACGGACTGAAAGTCGTGTGCTCAATTTCAAACAATAGAATTTTTCCGGAATTGGAATTTTTTTGGAGGAAATAAGCATACGTTTCAATCAATAATGGAGAATATTGATAGAATGTTGTGTTGGGGAGTATTTGCTTTGCTTTTTTGCCTGGGAATCTTTGGGGACATCCAGTAATTTTGGGAATAAAATTGTCAAAATTTAAATGGAAACTTTTTCTGATAAAATGTCATAAATGTCAAGCTGGATCTATTGAAATCAATAGAATCAATCATAAGTATGAATTTGCATCACATCAATGCCCAGTTAAAGCTACAAAAAAGTCAAAATAAACGTTTGAAAATTTTGTCGAATTTCATAAATTTGTCAATATTGACAAAAAAATTCAAATTTTTCCGTTAAAGTTCAAAAACTAAACGTTGGAAATCAGCTAAGAATTCTTCGTGCGACACAAATCATGCGACATACATCCAACACTTTCCGCAAAAAAAATGAAAAGAATAGTCCTACACAATACATAAGATGCTTCATCATTTTTCAGAGATGAATGTAAAGTAAATGAAAGAAATGAGAAGATAGGACAACGCATATTTTCACAATATATTCTGTCCTTTATGTACATACAGTTTTTTTTTTGTGTATACAGCATGTAAGATTTTTTTAGTAACAAAAGGAGAAAAAAAAGCTTTTTCCCCAGATGTACATAAGCAGAAAAATGTAAATGTAACTGTGAGAGTTTTTTTTTTCTCGTCACAGAAACGAGACCACCACCTCCAAATAGCTTCTTTTTTTGGTTCGTTTGATTGAAAATTAAGCACCCTGAACAACAACAAATTGGGGGAAAAGGAAAAGTTTTTTTTATTGATGAAGGAAGCGATCCTGACTGTCAATATTCAAAATTAATATTTGCGAAATGCCTTCGAGTCTCAACATTCCCGTACCCACCAACTCATATTCTATTGTTGTTGTTTATTCATTTTTTTTTTCGTCTTGTTGCTGTCAGTTTCAAATATTTTTTTTCTGCGCGCTCCCGTTTACCACGAACCATTCTTGCTATTCGCACTTTTTTTTCTATTTATGAATGAAGCAAAATATTGATTTTCTCATGACTTCGTCATCATCCTTTCCTCAAGCATTTTTTTATATTTTCTCTCTCTATGCTACTCCTTTTTTAACCCACCACTTCAGTCCTTATTTTTTTATTTTTATTTTTTTTTTTATGAATCAATACTTTGTTTCAAGAGAGTGTGAATATCCAGGAAAAGATGTTGAAACACACAAAAAAATGCTGTTCTGTATGATAGGGAAATATTTTACAAAACATTAAATAAAAATAAAATAGTGGGGGGAGGGGGTGGAAAAAAATCAATGTAGCGCCTAGCTAGATTTCTTTTTTTGTTCTGTTATGATGTGAACTTTTCCAACTCCCGTTTGAACTCATCACATTGCATAAACAAACTTCGCTGGAATTTTGAAATGTTACAAATAAGAAGCAAGGATAAAGTCTGAAAAGTTTTAAGGAATGTCATTTCGTATGTTTATTTTGCGTTGTCTGATTTGAATCTGTTTATTTTTGTTGTTTGTCATTTTTCATGGTGGTTTTAAAAGGAACTAAAAGTTGATTAGTGATGTAAACCATGTGAGTCGTTGCTCTTGAAATTTTAACGGATTTCTGAAATTTAAATTTTATGCATCTATCTTTCGTGACAATTTTTGCATAATTTTCAAAAATAAACCGTTAAAATCAAATAAGTTTAAGTTTTCACATTCTGATGCTTGATAATTCACAAGTATGACAGTAACAAGTCATTTCCACTGCGAAAATTAAGGAAAATAATCGATATTTGCCGGATTGTATGAGCTAGAAATGTTTTATTGATTAAAAATATGAAAATTCAATTTCTATCACAGTTTTATGTTGTTATTAAGGATATTCTGTGATTTTATTGAGTTAAATATAGCTGTAAAACTTGTTGTTTATGCTGGGAAAGTCTTAAGCTATCATATAGTCACAAATTCTTTATAAGACATTAAACTGTTCAATAAAAATATAATTTTCCATCAATATCAATAAGCAACAAGCATAAGTGTGATGTTTATGGTAAAAATAATCAACAACTTTCGCTATAATAATCCTTAACACATCAGGGGCGTAACCAGTATAGGATTCAAAACATAATTCCATGGCAAAACTTAGTAAATTTGCAAGGTTTTATCAAATGTGATTTACGTCATGACAAGGCTGTCTCTCTCTCTCTCTTACCCACTCTCAGAATCATGCTGAGGATCAAAATACTTGAAGTTGATTCTAAATATCAAGTAATCGTAATTCAGTAATTGTTTATACTTTTATAGATGTGGCGATACATGAAAATATGACAAGCATGAAAGATTGAATTTGGTCAAGCGCGCATGAAAGTTTATATACTTCCACAATGTTGAAATCTAAAAATATATTATCTATAAACGTGACTAAAAATTGTGTATATAAAGAAACAGTAACTGTTGGATATCATTAGAATAAAAATGCAAAAAAATGAGACAAATTGACACGAGTATTGAGTAGGAACAAAAAAAAAGAAGAAAAAAATATAGAAACAGTTGAGAATGAAAAAAATATGTGTATGTGCATAGTGCCTATTCAAAAATCGATGAAAGCCAATTTTTTTTTTATTTTTCAAAACATACGATACGATGCCTATTAAAGTCAACCAGCCTGAAGAATATAACAAAATAAAACAGTGTGAGTTTACTGATTCGGTATTCGCAAAATATTGATTTTGTACTTGCTGCTCCTTTTGTGAGCTTATTCTGAACGAAACAAAAAAAAAAACAAGTCATAGAGGAAAAACTAATAACGTAAATAAATAAAAGTGAACTAGAAGGAAGAAAAAAGCTCGAGGACGTGGAAAAGTTCGATAACATTCCTAAAAATAAAAACAAGCATAAAAATGGATTGCTATCCTGAATACCATAATCATTATCATCACTACAATAGCATACATAATACATACTTTGCATCGAATAACAGCCCATCTCTTAATCGATTTGGTAGCACACAATTAAACAATGAGGCTCCACAGTCACCATTGTACGAAGGATTCTCAAGACACAATCTACACAATCATCATCATCTTCCCAGCAATCACCACTTTAACGGCCAAGGAAGTAGCTTTCCACCATTCGAATCGAACAACGAAAACAGTCAATTCTATTATTCGAATATGCATCAACCACCTCCATCTAGCTATTACGGTACACAACATCCACATCATCAATACGAGTCATATTCATACCCAAGAAATATTCCCTCAAATTATCGATATCCCTACGGATATCATCAAAGTCAACATCATTATCCACCACAGCTACCAAGTCATTCTCCGCATTCCTTCTATCCAATACAACAACAACAACAGCCACAGCATCAACCGTATAATAATAGTAATTCATCAGATCATCACTATAATCACTATCCAACGCCTCCATCGTCTTCAAACCCACAAAATCATCAGCAGCAAGGAGAATTTAATCCTTCAACGAATAATTTACGCTCAAATGACTTTTCATTTAGTTCATCACAGATACAAGAGGGACAAAATAGTGAAAAATTATTAGATAAGGATGTTAATGTTAAGCATGTGGATACGTCAACGATAAATAACCCAAATGTGGCAAAACTAAATGAATCAGACGATAAAACAAATAATAATAATAAAAATACTCGGAATGATCAACAAGTCAGTGTGAATCCCTCGTTTGAGGAGTCGTCAGATAGAAATTCAAATTCCCCAAAAGAAATTCCAAAAGATGAGAAGGCTATAAATAATAAGAATGATGATAATAATACGGAACGAGGAGAAGAAGTTGCCAAAAAACATAAAAATGAATCATTTAATGAGAATGAAAATTGTGTGGAAAATCAACAACATGTACAGCAGAATGAAGAAGCCACTCCGGCAACAGGTAAGACTTTTTTGCCGTTTCTTATCGCAATTTAATTTTTTTAATATTCCATACACATGAAAAAGGAATAGCTTCACTTGTTATATATGACGTAAAGTTCAAATTCCAATCCTGTTCTTATCCCCTTGCTTGCTTCCCTTCCCATATTGTCATAAATCTTCATTAAATCCTTGACTCTTCATCCCTCCTTACCCAAAAATCCGTTCCATAACTAGTGAACAACCCCCGCTTGATGTACATGCTTGATCATGCATTTTGAAAAATTTACATAAATAAATATTTTATTTCTAGATTATTCACCTGAAAGCAGTTGTAAGGTGAATAAAATTCAACAAGAAAATGAGAAGCAACAACAACAGCAACAGAATGTAACGACCACGAATGGTATCAGTAAACTATCGGAACATCACAATGTAAGTTTAAACACATGTCTTATTAGTTCTCTACGATGAATGGAAAATTTGTGGAATGCTCTCAGAGTACGTCATAGTTTGCAAGCTCCCACATATTGAGTATTGTGGGAATGTCTTTCTGTTAATTCTAAAAAAATAATAATAAGCTTGTTAAGACGGTATTGTGCTATATATTTGCTCCCCAAATACGTATATAAATGTTTAATTAGCTGTTTGTCTCCCATTTCGTACGTATAAAAATTAATGTCAGTCTACTGCTGGAGATCTAATTTACAGCATCACATTCGACATGAAGCTTCTTCGAGTACTGATCTTATTGATGTCCACTTTCAATGGACTTCAAGTAATTATTTATTAAACTTTCGTGACTTAACAGAATCCTTAACAACTTTGTTGATATCAAATAGATTACAGCATCAGCAAATATCGTACAAACTGAGTACTTTCTAGCCTTGAACGAAATTCAGCAGCACTTGAATTTATCAATGGTGACTTTGACAATGAGTGAGGAAGACTTTACACAAAATGTGACAAATCTTTTGATTCAATATGGTGAAAATTGGATACGTTTAACAAATGAGCTTTTCGAACGTGATGGCTTTGTCGTTGACATTAAGAATCTCTATAGATTCGCATCGACTATAAAATCTCGTATAAAAGTGAACATATCACAATCATTAAAGGATATCAGGATATTAATACGCAAGAATATGAAATTCTATCAAATCTTCCTTAAGCATTTACTCAACATTTTAAATCAATATGTTGCTGAAATTGAATCAACTTTAAATGATGATTACAATCTTATAGAATGTTGGGATAGCTATAAAACAGTTTATTTTGAAATCGCATTTGATGCATGCAATGCAATTTATAAGCACTCCAACTATCAAATTAAATACCTAAACAATGAGTTTGAGGGGTTGCGAAAGAAAATTACATCGGATATAAAATCAACACAAACACTTATGCTTAAAGAGTATATGGAACCGTTTAAGAATCGTGTGATTATTAGATATTATGTGAGTAGATCCGGAAAGTGGGGCTAAGTGATTGTGAATTATATCTAAAAAAGACTATGCTTTTTGATCAGTTTAACTAATCCGAAAATTGATCAGACTTGTTTCTTGTGACTTTCACATGATGGTACTTGCCTCAGATCCCTCTTACAATAAAGCATGGTTTGTTTATATGCTAAGCTATAAAACTCAAATATCAAAACGACCCCGTTTCCGAGATATTTAACAATTCGTACCTACATGTGAAAACTACAAGCAACAACTTATAAGCTTAAACTTCCTAAAAACTTGTCCAAACTAGTCCATAATAACCAAGAACTGTAACCTTTTAGCTTCTAAAGAATCAACAAACAATTTACAACAACATTGACCAAGATTTCTCAAAAATCAGAACATCCTTGCAGAAAATTGAAGATAAAATGCAGTATGGATTGAAAGACTTCCTTAAAGAGGCTGATCAGAAGTTCTCTGATGTTTATAAGGAGATAGTTGATTGTTTCCAATATTTGAACAACGAATAAGACTTGTCATAGATTCATAATAATCCATATTGACAAGTCATCACGTAAAAACTCATCCTTTAATAGTTACTGACATTGATTCAAGTGAAAAACATTTCCATCATGCAGAGACAAACTGACACATATGAAGATGTAAAAGATTGTAACAAAAAAAAATAATAATAAGCGTGGTAAAGCGCGAAACATCCTGATGATGGAGAAGTAAAAAGAATGTTTGACACATGCGTTGTGAATTTTTTTATACTTTATATCCATCCTCTCTAAGTCTTTGATTTTTTTTTTACATTCCTTCTTCGTCTTTTCATTCACTGTTGCTTGATAATATTTCCTATTCCTACAAACTAACACCATACATGCTTATATTAATTTCCATTGCTCCCAATAACTTACAATAGCTGAATGAGTTTCAATTGTATGTCTATACTTAAAAATTGGGGTAATAAATACTTTTGTGGATGCAACAAAAAAAAAATTGGAATTAATATTCGTCATTTTTATAATGATGACATTTTCTTGTAAACAAAACAGAGAATCTCAATAGTCATTCTTATAATTTGAAAAGTTTATTTACAGCATACAGGCACACATACATGAAAAAAAGGTTTTCCTTCCCCGAATAAAAAAAAAATCGAATATGAGAGAATCAGCCACTTGTTGAATTTGGGAGAGCACATTATACATAATAATAATGTAAAAGTATATAACACTCAATTTTTGATGAGAGGAAGAGCTTTGAGTAGAGCAAAAGAGAGGATAGTTCTCTCAAAAATGGAAATTTGCCACTCATTCAAAAATATATTTGTGATTGAAAGCTTCTTACTAGAGGAAATAATGCTTAATTTATGTGTCGTTTCAGATTCCCAATATGAATGATCGGTCACCGACACCTATTGGATATAATAATCATCATACACCTCATTCTTATCCACATAAACGTTATCCGATGTCATGGTATTCGGTAAATAAGCAATTGCTTAATATTTAATTGAATTTGAATGTCATTGATTTATATGTGCGTTATTCTATCTAGCATGAATATTATAACAATAATAATTGGATGATGAATCCCGATGATCGACGAAATTTCCCTGACTCGCAAACATTCTTCTCATCAATGCGTAGTAAGACCAAAAATCTCAATCCTGATAAGCATAAAATGGTAATGTTTCATTGATTTTTTTTTCCAATTCTTAGCATATTTTTGTGGGCGTTGCGCAATTTTTCGGTTCGATTTGGGGTGTTATATTTGTTATGTGTTGAATTGTAGGTCAGGTTTTGGTGGTAGCTAAGAAATTTAGGATTATAATAATTTTTGTTCATTCATCTGACAGATTAAATGATTTATTTTAATCTTTCGTCCAGTTTTTAATCCAAGGATTAAATTTATAATTGTCTTAAATCGAAAGCTTGATGATTTTCTCATGTAATTTCTGAACATTATGTAAATGAGTAATAAAATCAATACCTCAAGCTGTCTTTTATTTTATTTTCCAACAATTATATCAATGCTTAAATCTAATCTGTTCAGTAATTCTGAGTAATTTATAAGCTCATTTCATTTCAACAAACAATTTCAAAATTAAAATGACCGTTGAAAATTCAATAAAATTCTAAAGAACAATTCAATATATTCCGTTGTTGACTTTTCTCCTTCAGTCACTTGATTGTTTAATTAATTAACAAAGATATAGTCCCACACAAAAATATGCAAAAGGAAAATTATAATGAATGAAAATCTCTGATTTATAAAATTAAATTACTATAGCAAAACGACAACTCACCCTCATCAACGAAAAGGACAAAAAGAAAATCAAAAATAGAAGATTCAACACAAAAAGTGGATCCAAATAAGAATAATATGAAGGTAAATTTATAGAGAATCAACTAAATAGGAGGCTTAATTAATTTATAAACTTTACAGAATGTCACACCATTGCCGGGATTTTTACAAACATTCGGTCAGACTGAAATAGGAAAATTTTCAGAAGCTTTTTACACATCCGACAGTCCATTACATTATTACAATAATAATAACATTGAATCTGATATCGATAGTCCCCAACTCGATTGGGACTCACTTGATGGTCCAGTTGGAAATCCCATGCCAATGCAATTAGCTTCTTCTTTTTATATGTATGGAAGTGAAAATGAATTTGATTCACCCGTAAGCAGTTTTAGTGAAATTATGTGTAAAGATTTTTAAGCGAACAAATTGAGATGATTTTATGGAACATAAAAATAATAATAATATTAATAATATGAAGAAATTTATATATCATTTTAATGAACAAGAGGAAGATATCTTTACATTTTTATTAGATTTATTACGAGACAGCAGGTTTGAAAAGAAATGGATAAAAAAAAAATTACCGAAATTTATTTTTTATAAAGTGCCTTATTTTTAAATTAGTATTCAGAATTCAAAATTCAATATAAATCTAATTAGATTTTCACACATAATTTTATCTTAATTTTTGGTAAATCTTTTGATGAAGAAATTAAATAATAACGAGATTAGAGGAACGACCATAAACGAAAAATCTTAGATAATATACTCTTGTGAAAAATCCATTGCTTTCATTTCTTTCTTCCTTTATGAGTGTTAAAGTGAACGTTAAACATGTGACAAGTGTCAAAAAAAAAAGATAGATCTCAAAGAATCCATTCTAATTATCATAAATGTTTCCAATTAATCAAAATTAATTCTATGAAATGTACAAAATGTTGTTAAAGACATGATGTGTTGTAATTTTTAAAAAAATTGAAATTTAATAGAATTAATTGTTGTAAATAATTTAATGCAAAAGAAAGAACAAATGAATATAAAAATTCAAAACATAAATGCACTTACTTAACATTTTTTGTTAAAAATTCTACAGTGCTCGAATTAGCCAATTGATTAATGAATGCATAAAAGAGGATTTTTCGAATCATTCGATATCACTTTTTAAATGAAACTCTTCTGTATGTTAAATGTAAAAATATTAATAACAATACAAAGTACAAACAAATCGTGTCATTCATGTAAGTTAAACAAAAAAAAAAGATAAATTGAAAGGAAAAAAATAAATAAAATTGGCTTAATTAGCATTTTAGGATTGTTCAAATCGATCTTCAATGACTTTTTACTTTTATTCAAACTTTTGAATTTTCAAGCTTTCAGTTTTTAAGGTATTTTCTAGATGACATGTCACGCAACTGTTGTGCGACAAAATCTATGAACAATACACCAAAAAGACAAAATTTTCATGTTGTGCCACACACTTTGTGAAGTGTGACTGCTACCACAGTTGCGATACACAAATTCCGTGGTTTCAGTGCAGTTCACCAAATTCAAAGGATCTTTAAAACCCAGCCTGAAAGCTTTTTTTTTTCAAAAATTATCTATACAGAACCACTTAAAATCAATTATTTGATTATAATTCGACGTCTTAATTTATTTATTATCCTTAACTTGAAAAAATATAAACTTTTTTACAGCATAAAACTTAGAGAAATTCAGCGTTCCAAAGGTGCATAATTAAGCAATTTTTCAATCAAATCCACATGTCCCAGAAGCATTCGTCGACAACAATATCTTTTTAAGCCTAAAGCATCGAGTGCATCACTATAAAAGGAAATTAAATTCATTTAATCATGAAATTCGCCTTAAAATTGTCAATAATTTACCCTTCAGTGTATTCTGCTTGTAATAGACCTAAATATGCTTCCCATTTGTTGCCAATAACTTTTCCGCATGTAAAACAACGAACTGGAATAATCATGATGATGGTTTAACTCTATTTGACTGCTATTTTAATTAATTTTAATAATTTTTCTGGAAGTTGAAGTTTCGCGTGCCTTTTTTGTTTACAAGGGGCTTAAACATAAGTTTTCAAACAAAAACATTCAAATTTATTTCGACCGTTAATTTTCAACAGATTTTATTACAAATTCTAGTGGGAAAATTGAGATGCTTAATTAGATAGGAAAACTGCAATTTTCAGAAAGCCTAATTAATTAATAATTATCATGAATATTCCATTTCAACTCGTTTAAAAACAATCCCTATATTTGACCTGTGGGATCAGCAAATTATCATGAATATTGTCTAGTGCCTAGCACAATTCAATTAAGTCTTTATATTGTAATGCTATTTTCATCCTCTGCTCATTTACCTTTAATTTCATTATCTTTATTTCTGATGAAATAAAGGTGAGCTTGATGCAACTATATTAAGTTTAAGAAGGTTTATGTGGCCTAGCTTGACTTACTAAATGATGAATAAATTTATTCTAAGTTCATTAATTTTTAAACACTCATAGTCATTGCTTAAACTGCATATATCCATAGTTTATAATTTTATGACGTAATTAATATTCTGTCTTATCTGCTTCCGTTCTTATTTATTAAACATTTTGTTGCTAAATTCAACAGATCAGAAAGAATTACGAAATCCTCACTGGTCATTGCTTAACTACGTCAATGATGAAGATGAAATTGCAGAAAAAAACCCCTGATCAATTAAAGGTGAAGATGTTAATGAAAGTTGGACTGTCATTGTTGTCATTTTATAGAACTCAGTGATTTATCATGACAAAAAAATAGCTGTAATGTGCGATATTAATAGATAATTATTTGCTTAATGAGGGTTTGTCGGTAGTATATTTGATATTCGCTTTAGATACAATATTCAATGGGGATTTTTAACACAGGCATTCTGATTTTATTTTTTTGGTGCTCATTAGAATGTACTTACTATCTAGAACTAAAATTATTTTTCTGCTGATTCATTATGGAAAGGTACACATGTTATGAAATAGCTAACCTAGTAAGAACATCAAAAGATTTTTCAAAAATATCAAACTTGACAGAATAATAATTTTAGAACCCCTCCCCTCAAAATGCTACAATTTTTTAATAAATTAAATTCAACTTTTTAAGAATCTTCACAATTTGCAGACTTCCTCTATCTATAAAACAATGGGTCTCTCTCAGGGTCTCTCTTAAAATGATCAAAAACTATCAAACTATGATTTATCAGTTCCGATCCCTCGATTAAAATCTTGAGATTAATTTATTAATCTGGTAGATTTATTTTAAACCGAGAGATTACATTTTTAATCCGAAGGGTTCACTTCTGAATCTCAAAATTTGAACCAAAAGCTGGTGTTTGAATCCTCTTGACACTTAATTACATAAGCTATATCCAATGATTCATACGACATTACAGGTTCACTGGAATGTCAAAACAGCAAATCCAATTACCCTCGACTTGTGATCTTGAGAGAAAAAAGCAAATAAAATCTTGTGCATTTTCTAGTGCCATTGAAAAAAATCCCATTTGACTCACCCCAAACAAAAATAAATCTTTGTTGACAAATAAGTTTGATATCCAATACTAAATGATCACGTCAATAAATCCGACAATATCTTCGATTAATTCAGAGAATTGGGGTTCATGAAATGTGCTCCCTGATGATCAAGAAAAAGTGATCATGTTCATCAATCAGACGTCCGCATGCAGGAAACACCTCTCAATTTACTCTCGCATTTTTAAAATAATTTTTTTTAGATATTAAATGAATTTTAAAAGAGAATATGAGCATGAGCTTGTTGCTGAGTATAACAGAGGAATTGAGTAGAAAATAAATATAAAATAGCAGTGCTTTGTTAAGTAAAAGAGTCATTCCTAACCGAGTTGTTTACGAGAGAAGTAGAAGATCGCTACTTAGTTTAGAAGTTCTTTTACTTAACTGTACAGATATTAATTATTCATAAGTTCTGTGATTTTGTTTATTTCCTGTTTTTGTTGAATTTGCAAGTGCCGAGATAAAGTAAATGCTTTAATATTCATAATTTAGTGTTACTCATCATCATTAAAAAAATAATTAGTGCTACTTAATATAATTCCAATCCCTCCACATGTATCTATTAATTCTACTTTGTACCTCATTTCTCAAAAATCCCGTGAAATTAATTTCTTTCAAGCAACTGACGTCATTGGATTTGTTGAGCACTTAAAGCTTCAACTTAGAATGTTTGCTGATTTATTATTGCTTCAACAAATCAATTTTCATGCAAATTCCCCATTCGCTTAATCAAATAAAAAGATTTATTTTAAACATCTTAACAAATAATTGAGGAATCAATTTACTTAAGCTCAAGTCAAGCTATTGTCTTTGTCCAAACTGTGAAATAAAAAGTTGTCATTATCTTAATCAGATATGATTATTTTTGCATGCTTAACACATCAGTGAATATTCAAGTGACTTTTTAACAATTTTGCAACCTCATTGCAAAGGCATTGCTTAAAATTTATTCAAAGCAATTTAGCTAGGGTTCCTGTGAAATGTGTGTGCTGTTTGGTGAATGTGGCATTTTGCTTCATATTGTGAAATTAATTGCCCTTGAATCGTTTGATTTTTGGAGAGAAATGTACCAAAAAACAGTCAATAGAGCATCATTATTAAGCGGATTTTAGCTTTGAAATTAAATTATTGCCATGTGATTGATTTTTGTGAAACTTTAAATATTGAACGTACTTTTTAAATTTAAATTTGGGGCTTAATACTTGTTTTTGTTTACAAATTTTAATGTCTTGAATAAAATCTCTGTAATAACTATGAATTCTCAATTATTAGATTCAAGAAGTCAATCAATAGATTATTTAGAGTTTGCTCTTTCTATCAAACTATCTTAAGTTATAGTTCTAAACCGGGTTGACTAGAAATTTGGAATTTTAAAATTTGTTCATGAATTTTAAAGTTCTTGACCCAAAAATCACCATAATTTTCAAATTTTAAATAACCGTTAGTCAAAAATTTCAAAGTTTTGACAAGATTTGAATATCATTAAATCACAACGTGGCCATATGGCTTTTAATAAAAATATTCCTCCCATACCCAATCAATAATTATCTTCTCATCTCCTCCAGTTTTGTAAATTAATTAGTATTGAAAATAAATAGAAGCAAGCCAACATGAGTAAGTACTGTTAAACACCATAAAAAGATAAGAGCACAATTTGATTAAATAGAACACTGTAGAATATTAATAAGTAGATTTTTCTCAGCACAGTAGAAACTATCAAACACAACAATTGTCACAATCAATCTTATTTTGCACATATATGCACATTATCAGCTTAATTATTGTTGTATTATTTTAGAGATTAAATATTCATGTTATGTATGTCATTTACAGAGATTCCAACAATGTTATCAGAACTTGATGCTTTACCATCAGTCCAACTTGGTGATTATATCCTTAGATTTGAGCTCGATGATCTGACACCATTCAGTCAAGAAGTTGCATTTAAGGAATTGAGAGAGACACCAGAAAATCGCGAAAATGGTATTCGGGAACTGAGAAACTTACTCTCACAAGGTAATTGACTGACCTTAAGCCAAACACGCTGAGTTTGTCAACATTAAACAAAAGAGTGTAAATTGCTGACTTTATTAAATCAGCTGTTTAAGACTCTCTTTCAAGGTCCAAATGAAAGTGAATTTTTTAAAGCTGACTGCAAAATTTTGCATTGTTTTTATTATTGAAAATCTAATACGAAACTGCTTATGAGGCATGAGGCGATAAATAGAACAAAAGTGTTAGTAGGAAGTTACAATTTGAATGTAACCTCTAGAGAAGTCAGTTTTAATTATTTACTTCGGCATTTTATAGTTAATGTAAATTAAATTACAAAAAAAAAGAGATTCTTGTGGTTATGAATTTAATAGCTTGAACCTTAAGAAATTGAATTTAAGTTTTTAATGACGTCAGAGTCGATGGTATGTCTATTGTATTGTAGTAATGATGATCTATTCTTAATTTCATAATGACATCAGCACTGAGATTTAGAAATTGAAGATCATTTGAGTGTTTGAACTTTTATTAAGCCTTTAAATAATAATTGAAGATTTTTAAAAATTGAACGGCTTTTTGAAATTTAAATTTACATATGTGAAATTTTCAGATTCCCAGAATACGTTAAAATATTCAAGCACGTCATTCGATGAACTTTGTATCCCTTGTAATCTATAATTAATTTCTTATAATCACGCTTTTATGAGTTGCACATGCATTCACGCATGATTAATTTACAATTTCTTTAAAAATCTCATTGTATGCAAAATCATTAAATTGAAAATTATAAGCTGTGTAGGAAAGTTTTAGGTATTTACGTTTATTTTTGTTTTCTTCTATAAAGTAATAATTGACCTCAAGCTTATTAATGTAATTAACACATTTAAATACACTCCATTTATTGAATCAGATAGCACATAAATAATAACTTTAAACTCTTTTTATTCACAGAAACGAATCTAACAGTTCCGCTCGATAATGATGATTGGCTAATAAGATTTTTGAGACCTACGAAATATTACTACGAGAGTGCTTTTGAGCTTGTAAGATTCTTTAATTTATCTCATCTATATTTTAATGTATATCATGTTTATTATTGTATCAGATTAAGCGGTATTATGCTTTCAAGATCAAGCATCACGAAATTTATCAAGCATTAAAACCTTCAAATGAGGAAAACATCTTTAAAGCAAACATCTTATCTGTATTTCCAAATCGTGATCAGCTTGGCAGAAGAATACTTTTACTCGAACTCGGAAGTAAGTAATTGTTTTAAATTGTATGGAATATAAATTTTATAGGTCATTCTTGTCTTTATTGTGGGTCAATTTGAGACTTAATCCTTGGATTAAAATTAAATCCGTTGGTTAAAAATTAAATCTTCAAATTTGTCGCTCAGTTATGACGTCAGGGGGGGGGGGGGGGTCCAAATAAATTGACGTCATAAGTGAACGACCCTAAATCAAGCTATTGAATAATACTTGCTATACAGGAACTTACTAATTTCCTCCTGTGCTTTTTAATAATTTCTCAGAAAAATGGAACCACAAGCAAGTAACACTAGACGAAGTATTTAAAGGAGTTGTGCTGTTTTTGGGTAAGATTAATGCTCAAATTTTCCCATAATAATCATCATATAATCCTATTAATTTAATTAAACATAATACAGAGGCTGCTATGCTAGAACCAGAAACACAGGTAAATAAGCAATTAACTTTAATTAATTTTTCAAAGTGAAAACATTCTTGGGTATTTATATTTTCAGGTGAATGGAGCTGTCGTGATTTTCGATATGGATGGTTTATCTCTACAACAGGCATGGCAATTTACACCTCCATTCGCAATGAGAATTGTTGATTGGCTACAAGATTCCGTACCTTTACGTATTAAAGCTATTCACATCATCAATCAACCTAAAGTCTTTAATATGGTATTTGCTTTATTCAAGCCATTCTTAAGAGAGAAGCTCCGCAATAGAATTGTCTTCCACGGAACTGATCGTGATTCTCTGCATAGTCATATCGCACCAAAATGCTTACCAAAGGAATATGATGGAACTATTGATTTGCCAAGAGTTAGTGGAAATGAATGGTACGGATTGCTGTTAAAATGTGACGGAGAGTACGATACTCTAAACAATTATGGCTACTTAAAGGAACGTGACGCAAAAGAAGCTAAATCCAAAAGAAATAAGAAGTGAATGATCTAATTTTTAAATGACTATAAAAAAAATTATGTTAGAGGTTCTCTACTCTGTGATTTATGCTATAATAATCCAGTTCTTGTATTTTTAATACACTTATTTAATTCATTAAAGGTTGAAATAAAGCAATAAAATCCTTTTTATACATTACGTTATTCTGTATGTTCGTCTAAATCACCAAAACGGATGATTGTGTTTTGAGTAGCTTTACTTATTTTTTCAACAAGCTTTTCACGACCACGACGGCGATGTCTCTTCTCAGGATTTGGCTTGCTTTTGTCCTCATTCTTTTTCTTTTTTTCACGACTATCAAATATTTTCTTCCAATAATCTTTTTCTAGATCATCCTTTAAGACTTCCGTTTCATATTCACAGCTCGAATAGTGATTGACCAGTTCATGTGCTGCTTGAGATGCATTAACTCTAATAAAACATTGTGAACCGCCTTCCATGATGTCTACATATTGGACACTCGGGAATTGCTTAAGTTCTTTTTTAAATTCCTTAAAATCAACACATGGTTCTCTAAACTTAATATTCACAATGCAACCTGGATCAAACAAGAGATTTCCTGCCTCAATAGATTCAGCTACAGGTTCATTGACATTTTCAGTACTACGTTCATTTGGTGATCCATAAAAGTTTATTTTTGGCGATACTTTAGCAGTTAAAGCTGCAAATGGCTGATTTTTAATGTCTGTTCGTTTATTATAAGTTTCTCTTAGGATCTTTTTAATCTCCTTTGCCTTCTGACGCTCTAGATTCAGGTAGGCATTACGAAGCTTCTTCCATTCATTCTTTTTCATGACTTTCATTGACATTAAATGGTCATCTACTAGTTTATTTTTGGCTGTATTTCGTCTCTTGTGCTTCCTTTTCTTCTTTTTTGGACTATCAGTTGTTGTGGGATCTTCATCAGCTGTAGCTTCTTTGTCACTTGTCTTTTCGTCTCCATCCTTCTTGACATCTTCACTATTGTCCTTATTTTCTGGCACATCTGTTTCTGTACTTTCAGTTTCTTGACTTTCTATTTTAGCTTTTTTTGATGGCGGTTCCTCATCATGATCGTCCTTTTCAAATGTCGTGATGCTTAATAGATTTTCAGGTTTAACACTCGTGCCTTGTAAGACACCATCGATTTTCTTAAATGCTGTAACAACATTCTGAACATTTGCTGGATCATCAAACTCAATGAAGCAAAATTGTTTTATTTGACGTGATTTTTTATAGCGAGGTAAACTGACGTAATTTACTTTCCCATACTTTGAGAAGATTAATTTAAGTGAATCATGTGTTGAATTTATTGGGATTTGCTCAATATAGACTGTACATTCATCAATCTCTTCTTGTGTCTTTTTAGGAGCATCTGATTTCAATTGAATCTTTGTTTTATCCTCCGACAACTCAAGGATTGTTGATTTAGAGATTGATTTCGTTATTTCATGCAAGTGCTTCTCTTCTGGAATCATGTATGTCCTTAAAATCTGCGATATCTTATTGAATTTCAAGAATGTTGATAACGGGACATCTGTAAAATATAAAGTTATTAATTAATTAATTTTGATAGTGTGCCTGTATTACTTACAAGGATCCTCAGAGATCAGTTTTGCTATAAATCTGTCTTTGGCTAAATTGGAACTTGAAAAGTAAAATTCCATCTGATTTAGCAACTTTATATACATTTGCTTCTTTCGAACACGAAACTGTTTATTTCCTTGATGTTCTGCTTTACTTTCATCGTCTTCAGCATTCTCTGACTCATTTAAATAGTCTTTTTCCATTTTCGGTGAATTTTAATCGTTTAAAATCGATTTAATTATTAAGGAAACAACCTTTCTCAATACTGTTTACACTGCTTTACACTATTAATTTCTTCACAACAACAGTCAAACACAAGCTATTTTAAGCAATATTTAATAAAAATTAAGGATTGATAAAAGAGTAAGCAAAAGTTTGTAAACAAAACAATAAGACCCAAAATTTGTACGATAAATATGAAAATTTGGAACCGTACAAATTTGTGAGGTTTTGTCGAATAACAAATCCAGTTTAAAAAATCACAAGAATACATTCCGGTTCTAGCTTATTTAAAGATTTTCACAGTTTAGAAAATGGCACAACAATGTCAATTGTGGATGGGAAGTTTGCAGGTAAGCATTGCTAGTGATAAAATAAAGAAATTGTCTCAAAAATGTGATGAAAAGACACTTTTTTGAAAAAAATTGTCCAATTTGTGAAATTTCAATAACTTATCTTCTTTGCCTTACTATTGTGATATTTGATGCTTTTAATCTATAAAGTACATGCTCGTACATATGTTTTCATGATTATGAAGATTTAAAAGCTCTTAATTAAAATTTTGAACAAATTTACTGGATCTCAAAATTTTTTACATGACTGTAAATGACTTCAGAAAAAAATATGGGTTAGAGAGAAGATAAGAATATTAGAATTATTCGATGTTATCTTTATTACACCGTTTCTAATGTTTTTCCCTACCATTCTAGCCATACATGGATGAGACCTTTATAGTAGCTGCTTTCCAAAGAATGGGAGAAAATCCAATAACAGTGAAATTGATGAAGAACAAGTATTCTGGAGATGCAGCCGGCTATTGTTTTGTCTCTTTTGATACTGACGATATTGCTATTAATGCGATGCACAAATTAAATGGAAAGCCGATACCTGGAACAAATCCAGTCATTCGTTTTAAACTTAATTCTGCAATGACTTCTCACAACAAGCAATTTATGGCCGAACGTGAATTCAGTCTTTGGGTTGGAGATTTGTCTGTTGATGTAGATGATTATAAACTCTACAGAGCGTTCTCAAACAAGTATCAATCGATTAAGGCTGCCAAAGTGATTATGGACAATTCGGGATTTTCACGAGGCTACGGATTCGTTAAATTTGGTCTTGAAGAGGAGCAAAAGAATGCATTATATGAAATGAATGGATATGTTGGGCTCGGAACGAAACCTTTGAAAATATGCAGTGCAGTTCCAAAACCAAGAGACGGAATGGGTGGTGGAGGTGGACATCACCAGCAGCAGTCAGCCACAAGTATCGTACAGCAAGCATATGATAATTATTCTCAATACTATAATCAATATAATCAACAACCACAATATTATGGACAGCAAAGCTATGTCCCCCAAAACCAACAACAAGCATATGGATATGATGCACAGCAGCAAGGCCATGTTTATGGATATAGTCCACAGCAACAGATGGACCCTTCAGCTTATCATAAACAAAACTGACTTTCTGTAACTCTTAAAGAATTTTAAATGTTTCATGATCAACCAAGATAATTTTTTAGCAACATCGCTTAACATTTTTAATTAATTAAAGAAGTTAAATAAAAATTCACTTTGAAGATTTAATGAAATATATATTTTAAGAGAGGCCTAATGCTCTAGTCTTTTTGGAAAATGATAGTTATGTATATTGGAATGTGATCTACCCCAAAAATTATAAATTTGAATAAAACTAGAAATTTTCGTGAGTTACAATGGTCATAAAAATGGCATTTCTTAAACCCAGTCTCTTCTTTATCCTAAATCATATCATAATTCGAGGCTATATTCAATCATCAAGCGTCATGTCATGGAGATTAACAAGTATTAGAAAGCCTGTGAATGAGAGCCGCAAATTTGTACTGTAATTATAAAAGCCGTTGAAAGGTTCACGAAAAAAATCAGTTATCCGACTGTAAACAATTCGAGTATCTGGCATTTAGTTCCAAAAACAAAGCATTCTGGATGTTGAGTGTTAAGTGATAATTCTATGTAATTAAGTAAACAAGTTGATTTAAAAGCAGTAAAAATGGCACAGCAATGTCAACTTTGGATGGGAAGCTTGCAAGTAAGTCAATTTGAAGGCACCAAAGTGCAGTTTTATCATTTATTCTATATTTGACAGCCTTACATGAACGAGAGCTTCATTCTTGCGGCATTTCGAAAGATGGGAGAAGATCCATTGACTGTAAAATTGATGAAAAACAAGTTTTCTGGAGAAGCAGCCGGCTATTGTTTTGTATCATTTCTAACAGACGAAGCAGCTGTAAATGCTATGCATAAATTGAACGGAAAGCCGATTCCTGGAACTAATCCAATAGTAAGATTCAAGCTGAATTCGGCTACTACTTCACAAAACAAAGCATTAATGCTCGAACGTGAATTCAGTGTTTGGGTAGGAGATTTGTCTTCTGATGTGGACGACTACAACCTTTATCGTGTATTTTCGTCAAAATATCAATCAATTAAGACCGCTAAAGTTATTATGGATGATTCTGGATTCTCACGTGGCTATGGATTCGTTAAATTTGGACTTGAGGAAGAACAGAAAAGTGCACTGTACGAAATGAATGGATATATAGGCTTAGGATCAAAAGCTCTAAAGATCTGTAGTGCTGTACCGAAACCAAAAGATGGATCAGTAATTATGCCTCAACCAACAGCAACAAGTATCGTTCAGCAAGCTTATGACAGTTATTCCCAATATTATGATCAATATTCTCAATATTATTGGCAACAGCAGCAAGGATATACAGGATATGAAACACCACAGACACCACAAGTAGATCCAGCGACTTATTATTCACAACAAGCGAGTGCACAAATAGCTGCTGTAACGCAAACACAGCCTCAACAGCCACAATATGGATCTCATTCCTATAAATATGAGCATGATGAAGACTATATGCTTGTTGATTACAAAACTACAATTGATGTCGATAAATTGAATAGAGAGACAGTTGAGAGGGACAGGAATCTTTACGATAGTTTAGAAGCAAGCAAATGGCATCCAATTGAGATGCTGGAAAAACTTTATTAATTAATTTTAACAAATATTTTACGAATAAATTGACGAAATCATTCAAATTAAATACTTTTACTTATTTCTTGGTATCATTGCATGACAGGTATGAACACATGACATTAAATAATTGAATTTGAACATGACATTAACAATCAATTTTAAATTAAATGATTATTAACATCATCCATGCCGTGATCATGCAAAAATACTCACGAATAAAACATCGAGTACTGTGGAGCATGAATATTTAAAGTAAACATTTAAAAGTTCATATCTAAAGTGTCGTGTCATATAAAATATTTAAATGTGGATGCTCTGCGAGCAAGCAATCCATGAACAATATTTAATGAATAACAATTTAATATGTTAATAACCAGCGCTGTCTTGTATAGTTTTGTGAATTTTTTGAACAAAATTAAATGTTTCGCATAAAAGTCATACTTTAGTGACCCAACGGTCCGTGAATAATTTTTGAGTGAATTAATGAGATTCTTTGAGTTTTGACGAATTTTGGACATTTTAGAATAGTCAATTTAAAAATATATCTTGATGGATTTAAAATTAATCTTGTTGGATTTAAAATTAATATTGTTGGATTAAAGTTGAATCTCAAAAGTCAGCTAGAATTTTTAAAAATTCCCACTTCTCAAAAATGGCATAAACCGGCTTAAATCTCCTTCAATCGTCGTTGTCGGCATGTAATTAGTTTTAAAAACATTTTCTTCTATCTAATTTATAGCCTTTAATTCACTTTAGAGTGAAAGTATATAAATACAAGAATATTCGAATAGAAATAACAGCCTTGAGAATAAATGTCAAGCTATATGACATTAGAAAATTTCGCAAAAACTTTTCATCATTATGCAAATAAATTTTTATGACTATGGTTAGCTTGAGGATCTTTAATGACTAAATTATTGATCGTGATAGGAAAGCGTGCGGTTGGTTTTGAGTGAAGCTTAAAATTTTTAAATTTATTGATTGAATTTTTTTCTGAAGGACTATCATTTATAGTTCTGAACTTTCTCACGCAAAATTCAATTCATGTTTATTTTTCATTCTTGTTGGAAAGGAAGAGAAAATTTCCCTCAATTATTATTATTATGTAGCTTCGATGTCTATCATACATAATAAAAGAGTTATTTAGATTGTCTCATTAAAAGGAGTGAAAAAGAGAAAATGAATTTCCGATATTGAGAATAAAATGACAAGACAAGCAGCTAATATAGTATCGTAGTAGAGAAAATATTTCACTTTCTCTCTCGTGCATCCTATAAATATTTTCACATAGAGAATAACATGAAAAGTGTCTCAGCTTTTATTCTGCTCACAGAGAAAATCAGTATTGAAGGACGTGATTTTGTTGAGCGATTACGCATTTTTAAATTTTTTTGAAAATAACTGTTGAAATTTTTTCGAAAAATAACGGTCAGAAAATATTTGAAATTTATGCTCAAAATGTATTCAAAAAGTAAGGATGAAAATTAAATTGACAGTCAATTTCATTAGAACCAAGTATTCAGAACCAATCAAAGTTGATGACAGTCGGATATAAAATTAGCATTAGTAGCTTTTCCATTTTGGAAAATTCATTGAAAAGTCTCAATTTGGCCAATGCATGCTCACAGAGAACTGAGAAAAAAAAAGCTATGAGCAGCTATGAGAAATAGCAACAACAGGAAAGTTTGTTTGTACACAAAAATCTTACCGAACACACGCGTTCGTTCTATGATGTCATTAATGCGCAGAATCATATAAGAACATAACTTTTTTTCTTCTACTATTATTTTTTTTTCTCAATTCAGTTTGCGAAAATCTTTCAAGTTTTACGGTCGTCTCATGCTTGAAGCTCTCTGCGACGAGAGTCGATTAAAAGAAGAAAATAAATATTAAGAAAATAAATAAAATAAAGAAATGAATTTTTAAAACTCATAAATTTAAAGGAACTGCGTAGAATTAAGTGCAAAAAAATAATATCCGAATGGAAATTGTCACATAGAAGACATTTTCATCTGGTCCATATTGAGATGATGTTGAAAATTTACACTGAAAAATCGCCATCTCAAAAGTACGAAATCAATATGAGAAGCAGTCATAACGAAAGCTCTCATGAAAGAGCGAATATAATTCATTCGATTCGAGATATGTGAGCAGCGAGGAGCTCATTTAAGCTACAGAAATAAATAATAATAGTAAGGAATAGTGAAAGAATAGTTTAATTTGAGAGCAGCACGAGGGTTATTTGTAAATGATGTCTGTTTAAAATTGATGGGGTTGTTGTGGAGTGTCAGGCAGGCACTAGTTGTGTAGCAAGTGTTTTTTGGCGCCTAAAATTAAATTTTAAAATTTTGGAACAAGTTTCATTCACTTAAGGGCATCCAAACCTTGCTAGATGACCACAGAATCCCCCCCCCCCCCCCCTTCCAAAATCATACATCATTTACGAACGACCCCTATCATCTATATCATTTAGTTCGTCAAAAGACGTGTCATGAATAAGAAAAGACGAGTGTTTTGTGCTTATTAATAAATATAATGCTTCATGTATACAACAATAAATATGTGAATGAAGTGGAGAGCAAAACAAATTGATGCTTAGGATTCGTACATAAATTGATTAAAGTGATTAAAGACAATCCCACACGATTCCGGAATTTCAATTTTCCTTCTTTTGCTTCTCTCAATTTTTCTATTTATTTATTTTAAATAATGATGATATTCATAAAGTGATAAGGAACAAACAGACATATAGACAGTAAAAGTATTTAAAACCACAAACATTCATGAGGTTGCTATAAATAAAAGCTCAGAAAGTGACTGTAAAATACATTAAGTAAAATCTGTAACAACTTCATTTCGTACCTAAAATCAAAAGAGTTTACATGCTCGAGAGAAGCTCAACAAAAAGGTGAGAATGTCAATTTTTTTACTTCTTCCTTTTCATTCCTTTTTTTTACGAGATGGAAATCAATTTGCCTGGGATAGAAGTTTTTTATTTCCACTTCCATTTCGTACCGAAAAGTTGCACATTTTTTTTGTGACATGATGTGATTGTTTTGTGTATACTGAATGAGAAAAAGCAATTTGCAAATATTGATACTAATTTTTCCGCATAAATTAATACTAATTTCATCTTCCTCTGTGCTCCATGCTGTTATTGTCAATTCAGAATGAACAATCTGTCATCGCAGATAAACGAATGGATGGATTGAAATGGATGGCCACATTGGAGATACACATTTTAGCCATTAATTATTAATCAAGTGGATTTTGTTACTTGAAATACAAATAGACTGATTGTATGCAGATGGAAATATATTGGTACGGAACCAATAAGTTTAGAGATAAGATAACAGTTTGTTTGGTAACTCGCGAATTTAAACTATAGCACAACGATTAAGTTGTCTAGTATTACATTTTAGATAATATAAATTATTGAAAGTAACCGAATATTCACAAACGAAATAGAAATTCGAGAAACTCTGATTCATGCTACTAAAATGATAAAATTATGCTTTCACTGAATTCATGATCTGCATCTGTAGCACAACTGATGTTTTTAATGAAATATTTCATTAATATTTGCTGTGACGGTGATAAAAAGGAACAGTTTTTGTAAATTGTATAAATAATTATCTACAAAAGCATTCGACTCAATAATTATTTTGTTTATACAGCTCAAATGAACGAGTGCAATTAAATTTTGTGTTTTATCAAAAAGTATTTAACATTATCAGTGAATTGTAAAAGCTGTTCAGATTAGATATGAATTCAATAATTAAAGGCTTTCAAAATTTCAAATTTTAACGACTTTTAAAAATTTAAATTGTATGTAAAATAAACTGGACTGAAATGAATGTACAACACAATTAAAAATTCCATTCTAAAGCATTAAACATCTAGCCTTATTCTCAATAAACAATCCCATATATGAGCAGGCTGTAAAAATAAATTTTAGTCTGTTTAAAAATAATCCCAGCAAATAAGAATAATCTCAGGTTACAGATAACTTCAGTCAGTGAAATATGATAGATTTATCTTAAAATAAGCCAAATGAGAGCTCAAAAACTGCAGCAAAAAAAAAAGATAAGAGAAAGAGATTCACTTAAACATCATTAGTCAAGTATTCGAATTAATCTTCCATATTCTTCTTAATATTCCTTTTAGAGCTTTTCAACTTCATTCAATTGCTTTTCATTCATTTTATATTCGCTTGTGTAAGTGCTTACTTCCTTTTTTCTCCTTTTAATATGTATCGCTAGCGATTTTGATGGCTCCGAATGTCTGATGAGATCAAAAAAAAAACGGAGAAAAAAGAAAGTAATACATCCATAAGACTTAAAAGCATACAATTTAGTTAAAATGATTCATTTTTTATCATCATTTGTTAATGTGGAACTCACTTGTGTATTTATTGTGTTATTTATTAATTTGGGGATAAGAAGAAGAATTCATATGAACTCATTTGTCGGGTATTTAAGTGTAAATTTTACTGGTTTTTGAAAATTCAAAAAAAACTGTTCAGTAAAACACAATTCATTTCAATTCAGTTCATTTCAACAAAACATTTTAAATTTCAAAAAGCCGTTAAATTTTCAACTAGTTTCTTTAATTACTTTCCGTTTATGAAAAGATCCATTAAAAATTCAACATTTGCATGTTCTCAAATTAATTTTCCGCCTTATTAATAAAAGAGAAAAAAAAAGAATATTTGAATAAAGTGTTCAATTTCTTTTTATATTCAACTATATCACGCACTAGAAAGAATGAAAATTATTTTTCGAGAATACCCTTTAATATTTTATGATGTCAAAATGTAGTTCAATGCTTTCAACAATAGAACAAAACCCTTATGAATAAGACACATGCGGTAAAGTGTTCATTTTGTATATATTCGATCAATTCACTAAAAACGCACTGCATTTAGCACACTTTTCAATTAATTCATGTCGTGCACATAAATGTTTACTGCACTTAATAGCTTCTGTATACGGAACGGACAGCGGTTACGTCAGTTTTGTAATGTGTAACATTTAATTTCATTTAAAGCTATAAATATTAATTTGAATGAGCATACAGAATGAGCTTCACAAATTTGCATTTTCATCATTTATGCCTCAATGGTTATATTAATTAGTTCCTAAAATTCGCTATTTCCACTCGACAAAAAAATATTAAAATTAATGTCCTAGTCTCATGTGACAAGTTCAACTGCTACTTTCCCTTATTAAATAACGTGAAATATTTTAATTTAGGCACAAAGGTGTATACGGTGGGAAATGAATTGAATAAATAATATGTACGTGTTAATTGATATAGTCATCGCTCTATGTCGTCTCTCAAAATATATTTAATTTTTGTATAAATAAGTACCGGTGTATAAAAAGTTTGATTTACTCACGAAAATAGCTGGTTTCATTTTGACAGATTTCTCTTGATTATTTCAATATTTTCTACAAAACTTGTACCTGTTTCATCTAAGTTCGTTTAGTAAAGTACTTTTAAATCTGTTTTCGTTGTAAACTATTAAACAATAAGTTATAATACAAAATTTGTGAATATTGAAACTAATGCTTTGTTTTAAATTGAATTCAATTTTAAGGGTTACTATGATTTGTTTCAGTGAACCATAGTTTTGATTAAATTCTATGATAAAACTTAATAGTAAAATTAATGTGAGTTCGAGTAAGTTTTTATTCTGTGAGATATTTCAAAACATTTTTAAATAAATTAAATACCTATTGTGGTAATTAAATTATAACTTTATTGTTCTAAGAAGCTTTTAAATGTTTAAAAGACAGTGTTTCAGACAATCAATAAAGCTATAAAGAATGACTGATTTTTTTTTTTATTAAATTGAGAATAAATTACTTTCTTGGATCGATTTAAAGGTCGTTTGGGGCCGTTCAATTATGACGGTCGAAATTAACGGTCATTTTTTCAAAAACGAACAATGGATTTCCAGGAATTATTATTGTTCTTTTCTGTCTGACCCCCCCCCCCCCCTGGACGTCATAAGTGAACGGCTCCTTTATAAACATGTGATTGATATTAGAACCAGAATCGTTCTTTTAAGCTTGTTTTTTTAAAAGAGATCTCAGATCCCTTAACAAAAATTTCCGTACCTGTAAAAAGTTTCAACTCCTCCTCCTTCTTTTCCATCGATATCCTTCGAATTCTAAGATTTTTAAATAGCATTCATTTTTTCCATTCAACAATCACAAACCTTCATTCATCACAATTTCAAAACATAACAAGCAGAATGCACTGATAAGTCACTGAATGACTAATCTAAAGTTGAAAACATAGGGCGAAGACTCTCATTTTGTCTATAGTTGAGTCAACTTTAGTCAATAAATCAATACAAAATCTTAATCGACTAAGTCTTCTGATTAAAACTAATCGCGTTTGCATCCACATTTAGCAACTTCGCCTTAAAAATTTTCCCATTTAATCAAATAATGCAGTCATGCTATAATAAACTTAATACTTATTGATTAAGTAATTCCTACCCAATAAAAGTGACGAAGATAATAATCATAAAGTCGTATCAAATCTCCATCAACAATAGTTTATTTCACCATAAACAACAAAATTGAATACGGAGAGGGTCAATAAAAGAAGAAGAATAAGAAATATAGAGCAAAACATGTAGAATATAATGAAAATGTGAACGGAAGGAAGAAAAAAAAAGTGTTATCAAAAATATCGAATGTAAAAAGAAATTTTCATTTTTGTGCTTGCCTACCTATCTACCTACCTACAGCATATATAGGACACAGAATGTGAGAATACGAGAACTGAGAGAGCGAAAAAAATTTGTTTTTATGTTTTTTTAAGAAAGGAAATTTTTACCGTCTCTCACTTGTTGAGCTTAACTACTACCCGCCGTCATATATTATTCGTTATTATATATTACAGCGAATTAAAAATAAAAATAAGCACAGAAGGGAAAACTAGATGTTTTACATGGGAAAAGTCGTTCCTAAATCTTGTTCAGGTTATGGGTCTTGTTTTTCCTTAGTTTATTGATATTACTCATCAATATATGTTTGGAGAGGTTGCTTTAACTGCGTGCCATGACACACATATTTTCTGAACTTAAATTGACTCGATAATTAGATTTGTTTTGATTCTTAAGAGTCGCATTGTCCTAAAGAACTGACCTTCACTTTCTCAAAGTTCTAGCTACGCCGCTGTATCTAAGAATCACTGATTTGAAGTAAGGTGCATTTCCTAATAATCATCATTTATAAATAATCCCCCAATACATTCTCGCTTTCATAAAAAAAAAAATGAATCATGATAAAATGTATAAGACCCCTACAGTAAAGGCCATAAGTCGTGCAAATAAAAGGAACTCTACGTTATGTGTGGAATGGCATGTTTTCTTAAGCCCAACTAATTCCTTTTTAATAAATTTTTCGTAAAGAAATCATTTTTATGATAATATTGCATGAAAGCTTTTCTTTTTCACCTTGTATGTTTCAATTTAAAAGCTCCTTATGTACGATAGTCACGCTATTATTTATTAGAAGAAAAACTTCCTATTTCCATTCATTTCTCTACATTTTCATTAATTTATACAATGGATTCCTTAAACTAACCATGGAAGTTTAAAAATGTCATGTATTTAAGACGGGATACTTAAAATGAATTAGAATGAGTTGTTATTAGAGTCAAGGCTATTGTGTTGTGGACGACATTAATTTATGTGTAATTACGCACATTTTTCAACGACTATTTACATTGTTATTTGTTGAGCTTCGAGGATTTCTAGATTTAAACATATCTTTAGATTATTTTGGATTGTACTTAATTTTCTTTTAAGAACATTTAACGGAAATTATTTGAATTTTTAAAGATTTTTTTATAGTCTTAGACCTCTCATTTAAATAATTGAGAAAATCCGTTAAAAGAAGTGAAAATAATTAAATTCTATGACTAATCAACCGTATTAAATTCTTTTTGTAGCTGCATGATTTGTATTAATACATGATTAATCAATTGCAGTTCATTATTCATTTTGATTAAGTTTGTCAAGTAAATTAAATATTTCAAAGAGGAATTAAGCAAGTTTTGCAACAATTTATAGGACAAGACAAGTGATATTGCTGTTCGTGAAAGCCTTGATTCCTTTGGGTATGTTTTAAAAATTACATAATAAATCCCCTAAATGAAAATCAAAATATTTCAAAAAAGAAAAGCCACAAAAAACATATTTCAATGAAATGCCAAAAACGTCCACGTGTAAAACTTTCAGTTATTTCCATTTCGCTAGAATAAACATGCAAAATCATAAAGGAGTGTGGCTTAAATTTTATATAATTAATTATATAACTTTCGTACTAGATCCTCTGACGTGATAAACTCCCTGACACATCACAAAAATATGCTAGCGAGCATGGAAATGTTGCGTAGATTATTATTGCTACGATAACGCCATCGAAATTTTATGTCCTTTTATCACAATGAATGCTTGTTAACACTTGAGCAATTCATTTTATTTTCAATAGTTGCGATGATTGAGACTTGAAATCAAGCCATGAAATGCTTCCGATAGTTTTTTTTTCGCTATCGAACTTATTTATTTGTGATTTTTTGACATTTAAAATTGCAAGCAGGTGAAGTCTTGTGAAATTTGAATGTCGATGCCAACTTTTTTGGGATTATTTGGCTATTGATCCTGAATTTTATATTCACGTGTCATTCGATGCAACTGTCTCACAGGTGTCTTATTTGTTTAATGCTGAGAATTGATCGATTTTAATCTCGGAATTAATTTTAATCTTTGGATTTAAGTTTTAATCCTTTGACCTTTTATTTTGATTCAATTTAAAACCAACGATTTTAAATCTGAATTTCGATCCTCTAAGATGAAGCAGCAATCACGCAAACATCCACAGCAGTTACATAAACTATATAATAGGATTTCCAAAGCATTTAATGCCAAACTAATAATGTTCATTTCCTTTTCGTCTTTTCAGAAATGATTGGATATGTCACATAACAATAACAACGATTTAAAAGCTGATTTAGAACCGCTGATTGACGTCCACACAACCGGAACACGAAATAGTCGATGGAAAATCAACAAAAAGTTCAAATCATCGGGATTGATTTTGAAGCGTCGTGACTCGAAAGGATATCAAGAGAAATGCGGTCGCATAAGACTTCTTGCCATTTTGGGAGCATTTTGCTTCCTTCTCATCTACCTGTCAAATCTAAAACCTTACCAGCACATGATTGTGAGGATACCGGAGGATGATAAAAATCTGCCTGGTCCAAAAGGTAAGAATGATGTTCCTTAACGTAGTTTTTAGCTATTAGAGAATTTTTATTGCATGCACTGAGAATTTATAGAAGAGCTTATTTTGCCAATTGATATATTTTTTATGCCTCAATTAGTTAAATTAATTTTTAAATTACGTTTTTTTTTGTTTTTCTTCTTTTTAATTTATTTGACTTTTTTATCCCTAAAATGAAAAAATTAAATTTACAACACGTTGCTTTTGGATGAAATCAACGATAAATTTTTCGTTCCTTTAACCTTGTTGGATTCACCATCAATCAATCAACCCACATCATTAATTTGATTTAATTTTCGCTATTCCTCATTTTTGGCTATGAACAAAATTATTTTAAAAAAAATATTAAAAAATTTATTGGCAAATATTTTTTACACAAATTTCACGTTTGTGTTTTTTTGTGATTTTTTTCTTCTTTTTTCTTCCCTGCCCATCATTTTTGCATTCACTGATATCCACTAAAAATAACCACTAACCCCATAACACCATGATTTTATATCAATCACAAAAACCTTAATTTATCCTTTATGTTGAATAAAATCAATGTTACATGTTAAAAAATTATGTATATATGGAAATATATGTACCTATATGATTCTCAACTACATTAAATAACATTTAAAAATAAATGTAAAGACAACAATACATCATCAAAAAATTATTCAATAGTCATACCAGGTTATAACGTGTATTCGCCGCAATGTAGAATACTTTCATTAGATCCATTGGCATCTGATGTTATGAGGCTGTTTTCTAAAGAAGATTTCGAACCGTGTGCCAAGAAACATCCATTGACGACAATTGAGCAGAATTTTGATGATGACATTGCTAAATTAATTTATCATCGAGGCTTTAAATCCAAATACCTTAATCCTGATCAGAATCAAATTGAGTGCTGTTATCAAGAGATAACGAGAGGAGGATCAAATGCAACAGCTGATGATAAGTACAAGTAAGTTTAAAACTGTTAAAAAAATTTGTAACGGCTGAAAATTATTTGAATGTCTCAACATAAAATTCAAATTTTTTAAAACCGTTAAAACTTTTCTAAGTTTAGAAGACAGTCAAAACATTTGTAATTGTTAAAAAATATTTGAATTCTGTTCCAAAATTTCTCAGCATAAAATTCAAAACCATTAAAACAGTGATCTTGACATTGAATTCAAATTAACATTAGTTCTTGAGCGTGACACAAAATTATTTCATCAAGATCCCACGAGAAATCATCTAAATTATTCTAATATCCATTACAAATATTTTCTTTCTATTATATCCCTCCCCAGCCTCTCAAAATGTGTATATTTCGATCAATCTATTGAGTTACCGTCATCAATAGAGTTTATTTTGGTTCAATGTAAAGGCTTTAATGGAAAAGATAAGGAGAAGAAGAGGGCAAAAACTGTCTATTATAATGCACATGCCATTGTCAGACGTAAAGAGAATATGCAGAAGATTTTTGACAATTTTAAGACATTGTATCCTGAGAATCGACCACTTTCGGTGCTAATGGTTGGAATTGATAGTGTCTCAAGACTGAATTTAATTAGAGCTATGCCAATGACAGCACAACATCTTTACGACACGGGATGGTTTGAATTAAAAGGATATAATAAGGTGAGTCATGTTAGAGCATCAATCTTAATAAGCTATAATAAATCGATATTTTTAACAGATGGACGACAACACATTTCCAAATTTAATGGCAATTTTAGTTGGCTATAATCAATCATACAGTTATCAAGAATGTAACCCAAAAGCTGTAGGCAATTTAGATAAATGTCCATTCATTTGGAAGGATTTTGAGAAGGCTGGATATGTAACTGGATATGCGGAAGATGAGGCAAAAATAAGCACATTTAATTATCATAAATATGGATTCGTAAATCAACCAACAACCAATTATTTCAGACCATTCGCCCTTGCTGCTGAAAAGTATTTAAAAATTAAATACAAAAGCTCATTGAAGTTTTGTCTTGGCTTTCAAAACTATGCCGACTTCATCTATCAATATGCACTAGATTTTGCATCTGTCTACAAAAATGATCCGTTTTTTGGACTCTTTTGGACCAATACATTTTCACATAACGAGCTATCTGATCCATCAAGCATGGATGAAAAGATAAAATTTTATTTAGAAGAACTAGACAATCGAGGTATCCTCAATACATCCGCTGTTGTCTTCTTTAGTGACCATGGACTTCGGTTTGGACCTGTTCGACAATTACTGGTAAGTTTTGCTTCCTACATTGAATTTAAAATATATTGATTAATTTTCTGTTTTGTTCCACAGACAGGATGGCTTGAGGAGCGACTCCCATTCATTTTCATATGGTTACCTCAATGGTTCAAGACGAAACATCCTGAAATCGTACAAAACCTTAAAATTAACAGAAATCGATTGTCAAATCCTTACGACTTGCACATGACCCTAAAACATATATTAGAATTATCAGCTAGAATCGACCCATTACCTCAAGCTTTAAGTTGTCCCGAATGCCAGAGTATATTTAAAGAACTCCCATGGAATCGATCATGTGCCGATGCTAAAATTGATATACATTGGTGCACGTGTACGGTTTACACAACAATTGACAAAAAAGATAGTATAGTAAAACAGGCTGTGAATTATGTAGTAAATTATATTAACGTAAATTTGGATACAAATGCTCGTATGCCAAATAACACAAAGCCATTGTGTGCACGTTTAAAGCTGAAGTCAATCACATCAGCAAAGAAGTCAGTGAACAATGATGTTGATGTCACTAAAAAGAATCTAAGTTATTTAATAATATTTGATGTCTCACCATCGAATGCCAAATTTGAAACAACTGTAGAATATTTTCCAAACTTTTTAACTCGCAAGGAAAAATTTGAGATAACTGGAAGTATTTCGAGATTAAATGAATATTCAACGCAGAGTGCATGCGTAAATACTGATAATTTAAAGAAATATTGTTACTGCTTAAAACATAATGGGCGAAGTACATAATGATGATAAAAAGACAGAATATATATTAACATTTCATTCAAAATGAAAGAATATTTAAATTAATTAAAGATATTTTAACGACAAATTTTAAATTGAAAAGATCCAGAAGTGATGATTTGAATTTATATATAGGAAGTGCTGAGAATCACTTTGTGAAATGTGTTGGGGGGGGGGGGGGGGTTGTGATTTGTAACAAGAGGGAGGGGGGTGAAAAAAGTTGTTTTTGCGTAACGTAATAAGTGAACGGCCCCTTTTAAATTAGATTTTCTTTTCATATATAGGAAGTGCTGAGAATCACTTTGTGAAATGTGTTTGGGGGGGGGGGGGGGGGTTGTGATTTGTAACAAGAGGGAGGGGGGTGAAAAAAGTCGTTTTTTTGCGTAACGTAATAAGTGAACGGCCCCTTTTAAATTAGATTTTCTTTTCATATATAGGAAGTGCTGAGAATCACTTCGTGAAATGTGTTTGGAAAACATTTTCGCAAATAAAATTCAAATTTAATTTTAACGGTTTTTTATACATTTGAATTAAGAATTGTTCATCACTTCTGGGATTACAATACATTTTAAAATTAAAATTAATATAAAAAAGTCCAAATTTTCCTCTTAAAAATTCTGTAACTTTAAACTGATAAGAAGTAGATAGAACAAAAAAAGACATTAATGAAATTATCTTTATAAAAAAATCTGTGAAAAAATGTGTAAAAATGAAGAAAAAAACTTTCATTGGGTGCTAATTTTACCCACATTTTCTGATTTCCCATAATTTTAAGTGCTTATGTTACGAAAAATTTCATGAAAAAAAGAAGCAAAACATACAGAAAATGTCATCTAGGATTTAAGAAAAAAAAGTTTAAAATCATAACATTTTAAAAATATTCATGGGACCGAAGTTTATTCATTAGAAATACCTTAAAAATATTTAAAAAAGGCCAATAAGAAGAAAAATCTGTAAGAAAAGGTTTCAAATTTATTTTTTGATCTAAAAAATTGAAAGTTTTAAAAAACAATTACAAGTTTTTGAATCATTAATTTTGTGCCACATGTCTGATTATTATGAAAATAAAAGGAATAACAGAAGAGTTAATATGAAAATATCTTTGAAATTCAAAAATTTATTTTTGATGTTTTTGTCCTTTAATATAATATAAATACAATTTTTGATCATAAATTACAGATTAATTTACATCAAATCTGTAAATTTTGAATACCTATTAATTTCAATTTAATTTTAAAGTTTTAACGGATTATATAAATTTGAAATTTAAACTTTACAATTGTTTTTTAAAACATTTGTATGGTTTTTGAAGTTAAAAGATGCTTTAAACCACACAATTGTTAACTTTATCAAACATTTGTATATCTTTGAAGTGACAAAATATTTAGAACCATACAACAGCCACTTTTATCAAAACATTTGTATGGTTTTATAGATTTTAATCCTTTAATTTATTTAAATCTGTTGATTATTTTCGAATAAATATCCGGCATACTCATAAAATAACAGTGTAAATGGTAACGATAGATTAACAGATAGGTATAATTATTTCTAATCATCATTAGCGTCCGATGAGTCGTCGTCACTCGATGATGAGGAACTTTTGAGAGGCAAACAAGTATGAGAGCTAAATAGCTGCAAACTCTTCTTCTTCCTCGGTTGGTGTACAATTTCATTATAGGAACATGACTTTCCTGAGATTTTCGGAAGGACTTGTATCTCATTGACGTCATTCGACTGAATTGAACTAAAATTTTGTGATGGATATTTTGGGAAGCAATTACACAGTTTTATAGCAAGAGTCTCTTCAGGCTTCTCAACATTTATGTTTTGATGCTTAATACTCCAATTCTTTAAATCTTGAAATGAAATTCGTCCATTGCATGTCGTACACACTTTAGGCGAATAAAATTTCTCAACACAGTCACCGCACATTGAGCACCGTCGATTTTCTGCTTGATAAATTAATGTTTTACATCGTTCACATTCAGCTTTATGGGTCAGAAGGGTCGTCTTGTATTTCTCACTGAAAAATGACTGCGTTGAATCACAGAAACATGATTTCATGCTGACGAATGAATCTTCGCTTTGGGAAAGCTGAAAAAATGCCCTAAAGAAGTATTTTTATATGTCCATCCATAAAACGTACATGCATTCATACTCACTTGCTTGCAGCATATGATCTAAAATATTCATCGACTTCTTGCATTTGGGCAATGTCAATGGAATCAAACGAGTTAATGTTTATGGAATGGGGCACTTTTGACAAGTAATCATCGGAATTAAAGCGAATCCATGACCTTTTATATATGCTATCCTCACTCCACAAATGCTTTGGTTCCAAAAAGTTTTGGATGCCTGCCGAAGACGAGGGTAATGAAAAGTTTATTGACTCGTCTGTCGTTTTTGGAATCTCACTAAAAGAATCATTCAAATTAACAAATTTAAGTACGACAAGTCAGGCAATGATAGATTTTACATTTTTTGGGCCTCGCTGTAGGGCATTGAAATGTTCGTCTGAGAAACATTTGGGATTGTTGGGCTGTTCTGCCTTGATGTCTCAATCGCTTCTTCAACATCTGTAATTTGTGGTCTATTATTTTTAACAACATCATTAAATGACTTACAAAATAATTATATATCCAGTAAAATTAAAACATACCTAACATTTGGAAAGGTCGTGATAAGTTTTCTCGTGAATCATTGTTGCCATAATATCCTGAAACTGATCCCATTGAGCTTGTCGATGGTAAATCACTTTCTTCTTGAACTGCTAGTTCAAGGAGGGACCTTTGGACTGACACCGCTGGATCTGATCGTCTGGTAATGACAAATGTGAGAAATTGTTTTTAAATTCAGGGATTAAAGTTATTCCAGCTTGATTAAAAATTTAATCCAAGTGTTAAAACTAATCTTGTTGGATTAAAAAGTATGTACCTCGGTCTTTGAAGGCGACTGGTTCTTCCTGATCTTCTCTCCCTCTTTGCCCGATTTATTTGTTCATCCATTCCGATTTTAATTATTTCGTCATAATTTGGTGGATGTTCATAATTTGGTGGGGGTTCATTTATTTCTTCTGGTCGATTATTGTTATTGTTTGCATCTATATATAGGCATGCGAAAAGAATTGGAGCTATTTCTTACATTTTCATTACGAAAAAAAGAAAGTTTAATGCTTACCTAACAACTGACTAATTGTCTGAAGTTGATTTTGTAGTTCTTCTTGTTCTCTCACTCTATTTCCATTACGATGAATCATCAAAATTAGGCAGGATATAACGAGTAAGAGCGATAATGATGACAATGCAAAAGCTATAGACGTTGATCTGAAATCTGGGAATCGCTCGAGTTTTGGGAAGTAATAGTTTGGTGTATGTGAGTACCATCTACGATCAATTACACTGTTTTCCCATATTTCTGAGCATGATTCAGGCTCGTCTGAATTGTCACCACAATGATCAAATCCGTCACATTGAAGCATTAAGGATATACATCTTTGATTTTGGCACATGAATTCATTTCCTGTGTAGCATTCTGGAAGAGACAAAGAATTAATTTTTCAAAATTTAACGGTTTTTTTTAAATTCAACACTCACTAGAATAGCTGAATATAGCATAAACTATCGCCAGTCGAGACTTTGAATTGAATCGTCCACGAAGTCGAACATAAAATCCAGCTGAAAGTGGAGCAATCAAGTTTCTGGATGCAACAGCACCTCCTTCAGATGATTTTAAAAGCTCAATTACTACCTTATCAGAAGTAATGCCTTGATGTATTTGAATCTCTGAATCTGATGCCATATCCTCAAAATTTTCAACTTGAATTGAAATGTGTGACTTGATCTGTAAGTAAGCTTCTGGTGGCTTAATAATCCAAATGCAGTCATAAAGAGCTGATGATGATTCATTAAATTCCTTTCCAGACATGTTCATCATTGTTATTACCCCTCCAATTGTATCAACTAATCCGCCACAATTTGTTTGAGCAACAGTCATGTCAGTTAATTCCAGTGCCGAAATGAACCAAACTTTGGCTTTATATCCCATATCAGAACCACCATTTGCATTAAATCGAATTGTAACAGAAGCACCCGAAGACACTAAAAGCGGTGGACGAAAGTTTTTACCTGTTACATAAAACCTTTCACCACTTGTGTCTATAAACTCCATGGACGATGATCTTGATATTAAAAAGTCGGAAAATTCAATTCGAATTCGACATGATTCAAAATCACACTTCATAATATGCTCTGTTGCGTAGTCGCTAGGATAATTAGACGGGAAGAATGGCGATTGAATTTCGTAGCTCTGCTCATTATGAACTTCACCTGATTCAATGGTTCCTGTCGTTGGTAAAGGTGTAATAATTTCACGATTTCCTGTATAATGAAAGTAGAAATATAAGCTCACATCATTCATTATTATTACAGGAAGTGAATATTACATACATGACGACATAAAAATCAATTCTCATATTTCCATCAAGTTTTACAATATAACGGTTTTTTTGGAGATTCAAATTCAAATTTTTTTGGTTCATTGCAATTCAAATTTTTGAAACTCATTTCAGTTCAAATTTTTAAAAAACCGTTAAAATTTTAAATTCTTGGAAACCATTAAAGTTCAATTTTTTTAAAGACATAAAAATCTACTTACGTTCAACAGTATATTTAATACGAAATGCGTCAGTATAATTATTCCAATAAATAAATTTAATTTGTAATCTCCTCGTCCTCGTCTGGTACTCAAATACATTTCCACAATTATGCAACAAGTTTTTCTGCTTGTCATCGTAAGGTGGCTCACTAAGTATAATGTAATCACATCGACATATTCCAGCACCATTTTTAGGATGTGGACAGTTCGATAGAAAATTAATGTAATCAAATTTAAGTCGAATTGTACACGACGTGCACGTCACCAGTTCCATCGTACATTGTAATGTTAGCGACTGATTGAAATGTTTTGACACTTCTTGGACACGCTGCAAATTATTCATGGAAAGAGAGAATTAATGAAAAACAAAAATTAAAATTCAATCTTGACCTTCAATTGACAACTTCCTTTATAAGTTGGAATATTTGCGGACTAGAATTTACAATTCCAACGTGATTAACGTAGTTATAAAATAAGTCCGATATGTAACAAGCAATGAACATTGTGTAAAGGCATGAACAGTGCTGTCAACAATTTATAATCAATAATTTTAATCCAATTCTCATGTCAGTCATCGATCTTTTAACATTAAACTTGAACGTCCGTCAATGCAGTTCTGCTTCCAATAGCTTTTGACGACTTAATTACGACATTCGGATTAGATGACATTTTGATTATGACTTTTTTTAAACTTTAATAGTTGGCAATAACATGTTTGATGCTGTGTAACTTTCTACTGTTCCTATGTCTTGTTATGACACATGTCATAGCTTAGAAGGCTCTGAAGTGGCCCCAAATCTTATTTTAAATGCTAGCTATATGTCCCTAATAGACATCTACAGCAACTAATGCTTAATTACATGAGGCACACTGATGTTATGTCCAGTAATCTCTCCAGTCTCGCCTAGCTCCAAATATCGACGATGACCATTATGTGATCCACAAATTTCTGCATTCCTATGAATCTTTTGGTACGTAAATCCACTTGATGGATGATTAAGCACAAAAATATCCAACAATAGCACTATTAACACATTTTTTAACATTTTTAAACAATCTTTAAAATATTTCACAATTTTTATTTTCCGTTTAGCTTATTAGAAGGCTCTGAGTAAACTGAACTCACTTACTTTCATTTCTGGAAAATTGTAAGACTTAAGAAGCCATAAAAGTGCGAAAATGAGAGAAAATTTTCCAATGACACTCATAAAATGTCATAAGTTACTTCCTTTGCATTCTCATTCGATAATTTTTTTTCATTTTGAGCCGCAAAGCTCTTCGATTCATCCTTAATTACTCATTAGTGCTAGAGAAAGATTATCCTGATCAATGGAACCGATCAATGACAATGTTGATTTAAATTTTAGTAGGATTGATCAAAGACTAAGTTCTGTTATATCTACATCCCTGAAAAAGACAGAAAGCAGTATAAAGAAAGTAAAAAAGCACTTGTTTCCAATTTGAAAAATTTTATATTGGTTTTTTTTTGTTTATTATCATTCATATATATTCAATTAATCCAGTAATAGAAATTGTTTGCATGAATTTTAGCAAAAAATAATAATTAATAATGGGTTTCATTTTTTTAAATCCACGTGTCTCTGTCGTGGGGGATGCTTATTATTATCATAAAAAAAATCATTCAATGAATCGTGTTCCTTTAACCATAATCCATTCTAGGAAGAAGAAAATTCATGCTTTATTATTATAATCATAAGAAAATTAACGTCGATAAAGAAATTAAAAAAACGTGATGCAATTTCTGTTCTGCATTAACCGAATTCAACGGCATTGTCTTCGGAGCTGTTTAAGGGATGAAATGAAAAATTTTAAACATTAACATTAGCTTTTAATTTTTAATATTTAATTAGTCTCTTACATATCTCCGTATTTCCAAATGCCAATGTGAGACTTGCGAGCCTGTTGTTCTGCTTCCTTATATTCATTAACCTGCATAAATTGGAATGACATTGCGATTTAGGAATGATACTCAGTATTTGATTCAGAAGATTAAAATGTTAATCCAATGATTTAAAAATTAATCTTAAAGGATTAAAATTAATCTAAGATTAATTGCTTGAAAAGAAAAATATATGTTTTGCAGCTAGTATTCGTCATAAGCCATTATAAAGCTTACTCCGAGTTTTCATACAATAATAATCTACCACAATTTGAACAAATTTGTCATATAACAGTTATTTTATGCAAATTCTGCCTAGAAACTGTGGCAACAAGTCATAAGTGTCGAAAAATAATCAATAAATAAACTTACATATTTGGCGAATTTTCTGCCTGGACGCTTCTCGACAATAATGAAACCATCTTGTACTAATCCTTTGCCAAGATCTGCCTTCGATGTGACGTCGTATAAAGTAGCATTTGATACTCCATTGTTTCTATATGATTATTAAAAGTAAATGGACAGTCATAAATATAAAGTCAATAATAATTGAATAACTCAATTTATACTTACACAAACTCAACATTCAAGTTGACAGTCTTGTTTAAAACGTCATGAGCGAATGTTTTATAAGCTTCGATCTTATCCTCTTCATCTGGCGGAAGGATAGCCCATGCAAGTGCATATTCTTGGGCGAAAGCACTGTCAGAAGTAAAGGCAGGTGGAAGATAAGCGAGGCGGGTTATTGGAACGGTCTATATTAAAATAAAATACCATTAATAATAAGTTAAATGATTTAGAAGTGAAAGTTTGTAGAAATGAGAAGCAATTGATAAAAATTCAAATTTTAGCACTCAAAATTTTACTTAAACAATGTATTCAGCATCGCCAATTAGCTCAAAAGCTTGGAAATTCCGTTACAAAAAAACTTTGAAACTTCCTCGACCAAGCATATGAACTTAACAATGCCTTAAATGAATAAATGCTCTTTCAAATTTTTAATAAGAATGCTGATAAATAATTATAAGTTTGCTGTCCAATTTCGTAATTATTCTAGCAAGAGTGTGACTGCGAACACATTTGTGGGTTAATTTCAAATGCGAACTTAAGGAAACTTGCTTATTAAGCCATATAATGAACATTTTGCTTACCTCAGTATTACCATAATCAATGTACTTGATTGTAGCTTGATGTTTATCAGATTTAATGACTTTAGCACGATACCATTCCTCATCTTCTGAGAATTTTGCAGCACAAAGATCATCTCTTTTTGGAGTAAAAGATCCAGGAACTGGTGGAGATGCCTTAAAGTCTTGACGCAATTTAGACATTAGTTTTTCCAATTTCGGGCCACTGTCTGTGCTTTGAGCAAAGAAATGCAATTCTGGTGTTACTTCCGTAATGACAACTTTCTCTAATTTCATTTTGCGTTCTGGGGGAGCTTTTTCTTCGAATGTCTCTGGAACTTCATCGTCAGCTTCTTGAGCTTTTGGCTCTTCAGCAACTGGTTCGACCCAATTAGCCCAAATCTTTTTCTTTGCTGCCTTAGCTTGATCTTCAGCGGTTTTTAATGCACGATAATGTTCAGACTTTTCAGCAGTAAAATGCACAGTTGCAAGACCTTCCTCGACGAGAGCAACGGAAAGATTGACATTATTTTCAAGCCATAACCATCCAATGACAGCATTTCCAGCTTTATCGACTGTATCGCAATGAACACTAATGTCTCGTTGCAAAATACGATCTTTAACAAAGTTGTAAGCTTCATCGCCAAATGGATCACCGACTGTGGCATCTTTGCCTTCAATTGCAGGACGTGATGAACGAGGGCAGGTAATTCCAGCAAGAAGGAATGTTACTAAGCATGATTCTTTAGGAATAAATAATCGGAAACGAGATCCGCTCGCAACAAATTCTACAATTGCTTCCGTTCTCAAAGCACGTTGCCATGATGGCAAATATTGGTGCTTAATGCGTGCTGATTCAGGAGATGTTGTCAAATCATTGATTCGATGTACTGGAACATCCTTCTTAGCAAATAATCCCTTTTGTTGCTTCGTTGCTTGTGCTTCAGCTGCCATCAAGTCATCGTACTTTGATGATCGTTGGTCGTCATCCTTAAAAATGTAAAAATTAAAGTTATTTACTATTAATCAGTTTTTTAAAAATAAGAGTAATTAAGTGATTTACCTGACGATAGCGAATTACAGTTGCTAAGCCTTTGCTGACCAAAGCTTCAGCAACATTAGATCCACCAACTGAAACAGTATAACAGAACTTTTCTGGGAAGTTATCGCGAGCAGGAGAGACATAGTCGAGTGTGCATTTTACACTCTTTCCAATGAGCTTTTTACGAAGGAATTCACGAGCTTCAAATAACCAAGCAACATCAAAAAGTGGTCTTCCTGACTTGTTCGATAAAACTGGCTTGCTTTCTTCGCCATCAGCAGTAACTTTTGCAGGTTCTCTTGGTGGTCGAATGCTGGATAGGAAAACTTTCTTGATTTGTCCATTGGGCATTTTGACACTAACGGCATCACCATTATGAATTTCAACTACATTACCAGTAAAGTCTTTTTCCTTTCCACTAAATTGGGCAGTTGGTGGTTGATAGTCTTTCCAGAGGCGTGAACGATTATTTTTAGCTTGTCGCTCAGCTGCACGCAACTTATCAACACCTATTAAAAGTAATATCGTAAGAATGAAATGTGTGAATATCAAAACAGTCAAATTTGAGATCACATAATAGATGATATTTAAATGTAAGAAGGGTGAAATAGTGATCATTATAAAAGTAAATAGTTAATGATCACTTTAGAAACGACTAGTATACTCTAGCATCATCGACTAAATCAAAGACACAAACAATATTTTCAATGATTTTTTTTTTCAGGTACACTGATGCTGAATTTTAAGAGAAAAAAAATATAAAATTAAGTTATGTAGACTTACCACTCTTCATGAATGCCATGCTCCAGTCAACACACTTGGCAAATCCTTCACGGAGGAGAGCTTCTGCGATATTTCCTTTAGGAAACATGATTGTACCAACAAAGTTGAGATTATTGTTGGATTCTAGTACGATCTCAACATCACGTTGTAATAAGCGGGATTCAACAAAGAAACGTGCTTCCTCAGCATAAGGAACAACAACAGATGGATCAGGTTTTCCATCACCATCTAAACGGAAGCCTGGACAACGAATTCCACTTATCATAAGTGTAATATATTGGAAGCCCGGTAAAAGGAAAGCACGAACAGTTGAACCGTCTCTAACATGCTCAATAATTGCTCTCACAGGTTTTCCTGCTTGCAAATCAACAAAGGAACGAGGGTTTTCAATTTGCCAAACAATACTTCTAGCGACGGGAGATGTTGATCCATAACGTCCCTTGCCTTGTGCCTTAGCTTGATCTTCAAGTTCAATCAAACGTTGCAATTCTGGAGTGCTGCGAACGCCTTCACGACGAACTTGTAGTAAGCCCTCAGAAACAGCTAGTTCCGTAATGTTTGTTAAGTTGTTTGGATCTTTTCCGAGGAAAATCACACCATAATCGCGGGTTGCATTCGGCTTTCTCTCACATTGGAAGTAAACTTCTTCTCCAACAATCATTTGACGAAGGAATTCTCTTGCTTCCCAAGCCCATGGCTCGTCTTTTGAAGCTTCGTCAGTTGGACTGTAATTAAATTGATCATGTTAAATGTTGGAAAAAATAGTTTGGCAGACACTGTATCTAATGTATGTGAAATTGTATTACGCTGAAATATTCCATTTATGGACTAAACTAGATCTAGCGGAATTAACTGTTCATTTTGAATATATAGTTTTTTTTGAATTTCAAGTTCCCAGTTATGAGTAATAAATTTTTTCGGGAAGGATGACTTTAATTAATTCATTAGATAAATATTGAAAGGCATTTCCGGACCCAAAATCCCAAATATTAAAGAATAAAAAAACGTACTTGGCTGGACGACGTGCAAGTTTTGGAGCAATTACATTGCTAAAGTTGATTTGCTTCTCAGCGGGAGGTCCATTTTTGGGTTGTCCACGGATGATTACTGAATCACCAGATAGAACCTATAATGAATAAACAATAATAAAAATAAACATCCGATACGATACATTGTATATTATTATTGAGCGATAAGTTGACGCGAAATGAAAAGTAAAGTTGGGTAAAGCAATGAATGAGATGATGATGGTGGAGCACGTATAAATTATCAAGCCAGAAAGGGAGATAGTAAAAAAGATGAGGAAAAAGTATGTAGCATGCAGAGTAACTTTACATTTTCTTATAGTTGTCTGTGTATAGTATTGACTGAAACTTTATTTTATGTACACTTATACTGTCTGTCTTTATTGTGGTTACTGTTTCACTAATATTACATGGACGTACTTTCTTTATGATCTTATTTCTTCTGCCTTCTTATTTTCTCTCTGCCAAGTCTGTAACCTGACAAGCAGAGCCAATTTATGCCATTCCCTTTTTTCATGCCATGTGTCCAAAATTATTTTTTTATTGTAAGGTTTCTAGATCCAACATCCATCCATCTTTAGATTATTATTACATTTTCTTATTCTTTTTTTTTTTTGACTAGGTGAAACTTATCTGAGCATTATCAGACGATAAGAGACGAATTGGTAAAAGATTAATTGATTCATGTAAGAGATTGGAATTTTAGAAACTGGATTAATGAGCTAGATATTCGAAAATACCGATAGAAAGATCAGAAGATATTCGTATAGTAAGTCAAATGACGAGGTCAATGACTGAAAAAATCACTAAAAATTGCCGAAAATGGAACAATTATTTTCGCAAAATAGCCACTTTATGGACATATGGTTTCAGTCAAGTCTGGAGAGTTGAAATTGTAAATTTTGTGATAAATTGGAAAAAGTTTAATGGAAAAAACATGTTTCGGTCGAATTTCATTTGTTGAGTTGGCATGAGTGTATGTATAGGACTAGAAATAACCAAAAAGTACACTTTTGCAATTTTTATGAAACTTACTTGCTTTACGATTCCTTTTTTTAGCGGAAGTGTGGCAGGTGCTTGCGAAGCTGCACTCATATTTGATCTTGAATTGATAACTCTTTATCTAACAACTAAATTCACACTATTTCTTTTTTAAAAGATCATCAAATAAAATGATGTAGACACACTCGATACACCCAAAATACCCAAACGTCTGCTATAATACCCAAATTATCGAATATGCTCAAATACACATCGACTTTATATTTTACACATCAACTGATTCTTTCACTTTTTATCCGTTTATGCTTCCGTCGACTATGTCCTATTCCGCTTTAATTATAGCTGCTTATTGAGCTTTTTAAATTCACTTTATCTTTGTGTAATTCAAGTACTTCTTTTTTAATCCTTTTCCCGTTTTTCTGAAAATAAAACAATGCATTTTAATTAAGTTTTCATTGTCAACATGCAGCTTATTTAAAAAATTTCTGGATATACTTACAGACCGTCAGTCAAATTCAATTTGAATTGTGTCTTGAACAAAACTAGTACAGTTAATGAATTACTGAATAGCGTAGAGCAAGGATTATTTGTTATTCTACAAAATTGCGTGTTAAAAAATGTGATAACCTATTAAAACTGAAAAAGTTGCATTTTTACTTAAAAAACTCATTAAAAGTTGATAAATTCAGGCTATTTTACCTTTCTAGACATAAATTATGATGCTGTTAATGTAAAATAAATATTATTTGCCTTTAATACAATTAATTTCAATGAAATTATAAAATTTTATGTGACTTGTGTTTGTATGAAAACCCGTTTAAAATCTGATTCGAAAATTGGTTCATGTCATTGAATTATTCAAATTTTTGAAAGACGTTAAATTCAAATTTTATAAATTTTTTGATACTTAAAAATTGTGTTAATCAGAAGAAAAGAAGGTAATCAAAGATCAAGTAAATAACTGAAATAAAGAAGATAAGCAGCAAGTATTTAAATTTTTAGAGGATGTTTTTTATTTCCAGCTTTTTGTAATTCGTTCTTAACAAAAATGATTCATTTATCATTACTTCTTTGCTCCTGGTGTGTTTTCTGAAGCTTCAGCGGCATCCTTAGCAGCCTTAGCGCGTTTACCAGCAGTACGAGCAGCAATACGTGCACAATGGATTGCATTGAAGGCAGAGAATTTCTTTTCGTCTTCTGTGATTGAACGGAATTCAATTGAAGGTTTCGTCTTAACAATTGGCATAATTGGTCCAGTTAATTGTGTTGCCAATTTGCGTTCTTCCTCGCTAGCTTCACCCTTGCGCAATTTCAAATTCTTCTTATTTTCATGAACTGGGAAGAGGATAAGCTTGTTCTGGTATTCCTTAAGACGCTGAACATTTTCCTGTCTCGATTCAACGGACTTGTTGCGACGACGATGATCGACTGAAATTCCAACTGTTCTTGCGAATCCAGCTGTAAGTCCAGCAGCCTAAAACAGCCACAAAAAACATTAATTATTGATTCTAAAGTACTTTGAATCAGTCAAATTACCTTCAATTCAGCCAATGTGAACCCACGACCTATACGTTGCTTTGTGTGGTAACGAATTGATGGGCATCTGACGATTGGGCGTAGAGGTCCCTTTGCAGGTCTTGGGAAAGCAGCTTTAGCCTTTGTAATACGATTCTGACGACGACGGTGCTTTCTAGCTGGTTGATTAAACCAAGTTCTTACAAATCGTTGCCACCACTTGTGGAAATGTGCATTTGGAATCATACGATTGCCTCTCATCTTGAATTAGATTTTGCCTACAACATAATGAAGATTTCAATGATTAATCAAACTGATCTCAAACATCAACATAACCTCTTAAATTAGTGAAATTATTTCCACAAAAATATTGTAAATACAGTTAATAGAGGACTTTAAAGGCACTAGAATGCATCACAGAATAGTATGAAAATTTATCTATTTAAATTAACCGATTAGAAAACAGCGAAATTGAGTAAATTGCTTTGTGAATGTTTATGCACAAAATATTCGTGTTCACAACATTTAAATTAAGTTTTCTCATTAATTACTGCTTTATCCTGCAATGTTTAATGGATTTACGATAAAAGTCACATTTTTCTACAAGATTGAGTTGATTTCACTGACCAAAAAGGCGGATTTACTAGTTAAATTAATTAAAATATTCTTACTTAAAACTCGTTGAGCAAAATTTGATGGGAAAAAGAAAGAAAAAAATTCAACATGCGTCGACATCATTTACATGCACTCCCCTTCGACGACAATAATTCAAATTTTATTCTTCCGTTAATTCTACTGATCTTTTGTGGAAGCTTGACTAAATATCAAGTCATTCAAATTGAAACTGGCTCATAATAATAAATTGGAAATTTAAAATCCTTGTTATGTCTGAAAATAAAATTTTCCAGTATGTGCAGTTTAAATCAGTTGTTGCACCAGATTTTTGGTACAAATTGGCAGAAAATAAGTTAAACATAGAGAAATTGGATGAAATTGATCAGCATATAGTCGGAACTTATACAAATTTAAATGCAAAAAATTGTCTTATAGATTTTGATTGCACTTCATTCAATAGGTAAGCAGTTTGATAATTATGCTGATCTTTGTCCACGACTTTATTCTTGAATTTCAGCAAGATAGTCACGTCAAGGAACAAATTTGGGGCAGTTGGAGTGTTGAAAAACTTAAATACCATAGAGTCATTTAAGAATTGTGATAAGATTTCGTTGTTAAACACAGCAGGAAATCAGCTCATAACAAACATTTTAAACGGAACTTGTCTTGAAAATCCAAGCGAACTAGCAAGTTTTCTGTTATTGTCCTTTGCAGTAAGTCTTATTTAAATATAATGCCCCCCAAAAAAGTAAAATTGATTTCCTTGTTTTTCATAGGATTTAAAAAAGTACAACTTCTATTATTGGTTTGCATTTCCAGCCTCGCTTGACCTAGTTATTTATGAAGCATCACCATCTCAATTTATATCCGAAAAATTTACTGATGAAGACATTAAAAATTTTACTCTAAAAATCGATTCATTAGATACAAAACAGTCTGCGTTCTTTATTGCTAATAAAACCCTTGATGTCATACTTCTAAAAGACGCAATCTCACATGTCAAGACTGATTCTAATTTGCTTGATTTTGACCTCTCCTCAAACTACTTTTGCTTTAGTGATCCAAGTGAAAGTAAATGTGGGTGGGTTCTTCGAAATTACATCTTACTTTTATACTTACTATGTCCAATATTACGAGGGCAAAGCATTAACATATTATCTGTTCGACAAAGTGAGCAGAATAGTTTAAAAGCGAGTAAAGTATTTTATGTAACGCTTCCAAAATATAATGACGATTTTCAATTTTTAACATGGACCTCGTGGGAAAAAAATAACAATGGAAAAATGATGCCACGCATTGCAAACATGAGTGAAGTCATGGATCCAATTAAGACTGCAGAACATTTTGCAATGCTTAATCTGAAATTAATGAAATGGCGCTTGCTACCAGCTCTCAATTTAGATATCATAAAGACACAAAAGTGTTTGCTTTTTGGAGCAGGAACATTGGGATGTGGTATTGCAAGAAGTTTAATGAGTTGGGGATTCTCAAATATCTCTTTCATCGATTCAGGTCATGTAAGCTACTCAAATCCCGTTCGACAGTCATTATTTACTTATGCCGATGCATATCAAAATAAGTTTAAATCAAAGGCAGCAGCAGAGAGACTACTAGAGATTTTGCCAAGTGTTGTATGTATAACGTCCGATTAAAATATTTTAAAACTTCTCATTATTATATCCACATTATAGAAATCACATGGACACGTGTTAACCATTCCTATGCCTGGATATCCAATCAATGAATCAACAAGGCAAAAAACTATTGAAGATGTCGATATGATAGTTAACATGATTAAGGATAGTGATGTCCTTTTTCTAGTTACAGACTCGAGGGAATCTCGATGGCTACCGACTTTATTGGGATCATATTTTGGGAAGATTGTGATTACAACTGCTTTAGGCTTTGAAAGTTATTTAGTAATGCGTCATGGTGCATCAAAATCACATGAACAAGATGAGCTTGAAGAGGAAATATCTGGTTTAAAATGCATTCCTGGTAATAAGCTTGGATGCTATTTTTGTAACGATGTAACTTCGCCTGGAAATGTAAGTTTTAAAGTGGTGGCTTTAAAACAATAGTTCCTTCTAGTTCCTTCATCCTTAAATAATTACAAAAAAATTTGTTTCTTTTAGTCCATACGTGACAGAACATTAGATCAACAATGTACTGTGACCAGACCAGCTGTTTCTAATATTGCTGCCTCAATTTCGGTAGAACTGCTTGTATCGCTTCTTCAGCATGAAAAAAATATCTGTGCTCCAGCTTATTATCAAATTAATAATAAATCGACTGACGTTGTTGAATCAATTCCTGAATCTATGCTAGGCATTATACCTCATTCCGTCAGAGGATATTTAAGTACATTTTCCAATATATTGCCTGCTACCGAAAGATTCAATCAATGCATAGCGTGTTCTGATTTTGTTCTGAATGAATATAAAGAACATGATAAAGAGTTTCTGTTTAAAGTATTTAATTCTGCTGAATACTTGGAAAAAATCACCAACTTGGAGGATTTTGCAAATATGGATGATGATGTAGGCTGAAAAACTCTATTAATATTAATATTGATAAAATCCACTGCATATTTATATTCCTTTTTTCTAGATTATAAATGAATTGGACGATGACTCCGATTCCGGATAAACCGACTTTAAAATTGGTGTTTAATAACTATGAATAAAATATGTCAAATGAGGAGAACAAGAACTATAAAAATTATTATTTTTCATTCATCAGTTTATTCAATTTATTACTTATAATTTACTTTTTCTTCGATAGACGTTTAAGATGATCACGAAGATCATCAGTAAGACCTCCTAATCCAATTGATGTGAAGAAGTTAATGGAGAATCGGCTGTCACGTGGATTTTCTTTCGGGAAAATTCCAGCAAAATATTCTTGAAGTGTTGTATCTTGTAGACGTGCATTTAACTTCTTAATTCCCATGAATTCTGCTAGCTCTTGGAACAGGATTTTAATGAAAACACGACTTGAGCTCGTTGTATCATCTTCATTCAATTTTATGCAATCTAATGCATTCCATCCAATAGAATCAGAGTGAAGGAGGTGAGAAAAGAACTTTGCAACATTTCTCAGACGATTTGTATCCAATCGATGTGTTGTCTCAAACACATGCCTGAATATTTCTTCAAACTTTTCAATGTAAGCCTTATTAATTGTACAAAAACGTTGTGCTAATAATCCATAAAACTTCTCGTATGTACGTTGTTCAGCACAACAATCCAAAAACATGTGACACAATTCGCCTTCTTGTCCAGGTTTTAATTCCATTCTCATCAATTTGTGAGCACATTCCTCAAAGTCTAAACTCGAATGGATTGTCAAATAGATTGTACGTCTTAATGCCACCAAATTTGTTTCTGTGCTATCAATAATTTCCATTTTCTTCTTTTCTTCCTCTTCATCGTCACTATCTGAGCCACTTGAACTTCCTGCATCTCCTTCACTGCTTGATTCGCTATCACTCCCTAAAAGCTCCTTACACAGTGCATTGTATTTATCTTCATTTGTCTGATATTCAGGATCAAACTTGAAGACATCTGTAAATAAAAATTAATCAAGAGATTAAAATAAATCCAAGGATTAAAGGAAACAAAGACTTACTCAGAATGTCTTGTGTCTCGGTTGCATCCTCGAGCATAATAAGATGTGTAAATTGGTCGTCTTCTTCAACTAATTCCAATTGTTCAGCTACAGGAACGTGATCCTTAAATCCATCTTTGCGTATTTGAAAAACAACTTCTATCATGTATTGGACACGCTTTTCCAATTTTCCTTCGTGAAGGATGTTCTTAAGCATTTCAAAAATAGCATGTACACCTTTACCAGACACTTCACTCAATTTTTGTCCACATTCTTTAAGAAATGCAATAGCGACTTCCACAGAATCGTCAGTTGGAGTTTCGACAAGCAATGTGAGGATTTCTAATGCAAGAATTTCGTGTGCTACTCTCTGATTAACGAGATGTGCTATGAATTTAGAGGCTGTGACACAAATTGTCTTATCATTTCGTCGGAATCCTCTTCTAAATGTAACAACTAAGCGTTGCAAAAGTAATTCACCAATATTAGGAAACTTAGAATTGATGATAGCCATAAGAGCTGAATAAACATGCGTGAAAGTTGGTGAAGCTGCCTGTGCCTGAATGATTGAGCGGCACAATAATCCTCGTCCACGAACAATGTTTTCTTTAAGTAATTCGCGAGTTACAACACCGATATTATCGACATTAACTTTATTAATATATCCATGAATTGACTTCTTTAGGGCTTCCCATGATATTCTTTGATAAGCTTCAGATGATTTGTCTGTTATTTCTGCCTGCATCATCCTCAATTTCGCCGGTGGTATGTAAGCTGAAAATAAGTTTAATTAAATTAAAAGAGATTTATAAAGAATTTAATTAAAACAATTACCTCCTCCAGTTCTTGTCATTAAATTAATGGGTTTTTTGGGCTTTTCAGGTTGCCTCGATTGCTCTTCATCATTTCGTGGTCTTGATGATCTATTGTCACTTCTTCGATCGTCGTCTCTGGATGTTGAATTTCCTGTATTATAATAACTTGTGTATCGTGGCTTATAATAATCATCTCGTCTGCGATCATTACTACGTGATCTATATCTTCTATTATCTGGACTTTTGCTATATCTTGATCTCTCTTTTCTGGATGTTTTCTTTTCATCTGGATCATTACTGTATCTTTTTTTAGATACTTTATTATCGTCTGAATCACTACTACTACTCGATGATGAAGAAGATGATCTTTTCTTATGTTTCTTTTTGTTTTTTGTATCGACTTTCTGGACATGAGACTTTAAGGACTTCCTTTTATCAACAGAGCTATCTGATGAGTAATCTGAAGACGAAACTGAATGTTTTCTTTTGCTCTGTTTTTCATCTTTACTGTCTCGTCTTGAAAACTTATCTTTTTTTAATGATGTTTCTCTAGATTCTCTTGTTTCAATGTCTGCCATAATGTGCTTTAATATGCTTTTTTTGCTGTATTAAACGTTATTTAAGCAAATTTAACTTTCGCGAATTTTTGTAAATAAAGAGTGTGTTCAAAGAAATTAATCAAAATTTGAACTCTTCAGAGAAAAGAAACGTTATTTTTGAATTTGAAATCGTACCTTTCAGAGAATTCCGTTAAACATTCAAATTAAAAAGTAAACATTCAACTAAACGTACTCAATCACAAAAAAAATATAATTTTTCGAAAATCGCTTGATTAAATTAAATGCGGTACTTTGAGAATCCTTATGATGATTATAAAGGAGGTGAAGCTGCAATTGATAAGGACAAGATATTCCAACTAATCGAGAAGTATGTTAATCAAATATTACACAATAAAAACTATAAAGACGGAGATGTTTGGCTTTATATTGGTAATTTAGTTCCTTTACATCCTTTAATATCCATTGACTGACATTTAATGTATATAGGAACATCAGGATTAGCTTACATGTTTCTAAAACTACACCAATCAGAAGCCTCAAAAGTATTTCCTGATTCTTTACAACATGCAAGAGTATATATTGAGCACGCAAAAAAGTATATATCCAGAAAGGAACAAGATAAGGCTAGCTTTTTGTGTGGTAATGCGGGAATTTATGCAGTATCATCGATTATAAATTATGAGATGAAAAACTTTTGTGGATTTAATGACGATAAAAAGCAATTCTTGGCAGGTTCCCAAATCTGCAAAAGAATTGTTTATAATAGCTATGGATCTGATGAAATCCTATTTGGACGTGCTGGATATTTAAGTGGCATTTATTGGATCAACCAAAATGCACAAAATCCAGAAGGAATTAATGACATTATTACTGAAATATGTAATATCATGATCGAATCTGGATATGATTATTCTAATCGAAATGAGTTGAGCTTTCCACTTATGTACGAGTGCTATGGAGATAGATATTTGGGAGCAGCTCATGGAATATGTGCAATACTTCATATGCTTCTTGAATCGCCATTATTTGATGGAAGCTTAGAGCAACTTGATAATACCCAAAAAAGTATTAAAACTTGCGTAGACATGTATCTTGAAACGCAATCTCAAGACGGTAATTTCCCTTGTGTCATCGAAGATGCTGGAAAGGATGAACATACGCTTGTTCATTGGTGTCATGGAGGTCCAGGTTCCATATATCTTTTCGGCAAAGCCTACCTCATTTTTAAAGACGAGAAATATTTAGATGCTGCCATTAAAATTGGAGAGTTGGTTTGGGAAAAGGGATTACTTAAAAAAGGTCCTGGAATTTGTCATGGAGTTGCTGGTAACGGATATGTCTTTCTCATACTTTATAGACTCACAAATGATCAGAAATATTTGTATCGTGCCAATTGCTTTGCTGATTTTTTAACAAATGAAATATTTGTCAAACATGCTCGTAATCCTGATCATCCACTGAGTTTGTATGAAGGAGTTGCTGGAGCTGTATGCTACTTGTTAGATCTTTTGGAACCTCAAAAAGCTTCTTTCCCATTTATGGACATTTTTGAACGAAAGTATTAAGCAATCTCTCTTTAATCTTTAATTTATTGATCTCAAAATCAGATAACGTCTCTAGTATAAACAGGTCCTTGATAGTGCTCTGGATGTTGATTCTTTCGATGTGAGAGCATGTTTGAATGATTTCGGCTGTTAAAAATAAATATTTAATAGTTTAAAGTTTTAAAATTAATGTAACCTTATAATTCCCTTACAATGTTCGTGGACAAAATGAACACTCGTATAGTTCCTCTAGTGTATGCACAGAAGCTTCATGGTCTTTCAAGTTTCTCGACGTTTTAAACCGTTTTTCACAGAACCTGAGAATGAATAGCATTTGAATGTAATTTTAATAAAAATTTAAGTTATTGAATTTAATTACCTGCACTGGAAGTTTCTTTCTAATTCGTGGACATAACGGATATGTCCTTTAAGTGCTTTTAAATTTGGTGATTTCTTTCCACAGTAATGACATGTGTTGTTTAGTGACTCGGTCGCATGATTCTTAACATGACGTTGAAATACTCTAATATCTGCAATGTAATGTCCACAAATCTCACATTGATATCTATCGCATGGCTTTCTAGTATGAATTCTCATATGCTCATCTAATGACGATCTTTTCTTAAAAGTCTTTGAACAAATCTCACAAATTACTTGATCGCCTCCTTCATGTGTGTACTTGAGATGATGTTGAAGACGCAAGTTGTTAACAAAAATTTTTGAGCAGTCCTCAAAATGGCATTTAAATGATGGAACTACCTTCTCATAGACGTGAACATTTTGCAGGTGATTTCTTACTTGAAACTGAATGGAAAGGATACACACTGATGAAAAGTGGACATTTAGGAATGAACAATTGAGTGACATACCTTTTTAGCAAAGCTTTTCGGACATTTATCACATTCCTGAAAATTGTATAATGCAGTGCATAATTAACAGTAAATTATTTATCACATACATTGGAACTTACAAACAGCTTTAAAGTCTCGTGTGATATCATGTGTCTACCTAAACATTGCTTAGAACTAAATGTCTTCCCACATGCTTTACATGGGAAGCTTACATTATAATGTGAATTGAGATGAGTCAGTAGTCTATATTTTTTAATATACTTTTTGCCACAGCATATTAAATATCCTTTGATTCCTTTATGTGACTTTTTGAAATGAGATTTTGCATTCGTAAAGCTTTCTAGTTTTATCGAGCATAAATCACAAGACATAATGGCAGTTTCCTTGATTCTCTCGTCGTCATAACTGGAAGTATCTTTTGGGATGTCAATCTTGTCTTTCTTGATCTTTTCTTTGGCAAGCTTAATTGATTTCTTTCTCTCTTTTACAGTTTTTTCAGGTGGTTCATCTTTTATTGGCTCGTAAAACGGTTCCTCTATGTCTTCAGACTGTAAGCTGTCTATATCTTGTTCTTCTTTAATTTTAATGTGAATAATATTCTTAGTGGATTCATGATTTTCAAAGATTCTCGCATAAAACTCATGGAATGTCTTAAGACTTTCCCAGCACATCATGCAAATCGACTCTTCCTGTGATTTCTAAGAAACAAACAGTCATTAATTAGGGAATAACAATCAAATCATTAATTTATTACATTTATGAATGAAAGGTGCAATTTAATCAAGTCATCTCCTGTTTTATCTAAAACTAGATTATTCCTAAGATCAACAGAGTTATCACTAGTTAAATTAATGAAACAGACAGTACAGATATTCATGATTTGTCAATGTTTATATTTTTAAATGTGAAATACGTTAGATATTTTTTTTAAAAACAGCTCAGAAAAATGCGGGGAAAATTCAAGGTAAATTTACCGGATTATTACCACGTATTTTTAAAGCTAGCACGAGATTTTATTTGACCAACTTTACAAGATATACTATATAAAAATCATCAAATTAATCAAATTCGTTTTAATTTAATCATTGACAATTTATCGAAATAGCCAATTGAGATTCAAATATTTTATTTCCTCAGATTTATTTCAATTTTTCAAAAAAAAAATTAACGGTTTAATGAGTTTATTAAGTAATTTTGCATTTCCTGTGATAATATTGCACATATCTATAATTTAAATAGAATCGAGCTATAATTAAGGCATTACAAGGTTTAAAATAATAATTCATTCTCAACGATCGACAGTCACATGTTTATGAGAGTAAATAGCTTTCAACGTTCATTCTTTTACATATCTTCTTTGGAAAAAGACGTAATAGTGTGAAAGTTTGTGATTTTATTTAATCTTAAACTTTAAAAGTAAAAAGTTGTAATTTAAAATCAAGCTGTGTCCAAAATTAATGTAAAATAAATATAACTTTGTTATCTTTGATTGTAGTGTGTCACATATTTAATTACCAAAAAAGCAAACCCCCCTTTCCTCCTCATAATAAACAGTTATAAAATATTATATTATAAAGGACAGGCAATAAGATATAGCTTCTACATATCTTCTTATTTTAGAATTATTCAAACCGGTTTGGGTTTTCTATTTAACTCTCTTTCCTAGAATTCTGTATAAAAAGACTCAATTTATATATTATTAACTTGATTGCTCAAAGATTATTGCTCGCAAGAAATCGGCAAAAAGTTAAAGAAACGTGCTCAAAGTAATTCGCTTAAGATAAAACATATAGGTAAAACTACTCATTGCTGCATGTAAAATCTTCTTTTCTTTCAGAATGGAAGTAACTTTTACAATTAATGGACATGAATATACAGGTATAACAAAATTACGCAGTGCCTACAAAATTTTAAAGTCATATTTCGCTTCATTACTTCTCAAGTTACGTAATCTATTGTCTTAATATTTTTCACAGTCTCTCCATCAACTGTGTCTCTTGATACAAGTTTAAACAGCTTTATACGTAATAATGCAAAGCTGACAGGCACAAAATTCATGTGTTTAGAAGGCGGTTGTGGAGCATGCATTGTTACGTTAACTGGAAGACATCCAGTGACAAAAGAGAAACATTCTTGGGCTGTAAATTCTTGTCTTCAAAATATCTATTCATGCCATGGACTTGACATTACAACTGTTGAAGGAATCGGTAGTAAAAAGGAAGGAATGCATAAGATTCAAAAAAGCTTAGCCGATTTTAATGGAACTCAATGTGGATTTTGTTCTCCAGGAATGGTTATGAATATGTATACATTAATGGAATCAAAGAACGGAAAAGTATCAATGGAAGAGATTGAAAATTCCTTCGGTGGGAATATTTGTAGATGTACAGGCTATCGTCCGATTCTGGATGCATTTAAAACTTTAGCATCTGATTCCAATGAAATTTGCAGTGATATTGAAGATTGGCATTTAGTTAAGATTTGCTCAAAAACTGGATCTTCATGTAAAGGAAGCTGCAAGGCTCGATCTTCCAGTCAGAAAGGATTTATTGAACCTTTGACTTTCAGTGATGACCGAATGTGGTTTAGGGTGTTTACATCAGCAGAAATCTTCAAAGTTTTTGAACAATTACGAGAAAAAGCTTATATTCTTGTTGCTGGAAACACAGCACACGGTGTTTATCGTAGATCACCTGAAATTAAAGCTTTTATTGACATCTCAAATGTTGAGGAATTGAAAAGTTATAAAATTAATACAAATTCTTTGGAACTTGGCGCAAACGTGACACTGTCAGAATGCATGAAAATATTTACAAAGCTTGCAAATGACAAAGAGAATTTTTCGTATCTTCACGAAGTTGTAAAACATTTTGATTTAATTGCAAATGTGCCTGTCAGAGATAATGGCACTTTAGCCGGAAATCTGATGATCAAGAATCAACATCATGAATTTCCTTCAGATATTTTCCTTATTTTTGAAGCTATTGGAGCCATTTTGACTGTATCAGCTTCATCGAATTGGTCATTCTCTTTATTTGGAAACACAACAGATCTTAGTCCAAAGAACTTTATTTCGACAGATATGAAAAAGAAATTGCTAATTAAAATAACACTTCCAGCATATGACTCAAAGAAATTTATATTTCGTTCATATAAAGTCATGCCTAGAGCTCAAAATGCTCATGCATATGTAAATGCTGCATTTTTACTGGAAATAAATGATAAAACAGTTATTTCGGCCAAAATTTGCTATGGTGGGATCAATCCAACCTTCATTCATGCTGAAAAGACAGAAACATTTTTGGTCGGTGAAAATTTGTTTGAAAATAAAAGCTTACAAAATGCTATTACTATTTTAAATGACGAAATCAAGCCTGACTGGATTCTACCTGATGCATCAATTGAGTTCAGAAAGAACTTGGCACTGAGTCTTTTCTATAAATTTGTTCTGAATGTCGTTCCCAATGAGAGTGTATCTGAAAAATTTAAAAGTGGTGGACAGAGCCTTAAAAGAGGTATATCGTCAGGAACTCAAACTTTTGATACTTACGAGAAGAACTGGCCATTAACAAAAAATATTCCTAAAATTGAAGCTGATGTTCAGTGTACCGGTGAAGCCAAATACATTAATGACTATCCAAAAATGCCAAACGAACTATATGCTGCATTTGTCACAGCCACAAATGTACATGGTGTTATATCAAGTATCGATGCTAGTGAAGCTCTAGTAAGTTGTATAACAATTTAAAAAACTTTATCAGATTCTGAACTTTAGAACTCAATCCTTTAGAAAATTCCAGGTGTTAAAGCATTTTATTCAGCTAAAGATATTCCTGGAAGCAATAATTTTATGCCTATTAAAATGGATCCTAGCACAGAAATAGAAGAAATATTTTGTGCATCTCAAATTCGATTCCATCATCAGCCAATTGGCGTTATAGTAGCTGAAAGCTCTCAAATTGCAAACCGATCTTCAGAACTTGTCAAAGTTTTTTACCAACAAACAGGTGCGTCATATTTTTTGATCTCTGAATTTAATTTTGATTTTGATTTTAATCTCAATGAAAAATGATTTTAAAAAGGGGATTTTGATTTAAGTCATTTTTGCAAAAGGAATTTTTTAACTTCCGCGTGGAACATGGAAGGTGTTTCTTTATGTCGTTCAAATTTTGTCACCCAACCTACAGGTCCACCGTATTATCCAAAAGTAATGATTTATATGGCAAAATTTAGCCCTCTTCGTCTAGTAGGGTGGAAATTATGGCGCTTTGCATGAACTTTTTTTATTAAACCGTAGTGCTTCATGGAAGATTTTCGCGAAATCTACATGCAAACACTACATTTGCTTTAACATTTTTAAAGCCATCATTCAAAAAATAGCTGGTAGTTTAAATGTTTTACATCTTCTCAGGAATCGATTGAATCCAAAATCATAATTTTTGGTGCTATATTAAAATTCTTTATCATTTATAATACCTGGATATATTTTAAAATGCAATTTAAAGCATTTTTGGATTTGATCATAGTAGACTTTTTTCAAAAAATATCGATTTTATGTCTATATTAACATTCTTTATCATTTACAATACCTTGATATGCTTTAAAATGCAATTTAAAGCATTTTTGGTTTTGATCATAGTAGACTTTTTTCAAAAAATATCGATTTTATATCAATATTAGCATTCTTTATCATTTATAGGACCTAGATATGTTTTGAAATGCAATTTAAAGCATTTTTGGTTTCGATCATAGTTGGCTATTTTCAAAAAATATTCTTTATCATTTATAAAACCTAGATATGTTTTAAAATGCAATTTAAAGTATTTTTGGTTTTGATCATAGTAGGCTTTTTTCAAAAAATATCGATTTTATATCAATATTAGCAATCTTTATCATTTATAATACCTTGATATGTTTTAAAATGCAATTTAAAGTATTTTTGGTTTTCGATCATAGTAGGCTAATTTCCAAAAAATATCGATATTATATCTATATTAGCAATCTTTATCATTTATAATACCTAGATATGCTTTAAAATGCAATTTAAAGCATTTTTGGTTTTCGATCATAGTAGGCTAATTTCCAAAAAATATCGATTTTATATCAATATTAGCATTCTTTATCATTTATAAAACCTAGATATGTTTTAAAATGCAATTTAAAGTATTTTTGGTTTTGATCATAGTAGGCTTTTTTCAAAAAATATCGATTTTATATCAATATTAGCATTCTTTATCATTTATAATACCTAGATATGCTTTAAAATGCAATTTAAAGCATTTTTGGTTTTGATCATAGTAGACTTTTTTCAAAAAATAGCGATTTTATATCAATATTAGCATTCTTTATCATTTATAGGACCTAGATATGTTTTGAAATGCAATTTAAAGCATTTTTGGTTTCGATCATAGTTGGCTATTTTCAAAAAATATTCTTTATCATTTATAAAACCTAGATATGTTTTAAAATGCAATTTAAAGTATTTTTGGTTTTGATCATAGTAGGCTTTTTTCAAAAAATATCGATTGTATATCAATATTAGCATTCTTTATCATTTACAAAACCTAGATATGTTTTAAAATGCAATTTAAAGTATTTTTGATTTTGATCATAGTAGGCTTTTTTCAAAAAATATCGATTTTATATCAATATTAGCATTCTTTATCATTTATAAGACCAAGATATGTTTTAAAATGCAATTTAAAGCATTTTTGGTTTCGATCATAGTTGGCTATTTTCAAAAAATATCGATTTTATATCAATATTAGCAATCTTTATCATTTATAATACCTTGATATGTTTTAAAATGCAATTTAAAGTATTTTTGGTTTTCGATCATAGTAGGCTAATTTCCAAAAAATATCGATATTATATCTATATTAGCAATCTTTATCATTTATAATACCTAGATATGCTTCAAAATGCAATTTAAAGCATTTTTGGTTTTCGATCATAGTAGGCTAATTTCCAAAAAATATCGATTTTATATCAATATTAGCATTCTTTATCATTTATAAGACCTAGATATGTTTTAAAATGCAATTTAAAGTATTTTTGGTTTTGATCATAGCAGGCTTTTTTCAAAAAATATCGATTTTATATCAATATTAGCATTCTTTATCATTTATAAAACCTAGATATGTTTTAAAATGCAACTTAAAGTATTTTTGGTTTTGATCATAGTAGGCTTTTTTAAGAAAATATCGATTTTATATCAATATTAGCATTCTTTATCATTTATAAGACCTAGATATGTTTTAAAATGCAATTTAAAGTATTTTTGGTTTTCGATCATAGTAGGCTTTTTTCAAAAAATATCGATTTTATATCTATGTAAACATTCTTTATCATTTATAATACCTAGATATGTTTCAAAATGCAATTTAAAGTATTTTTGGTTTCGATCATAGTAGGCTTTTTTCAAAAAAAATCGATTTTATATCAATATTAGCATTCTTTATCATTTATAAGACCTAGATATGTTTTAAAATGCAATTTAAAGCATTTTTGGTTTCGATCATAGTTGGCTATTTTCAAAAAAATATTGATTTTATATCTATGTAAACATTCTTTATCATTTATAATACCTAGATATGTTTCAAAATGCAATTTAAAGTATTTTTGGTTTCGATCATAGTAGGCTTTTTTCAAAAAAAATCGATTTTATATCAATATTAGCATTCTTTATCATTTATAAGACCTAGATATGTTTTAAAATGCAATTTAAAGTATTTTTGGTTTTGATCATAGTAGGCTTTTTTCAAAAAATATCGATTTTATATCAATATTAGCATTCTTTATCATTTATAAGATTTAGATATGGTTTAAAATGCAATTTAAAGCATTTTTGGTTTCGATCATAGTTGGCTATTTTCAAAAAATATCGATTTTATGTCAATATTAGCATTCTTTATCATTTATAAGATTTAGATATGTTTTAAAATGCAATTTAAAGCATTTTTGGTTTCGATCATAGTTGGCTATTTTCAAAAAATATCGATTTTATGTCTATATAAACATTCTTTATCGTTTATAATATCTAGATATGTTTTAAAATGCAATTTAATGTATTTTTGGTTTTGATCATAGTAGGCTTTTTTCAAAAAATATCGATTTTATATCAATATTAGCATTCTTTATCATTTATAAGACCTAGATATGTTTTAAAATGCAATTTAAAGCATTTTTGGTTTCGATCATAGTAGGCTTTTTTCAAAAAATATCGATTTTATATCAATATTAGCATTCTTTATCATTTATAAGACCTAGATATGTTCTAAAATGCAATTTAAATCAATTTTGGTTTCGATCATAGTTGGCTATCTTCAAAAAAATATCGATTTTATGTCAATATTAGCATTCTTTATCATTTATAAGACCTAGATATGTTTTAAAATGCAATTTAAAGTATTTTTGGTTTTGATCATAGTAGGCTTTTTTCAAAAAATATCGATTTTATATCAATATTAGCATTCTTTATCATTTATAAGACCTAGATATGTTTTAAAATGCAATTTAAATCAATTTTGGTTTCGATCATAGTTGGCTATCTTCAAAAAAATATCGATTTTATGTCAATATTAGCATTCTTTATCATTTATAAGACCTAGATATGTTTTAAAATGCAATTTAAAGCATTTTTGGTTTCGATCATAGTAGGCTTTTTTCAAAAAATATCGATTTTATATCAATATTAGCATTCTTTATCATTTATAAGACCTAGATATGTTCTAAAATGCAATTTAAATCAATTTTGGTTTCGATCATAGTTGGCTATCTTCAAAAAAATATCGATTTTATGTCAATATTAGCATTCTTTATCATTTATAAGACCTAGATATGTTTTAAAATGCAATTTAAAGCATTTTTGGTTTCGATCATAGTTGGCTATCTTCAAAAAAATATCGATTTTATATCAATATTAGCATTCTTTATCATTTATAAGACCTAGATATGTTCTAAAATGCAATTTAAATCAATTTTGGTTTCGATCATAGTAGGCTTTTAAGAAAAATATCGATTTTATATATATTAGCTTCCGCGTGGAACACGGGAGGTGTTTCTTTATGTCGTTCAAATTTTGTCACCCAACCTACAGGTCCACCGTATTATTCAAAAGTAATGATTTATATGGCAAAATTTAGCCCTTTTCGTCTAGTAGGACGCTTTGCATGAACTTTTTTTTTGAGACCGTAGTGCTTCATGGAAGATTTTCGCGAAATCTACATGCAAACACTACATTTGCTTTAACTTTTTTTAAAGCCATAAATCAAAAAATAGCTGGTAGTTTAAATGCTTTACATCTCCTCAGGAATCGATTGATACCAAAATAATAATTTATGGTGCTAGTCCTGATCCATTAGAGCGAAAAAACAAGCTTTTTTGGAGGCCTAAATTAAAATTGTTCTGGTGCACTTGTTTTAGAGAACTATTGGATGAAACTTTAGAGAACTATTTGATGAAATAGAGAGCTACAAAGGTCTAGTAGGGCGGAAATTTAAGCGCTTTGCGTGAATCGTCTTAGTTCTCGAGATATAGTGAAAATAGTGTTTAATCTGGTGGATTATAAATAAATCCAATGGAATTTTTTTTTCAAATAGCTAAAACCACTTATGATTGATAGAAAAAAATGATACAATTTTTTTGTTGATAGTAGCTGGTCTTTATCCAGTAACACGGATTAACTAGTGCTTGATCTCCATCATTAATCCTGACTTATTTATTGTATTGAAATTATTTGTAATATTTACACCGTATTTACGTTGGTTCACGTTCTTTTGCAATTCTATTGGTTTTGTACCAGAGTTTGAAAATAAAATGAAAATTGCTCTATTTTGAAAATAAATCAAAATGAAAATTATGAAAATTGCCAATTTTGATCAAAGCAATTTTGCAATTTTGTCAATTTCAGAAAATTGCAATTTTGGAAATTGTTTATTTTCCAAAATTGCAATTTACAGTTTATTTCCTGGATGTTGATATTCGTTTTTAACTTAATACTTGCTAATTCCTGCGTGTTTGATGCGTTGTTCCTTTAAGTTTATTTTAAATTAAAGGTACTCATAATGCTGATAATCATAATTTTTGAATGTCAAAACATTATTACATTAATAACATTAATAATATTAATGTAATAATGTTTTGACATTCAAAAATTATGATTATGAGCATTATGAGTACCTTTAATTTAAAATAAACTTAAAGGAACAACGCATCAAACACGCAGGAATTAGCAAGTATTAACCTAAAAACGAATATCAACATCCAGGAAATAAACTGTATCTTTTGTTTTTCTGAAGAAAAAATTCATTTAAAAAGAAGAAAATTTTCATACAAAATTATTCATCAAATATTTATGACGTCACAAAAATAAAAATTGATAATTTCCAAAATTGCAATTTTGGAAAATAAACAATTTCCAAAATTGCAATTTTCTGAAATTGACAAAATTGCAAAATTGCTTTGATCAAAATTGGCAATTTTCATAATTTTCATTTTGATTTATTTTCAAAATAGAGCAATTTTCATTTTATTTTCAAACTCTGTTTTGTACAGATTGAAAAATCAGTTTTCGCATTTTGCGAGGAAATGAAGCAAAATTTGTTATAAAAGGTTCCAGAAGAAAAGTTTGTGTTTAAAAATTCACATCTTCTGCAAAAAATAAGATTTTAATTTGGCATTGCTTAGAAAATCACAAAATACGCTTTCTGTAAGCAAGCAAACAAGGACACAAGTTAATCAGCAAGAAATCACAATAACGAGACATTGTAAAGACTTCTGGTTTTCTACATTTGATCCATGCTGCTCTTTAGAAGAGCTGTATTGTTTTTGGGCAAGGTAGGAACAGCCGTTGCTTCAGAAAAAGCAAAAAACTTTCCTTTCTTACGAATTTTTCAAAACAAAAGTTCATTATGATTTTTATAAAATTCAACTTTGGATGAAAAATTTTTTTAAAAAACTTTTAAAGAATGTTCGCTAGCTTTATACCTTCAAACATATGCTCAGCGAAGCTCAGCTGACTCGCTAGCTTTATATCTTCAAACATATGCTGAGCAAATCTTGGTCTATCCATAAGACTTTTGATGGTACGGTGTGAATATATCCACATTGGGTTTACCCGATATACTAATTTTCGTTTTGTGATATATATAAAAGAACTGTAATCTAACATAAGTCAAATGCGGAAGCTAGTGACTTTCTACGTAAGTCGTGTTTTTGGACTTTGATTTAAATCTCTTGTTGTCACTTGATTTTGATTTATGATTCAAATCACCCACCCTAATTATAGCTTAATTTTATTCTATTTTTTTTTTTTTTGTCAAGAAAACATCAAAAAAGTCATCGTAACATTGAAGGATGTAATCGAAAAAGCTCCTGAAAGAATCGAATCCAAACCAGAGTATTCAAAACAGAGATTAGTGGAATCAAGTATTGAAGGCGAACATAAAATAAGCGGAAGATTTGAAATGGAAAATCAGTATCACTTTACAATGGAAACACAGACATGCTTATGTATCCCCATCGAAGATGGAATGGATGTTTACTCTTCAACTCAATGGATGGATGTTACACAAATAGCGATTTCTGAAATGCTTAAAGTTCCTAACAATAAAATTAATATGTATGTTCGAAGACTTGGTGGTGCTTATGGAGCTAAAATTTCTAGACAAAATCAAATTGCCTGTGCTTGCGCTCTTGCTGCTCATTTATTAAATAGGCCTGTTCGATTTGTTATGAGATTAGAAGCTAATATGAACATAATTGGGAAACGATATGCATGTATTAACTTCTATGACATTAAAGTTGACGATAATGGGAAAATTCATGAATTAAACACAGCATATACTGAAGATTATGGATGTTCTAAGAATGAATCACGTAAGTATGCCATTAAATCTATTCTCAATTCTTAATATGAGCTCTGAATTATTTATAAATTATTAAGCACTTCCAATGGCAACAGCATGCATCCAAAATTGCTACGATCATCAACATTTTAAAATAGATGCAAGAGTTGCAGTAACGGATGCACCAGCTAATACATGGTGTCGCGCACCTGGTACTGTTGAAGGAATTGGAATTATAGAAAATATTATGGAACATATTGCATTTACTGTTAAAAAGGATCCATTTGATGTAAGAATGGCTAACATTCCCGAAAATAGTCCTATGAGAAGCTACATGACTGATTTTGCGAAATCAACAGGTGAAATTGATATAACTTGATGTTTGCTTTAATTTAATAATTCATTGACTCTCTAGACTATCGCAACAGACGCAAGGAAATTGATGACTTTAACTCGAAAAATCGATGGCGAAAAAGAGGTATCGGAATCGTAGCTATGAAATATCCAATGGAATATTTTGGTGTGATGAATGCTTTAGTTTCAATTTATCATGGCGATGGAAGTGTTTCAGTTTCGGTAGGTGGAATAGAAATGGGTCAAGGATTATTTACAAAAGTAGCCCAAACAGCATCATTTAAGCTTGGAATTCCTTTAGAAAAGATTCAAATTAAACCATCAAACACACTTGTTGCTCCCAATTCAATTGTAACTGGTGGAAGTATGGGAAGTGAAGCAGCATGTTTTGCAGTGGCAAAAGCATGCGAATTGTTGAATGAAAGACTTAAACCCATAAAAACTAAACATCACAATGCTGATTGGTCAAAGATAATTGATAATGCATACGATAATTATGTTGATCTTGTAGCTACTTACATGTATAAAGTAACGGATGTCAAAAGTTATGATATTTGGGGGACATCATGTTCTGAAGTTGAAGTAGACATACTTACAGGAAATGTTCTAATTAATCGTGTTGATATAATGGAGGATGTTGGCGAAAGCATTAGTCCTGGAATTGATATTGGACAGATTGAGGGAGGTTTCGTTATGGGACTTGGATATTGGCTAACAGAAAGTTTGATATATGATCGAATAACAGGAGAATTGTTGACAAATCGTTCATGGAATTATAAGCCACCAGGTGCAAAAGACATTCCAATTGATTTCCGAATTAATTTTTTAAATAAAAGCTCGAATCCATTTGGAGTCCTTAGATCAAAAGCAACTGGAGAACCTAGTACAGCCATGGCAGTTGTAGTACTTTGTGCACTTCATCACGCATTAGATTCAGCTAGAAAAGATGCGGATACTTTAAATGGGTATCAATTTAAATTAGGTGCTCCTACTACAGTTGAATCAACATTTTTGGCTGCAGATACAAGTTTTGATCAGTTCTTACTTCAATAAATGTAAAATAAAAACAAGGCGTGGAAAGTATGAAAATATTAATATTATCCCACTTATCCCAGATATTTTCATAGTTTCCACGCCTTGAATAAAAGTTTCTTGGTGCTGGAAAATAAAAAATGAACTATAATTGAGGTATTTTAAACTTGCGTGTCTTAAAATATTTCAGGGATGGAGTAACTTCTATTGTTTGAGAATGTAGAAAAGAAATTTTGTCTGTCATGTTTTTACTACCCATCTGATCTGGTCACGATAAGTTTTATTATTCACGATTTTTTAAAAAATATATTTATAAAAAATGATATTAAAAGTAAAATTACTTGACGAACATGTTTAGTGTTGTGAGAAGCTTCGAAGTGTTAACATTAAAAAATTGTTTCGGACAATGGAAGTTACGTTCAGAATAAATGGAAAATTTTTCTCTGCCAACTCTACATTAATTCCTATAAATACCACACTAAACAGCTTTATACGTAATAATGCGAAGCTGACAGGCACAAAATTCATGTGTTTAGAAGGCGGTTGTGGAGCATGCATTGTTACGTTAACTGGAAGACATCCAGTGACAAAAGAGGAACATTCTTGGGCTGTCAATTCTTGTCTTCAAAATATCTATTCATGCCATGGACTTGACATTACAACTGTTGAAGGAATCGGTAGCAAAAGGGAAGGAATGCATAAGATCCAGAAACGATTAGCAAATTTAAATGGAACTCAATGTGGATATTGTACTTCGGGAATGGTGATGAATATGTATACATTAATGGAATCAAAGAACGGAAAGGTCACAATGAAGGAAGTTGAAAATTCATTTGGTGGGAATATTTGTAGATGCACAGGTTATCGTCCTATTCTTGATGCTTTCAAGTCATTTGCAGTAGATGCAAGTAAAGAATTATTAAATTCAGTTGGTGACATTGAAGACTTAGCTGTAAATAATGCATGCACAAAATCTGGTGTTGCATGTTCAAACCAGTGCGGTACTATGGAATGTTCAAAAAGGGCTATTCAAATAAAATTTGAAAATAATTATGAGTGGCACACAGTTTTCGATTTAGAGCAATTATCGAAAATCACGAAAACAATAAAGAACTCAGCTTACACATTTGTTGCTGGAAATACAGCACACGGTGTTTATCGACGATCGCCCGATTTAAAAGTTTTTATTGATATTTCAAAAGTTGAGGAATTAAAAAGCTATAAAATTAATACAAATTCTTTGGAACTTGGCGCAAACGTGACACTGTCAGAATGTATGGAAATATTTACAAAACTTGCCAATGACAAAAAGAATTTTTCGTATCTTCACGAAGTTGTAAAACATTTTGATTTAATTGCAAATGTGCCAGTCAGAGATAATGGCACTTTAGCCGGAAATCTGATGATCAAGAATCAACATCATGAATTTCCTTCAGATATTTTTCTTATTTTTGAAGCTATAGGGGCAATTTTTAAAATTACGAATGGAACCAATTGTATGTTTCCTTTTATTGGAAACTCTATTGATGTGAATCCAAAAGATTTCATTGCCATTAACATGTTTAAGAAGCTCATGACCAAAATCGTCATACCAGCATATGATCCAAAGAAGTTTACATTTCGATCATATAAAGTCATGCCTAGAGCACAAAATGCTCATGCTTATGTAAATGCTGCATTTTTATTGGAATTGAATAAGACGAAAGTAATCTCAGCCAAGATTTGCTACGGTGGAATCAATCCAACCTTCATTCATGCTGAAAAGACAGAAAAGGTTTTAATTGGACAGGATTTGTTCAAAAATCAAACTTTACAACAAGCTTTGAGCAATCTAAATGACGAAATCAATCCTGATTGGCTTCTACCTGATGCATCACCAGAATTTAGAAAGAGTTTAGCACTCAGTTTATTCTATAAATTTGTGCTTAATATAGCACCTAAGGAAAAAATCTCTGATATTTTTAAAAGTGGAGGAGAACTGCTCAAAAGAGGCTTATCGTCAGGAACTCAAACCTTTGATACTTACGAGAAGAACTGGCCATTAACCAAGAGAATTCCAAAAATCGAAGCAGATGCACAATGCACCGGTGAAGCTGAATATATCAATGATATTCCAATAACTTCCAACGAACTGCATGCTGCATTTGTCACAGCTAAGTATGTCCATGGTATAATATCTAGTATTGATGCTAGTGAAGCTCTAGTAAGTTCAAACAAATATGAACAGAATATCTAGATCTTTAACTTAAACAATTTCATTTATTAGAAAATTCCTGGTGTGACTGCATTCTTTTCTGCAAAAGACATCCCTGGAACAAATTCTTTTATGCCAAATAATTATTTGTTTGTTTCTGAGCCAGAAGAAATTTTCTGTGAATCTGAAGTACTATTCTTTAACCAGCCAGTCGGTATTATAGTCGCTAAATCATTTGAATTGGCTCAATATGCAGCTAAGCTTGTTACTGTTTCGTATGAAAATGGTAAGTGAAAGACTTTTAATTAATTTTAAGTAACTTAGTGATTAGGTTTGACTCTTTAAAGCTTCTGAAAAACCAAAAGTAAAACTGTTCTTGAAAGATGTCAAAGATGATACCTCCAGAACAAAAGTACTTCCAGAATACTGTAAAGAAGCAACAAAATCGAGTGTTGAGAAAGGACAGCAGATTACAGGAAAATTTGAAATTGGACCTCAATATCACTACTACTTAGAAACTCAACTATGTCTTTGCACATTAGCTGAAGATGGTATTAACGTATATTCGCCAACGCAGTGGATGGATACAACACAAATTGCCGTTGCTGAAGCTTTAAATATGTCTGTAAATCAGATAAACATGAGCGTACGTAGACTAGGTGGTGGTTTTGGAGGAAAAATTTCCAGGCCTGCTCAACTGGCTTGTGCATGTGCACTTGCTACAATTAAGTTGAATAAACCAGTAAGACTTGTACTTACAATTGAAGATAACATGAATATAATTGGTAAGCGATTCCCATTATACAATGAATATAGTGTTGAAGTTAATAATGATGGAAAAATTCTAAAACTTGAGAATGAATATGTTGAGGACAATGGATGTTCTTATAATGAACCAGCTTACTTGACTACTCAGCATTTTCCTAACTGTTATGATGACAGTGTATATAAAGTTATTGCCAAAGCAGCCAAAACAGATACACCAAGTAATACATGGTGCCGCGGACCTGGAACTTTGGAAGGGATTGTTATGATTGAAAATATTATGGAGCATATATCAAGGGCTTTAAAAAAAGAACCTGTGGATGTAAGAATTAGGAACATCCCTGATAATATTCCAATGAAGCAGTACTTGATTGATTTTGTCGTGTCTACAGATTATTATAAACGAAAACTAGACATTGAAAAATTTAATTCCATAAATCGTTGGATTAAACGAGGAATTGCCATTGTTCCAATGCGATTCATTATTGAATATTTTGGAAGCTTACATGCCTTTGTCTCAATTTATCATCGTGATGGCAGTGTTTCTGTAACTGTAGGGGGGATTGAGATGGGTCAAGGTTTAAATACAAAGGTGGCACAAACAGCAGCTCACATTTTAGGAGTATCGCTTGATAAAATAATTATTAAGCCATCAAATGCACTTACAGCACCTAACGATATTGTTACTGGTGGTAGTATTGGAAGTGAAATTACTTGTTTTGCCGCACAAAAAGCATGTGAAATTTTAAGAGATAGATTAAAAGTTCTCAAAAACGAAAATCCCAATTTGAGTTGGAATGAAATGATTAAAACGGCATTTGCAAAAGATATTGATCTTGCAGCTTCATACATGTACAAAGCAAAAGATGTTGAAAATTATAGTCTTTATGGTGCTACATGCTGTGAGATGGAAGTTGATTTACTAACAGGAAATGTTCTCGTCAATCGTGTTGATATAATGGAGGATGTTGGTGAAAGCATTAGTCCTGGAATTGATATTGGTCAGATTGAGGGAGGTTTCGTTATGGGACTTGGATATTGGCTTACAGAAAGTTTAGTGTATGACCCAGTGACAGGAGAATTGTTGACAAATCGAACATGGAATTATAAGCCACCAGGAGCAAAAGACATTCCAATTGATTTTAGGATTAACTTTTTAAATAAAAGCTCGAATCCATTTGGAGTTTTAAGGTCAAAAGGTAGGTACTCATTCAAATTCTGATTATAGCTGCAACTAATTTATTATGCTTTTTTTATTTGCTAGCAATTGGAGAGCCACCATTATGCATGTCAGTTGTAGTCCTATTCGCACTACGTCATGCATTAGATTCAGCGAGAAAAGACTCGGGTATCGTCGATGACGAATATTACGATTTGGGATTACCGACATGTGAAAAAATATTTTTAATGGGAAACACTAAACACGAAGCTTTTAGCTACTAATAAAGCTTTTCGGCCTTCATAATTTTCAAGTTCAAAGAACATGATGTAATGGATACATTTACATTTTCAGTAAGGTTTTTAATCTCTGTCTCAGTGAAAGCTACATGTGTTGATTTTTTTTTGGACTAAATATCGGTTTTAATAGAATAATATTTAATTTTATGGACTAATTTAAATTGAAATTGGGTTATTGCAGGAATTATAAGAAATCATTAAAAAAATAAGACAATAAAAATTTGGACATCAAAAATAATAATATTTTTTATTACTTTTTTTCAAATCATTATGCCAAATGTTCTGAAAAGCATAAAACTTAAGAATTAAACCTACTTCCATCAAAACATCTTTAAAATACTCAAAATATTTTCAACAAAACATTTTTTTTAAAATTATTTCTAAACCAATATATAGAGTTGGAAGTTCAGACGAAAAAATCAAGGCCAATCTTCTTTACAAACAGCTACAATTTCACGCATTTGTAATTCTGTTCATCACAATCCTTTCCAAAGAATGACGAAACTATTTTTGCCAAAATGTGAAACAAAGAAAAAGTATTGCTATTTTTTGCAACATTTGTATGCTATGGTAGCCAATAAATATAGATATTCATTCTTGGAAGTATTGGACTTGCCTAACACATGTGGTGATTCAACTTATGTCAACTAAAGCATGTGGAGATAAGAAGTTGCCAAAAATAATCACAAATTATCATGTAGAAGAGCAAATAAAGCATCAAGTAAGTGATGAATTGAAACTTATCTAAAAACATTATTATTTTTCGTTCATTCATCATTCGTATGAATGATTAGACAGTATAACCGGTACTATACTCGCATAGTGCTAGTAATTGTTTAATAATATGGCATACGTCTGTAAAAAAAACTCTTTTGAGACCTTTTGCAAGTGATTTATCCAAATGAAGAAAGAAAAAAATATATATCTTCACTTACTCAGTGACCATCAAGCTGCTTGCACGTAAATTTTTTTTAGACAAGTCTTATTGTTAAAATAAAATGTGCAAGGAAATATTTTTTCAAATCTGTTTATTTACAATACTTATAGTGAAGTCAATTGGAAGTAGTGAACCATATCTTGATATTCTAAAACATTATGAACAGAATGTAGATCTCAGTGATTTGTGTAATGATAAATTAGGAAGATTAAAGAATGCATATGAGAATCGTGAGATTTGGGCTATAAAAGGTGAATTAGTGAATGATATTTTCAAAATTTTTACAATTTATCAAACTAAAGTCGAAAAAAATTTTTAGTTCTCGATGTGAGTGGTAAAAAAGCTAATGATTTTACTTTGGGTAATAATTTTTGGTTGGGCAGTGGACGTGGATGTGATCAATTAAATAATCCCCCAACAATACACCTAAGACCTAGCAGTTCAAGAAAAATGAATGAGAATGTAACATCAATTCGATCTGAAATTCCCATCGTCTATAGAATGTTCAGGATAGCACATACATCCAGCATCCAGTTTGATATTGATTTATTTAATCAGAGTGTGATTCACGTTGGTTTGTGCTTTCCAAAAGAGTGCAGTAATGAGGATGTCGATGAAATTGGAATAAAAATCTTTGTGCCAATCATTCTCAATGATAAAACTCTTTATGGAAATGTCTCGTACAAGAGTTCAAGAGTACTTGAACTACGCGACGATTTTATGAATGAAAATTTTGTGAGAATATTAATGTAAGTGACGCTGCATATGTTGTGAAATTTTAGTGCAAATATATGGGAACTTAATGCTATAAATTTAAAAGTTCAAAAATTGTGATTTTAATCATGAAAGACATTTAAAAAAGTCAATGTAAAGTGATCAGTCATGTTTCAAGCTATTCATCAAAAAAAATTATTTCTTCAAATTTTCGAATCAACTTTTTGCTTAAAATGTGCAAGAGGTGATTTTTCGAATGAATTATTGTGGTGTGATTGCAATAGCTTTAGTGCCTCTCAAAAACCTCGAAAGCACAAAAAGTATAATTATAAGATTTATTGGATTTGAGTTGCCAAACTTATTGCATATGTACAGAAACTTTAATGTCAATAACTTCTTTGCGATCCTTTAAAAAGAAAAATGGGTCAATTATAAATACTGTCAACTTTTCAACAAAATTGTTTTAAATTGAGCAGATCTTCCTGAATGTTAATCCTTTCCAGACTCAAACTTTCATTTTATTTGACGTTATAAGTAATTGAACTATAAAACCTACTAGAACTTAAGCATTTATGTATTTCAAACCATTTGTCTAAAGTCCTCAAATTTAACAACAGATCTTCAATTCTCAACCATAATAAACTTTCAATTTCAGTATAACTGTGATATTTTTTGGAAGCTTAGTAGCACTTGGTACAATTTATACATCACTAACGAGACAGAAGCACTCTAAGAGAAAATTGGCGGGACATAATAATAACAATAATAATGAACAATGTTGTACCAAGAATGACTTCAGCACAAAAATAAATTTGCATTATTTGAACTTTGATGAGTTAAAGAAGAAGAAGAAAATTGCAGACAGATTTTGGCACTGCTTTGCATTGCAAAAGAATAACGCGTTTATTATGTCATCGAGATTGAGCAAGGACTCATTGCCGCCAATTCATGGTATTCGAACATTTGGAATTTTATGGATTATTATTGGTAAATCATTCAACAAATGAATTCACAAGAAATTACGGTATTCACAAATGTCCATGTCTTTACCTTTATTACTTCAAGGTCACATGTACTATTATGCAGCGGCATCATTTGATAACCTTCAACTAGCATTTTCATATGGAGAATCTTTAGCCCTTCAACCATTTTTTGCTGCAGCTCTCTCCGTCGATTCTTTTTACACAATTAGTGGCTTTTTGTTGGCATATGCGTTTTATGAGAAGCAGAAAAAACGTCCATCAAGAAGTCTCGCAATGGATGTGGTCAAAGGAACCATTAACCGATACATACGTATTGCTCCATGCTTTATGATCGTAAGAATTTTATTATGTTTTGTAGCACTAATTGAGCTTTTTTTTTCTCTCCTATCATATAGCTTATGTTGTTTGCAGTTACATTCTCCATAATATTAAATGACACATCTCAGTTCCTCCCGGTTGAAAACATTGAAGTAAATTGCAAAAACTATTGGTGGAGGAACATGCTCTTCATCCAAAATATGTATCCATTATCAGAAATGTGCTTAAGGTAACTTGTGTGAATCAATGCACGTATCAATCACTGATTTATTGCCTTTTCAGTTGGAGTTGGTATGTCTCAACAGATTTTCAATTGTTCATCATTGCGAGCATAATTTTGGCAATATCTATGAAGTGAGAATCCTCCATAAATAAATTAAAAATGCTAATAAAACTATTTTACATTGAAACTTATTTCTTTCATCACAGGAATATGAAACTTAGTGCGTTAATATCATTCATCATTGTGGCGATATGCTCAATGTACTCAGGTTATGTTGGAATACAACAGTCCTTCGCCTTCTCGTAAGTTACTCTCATTCAATTGTTAATGTATCGTTTTTTATGCTCACAAAAAAAATTATGGTCACTGTATTAGGCTCGACGTTCAATACAAAAGTGTAGATGAATTATACACAAAACCATACACGCGAGCAGCCCAATACATTACCGGCGTTTGGGCCGGCTACTATTTGAGCAAAGTAAACAGACAATGGCGAGTGAGAAAGGTCAGTGTCACGTCTGAAGAGAAGAAAATGATTTTTTTTTTCCATGCGTCATGTGATTGCGCATTATTATTATTTTTGTTGTTGATATTTTTCTTTTCAGATGTGTATCAACCTTGGCTGGGCACTTTCGATTTTCACGCTTTTGTTTTTAGTCTTCATACAGATTTATAAAGAAACAAATTTCTTTGTATCGTTTGTATTTCCGGCAGTCGGAAGAATTCTTTGGTCATTGCCAATATGCTTTATAATTTTTGCAGGATCAACACAGTTTAACGAAGGTGAAGATACTCAATATGAAATTATTTGCACAAGTTAATTTTAAAATAAATATTTCACAGGATTCATTGCCAAGATCTTAAATTCAAAATTATTACTTCCATTTAGTCGAATGTCATTTTCTGCATATTTGCTTAACCCATTAATTGTTATGGTCTTAACATTTTCTTGCGAAACTACATTTCATCTTGACTTTTATTCGATGGCAATTTACATTGCGGGCTTTTATCTTATCACTTATTTCGCTGCTTATTTATTCATGCTTTTGTTTGAGAACCCAATTATTATGTTTGTAAGAGCTTATATTGCGAATTGACGGATTCTTTGAAGCTAGATAAATTTATAAAATTTAAAATTATTGTAGATTTAAGAAATTAGTGATAATAAAATGTAAAAATAAGAATTAAACATGAGTTTGAAATACTTTGCATATTTGAAAAATATTTTTGTTTAATAATTTTCAGAAAGCTTTGAAGATTTTTCAAGGACCCCACTTTAGTTCATTCATTCATTCAAAAGTTTTTATTTTTTTTCGTACCATAAATAAATTTTTGGCTCTATTCAATTATCAGTGTTAGGATCAAAATCTTTTCAACAAAGTCATTGAACTTTTCATCTTATATATTTTTTAAAAAAAAATTTGCTCGTCAGGTAAGGCACGATCTTATTATTTTGTTTTTTTTTTGTTTCTTTTATATCTTGCGATTACAATTTGATATACCGTTAACAGAACTTTAATTTCTGGTTACTAAGCCCTTAAATTTTTGGATTTTATTCTTAACAATTATTTCTTAAATCTATATAAAATCTGTTAAATATACAGCGCTACAAAAAGTCAATGATTTCATGGAAATAACAGATCAGGGGTTGAAGTCAATCAAAATTTTTCGACTTTTATTCGAACTTTGACAAATTTTTTCAAAAATTCTTAATCGAAAAGTTTTTCAGCAAAATTTTTATTCAAACTTTAGTTGAAAAATTGTTCTGAAAATTTTTTCGCTCATTCTTTGATTGAAAATATTTCATGGCAAATTTCCATCGAAAGTGAAGAATTTTCAACGAAAATTTAACGAAATTTTCAAACTCATTTTTTTCTGAACATTAAAACGGATCAAAACGGAAGTAAAAGCACCTTATCGAACAAAAAAAAAGATGAATAAAGAATACACGCTTTTAAGAGCAATTGATGCTTAAAAAGGAACATCTTACGCAAAAACTTTCTTTGCAATTTGATTGAAAATTTTTCAAACCAAATTTTTTTTCAAAAAATTAATCGATAAATTTTCAACGAAAAAACTTTGATCGAAATTTATTCGAAAAATGATAAACTTTGATTAAGATTTTTTTGAATTTTTTTAATCATTTCGATCAACTGGAAAAACCATTAATTTATATTTCTATAACTATGCAGCAAGAATAAAATATTTCATTTAATCCGATTCTTAGACTCGGAAAGGTTTTAAAGCTTTTAAATGAAAAAAAAAAGAATATCCTTCAAGGATTCTAAGAAAAATGGGGTTTTACTTTCAACGACTTCTTAAACTTTTTTGTTTATAATATTCGTCTTTCACAGTTCAGTTATTTTCAATTAAAATCATTTATAAACAAATAATTGGTTATCAAAGTTTCGAATACTATTTGATTTTGATTTAAATCTCTTGTATGAAAGATTTTTTTTGGGATTTTAAAATTCCTCAATATAAACTTCTTGTATGCAATTTCTCAAATTATTTTTCAAATCAATTTCATCAGGTACGAAAGGAACCGGTCAGCTCCGCAAAAAATTTTTGACTTCAATAGGTGATTCCTTGATGAAAAAGCAACAAAAAATTTTTTTGTGGATGTAAAGGAACTAGGCAGTTCAAGTGCCTATTCTTGCTTATGACTTATTAAACAAACGTAGACTACTTTAGTACTGTAATAAAAGACATTTAAGATTTTAAGAGCAATGAAAGCAGGTAGTTCCTCATATAGAGTAAGATCCAGGCATGCTTGATGAAGCCAAGTTATTTATATGTAAGCAGCAAGGCACAGAAGATTAAAAATCATGAATTGGATTTCGTATAAGTCAAACAGCACGGAACCATTGGATGCTGTAACCTTTATTAAAGAAATGATTGGATCTAAAAGATCCAGTTGCAAGATTCTGTCCGAAAAAGGATCAACTGCATTCTTACTTATGAGGAACTACAACTGAAAACTGTTGATTTGAAAAATAATTTGAGAAATTGCATTCAAAAATTTTATATGGAGGGATTTTAAAATCCCAAAACAAAATCTTTCATACAAGAGATTTAAATCAAAATCCCAAAAAAAAATCCTTTTGCAAAAATTATTTAAATCAAAATCCCAAAAAAATCCCTTTGAAAAATGATTTAAATCAAAATCCCTTTTTAAAATCATTGCAAAAAGATTTTGATTTTGATTTAAATTACCCACCCTGGTTCTAGGATTAGATCAGCTCGCGAACTGATCGTGGTTTCCTGAAATTAAATATTACTTACCAAGATACAAATTGATTTTAAAAAACGAAAGTGATTTTCTGGTTGCAGATACTTAAGGAACTAATTTTGTACAGTAGAATTGTTGTGATATATAGACGTGATATAATTATGATATATTATTAGCTATAAGATTTATAAATTAAACATATTTTCTAAACAAAAATAAGTTTTCAACAGTTTCTTAACAAGATTTAATATTTTTAACCCAATTGCAAATATCTTGAAAAGCTCTTCCTACTAAAGCTTGAATCAAAAGTATTTAAATTTATAACCTCTTAGATAATGTTAAATAATGGACGCTTTATTTAATTCTTGCAAAAAACAAAAATGAAATTTTTAACTTTTCTTCTTGATAACAATATTTCAATAATAATAATAATTCAATAGAACTCAAGGTTAATTTATTTGACAAAACAAAGCTTTTTTATACTCACACCGTTTTCACTATGAATCTATTGGTTTTGTTCAGATTGAAAAATCAGTTTTTTGAATTTTGTGAGGATATGGAGCAAGATAGCTTAACATGTCGAAAGATGAAAAGTTTGTGCCTGAAATTTCACATCATCTGCAAAAAACAGATTTCAAATTGGTTTCGGCATTGCTGAGAAAATTGCAAAATACGCTTTCTGTAAGCAAGCAAACTGAAGCAAACAAGCAAACAAGCAAGTTAATCAGCAAGAAATCTCAATAACGAGACATCGTAGAGACTTCTAGTTTTTTACATTTGATCCGTGCTGCTCTATAGAAGAGCTGTATTGTTTTTGGACAAGGTAGGAACAGCCGTTGCTTCAGAAAAAGCAAAAAGTTTTCCTTCCTTACGAATTTTTCAAAACAAAAGTTCACTATGATTTTTTTTTTAAATTAAACTTTGGATGAAAAAAAAATTTTAAAAATTTTTCAAAGAATGTTCGTTAAGCTTTAAAACCTTCAAACTTATGCTGAGCGAAGCTCAACTGATTCGATATCTTTACACCTTCAAACTTATGCTAAGCAAATCTTGGTCTATCCATAAGACTTTTGATGGTACGGTGTGAACATATCCGCATTGGGTTTCTACCCGATACACTAGTTTATACATCAATTTAATTAGAATAGTGCTTCATAGTAAAGAAGTACCCAGATGTCTAATATTTCGCGCGGCAAATGAGAGATCTTGATCGTTATGACTTTCTTAAGAAAACAAAATTCTTCTGTGTAAAGAATTGCAAAATCACTTGTGCTAATAAGAAAATCTGGCAATTTTATTTTAATTTCAGTAAAACAGACATGGATATTCCATTTAAATTTTTCGTAGTAACATAAAATGAAATTCTGAATGAAAAAATGGTTCAAGAAACAATACTGATTAATTATTTACCTTAAAAAGAATTTTAATGTTTCATCTTTACCTAGCATCTAAAGCATTACTTAATTCGTTGAATATTTGGATATAAAAAAATAAAGCTCTAAAAAAGGAGAAAAATTGCATAAATCACATGTGAAAGAGATCAGCTGATTCAATTTCTCAATTCCAAAGTCTAAATACAGCTTCCAAAAAGCAAATAAAAATACAAGTTCAACACTTCCAATGCATCCAAGCTCCCTTCAATATCATTATAACATTGATGCATATGTCCATATGTGTATGCGTAGATTTTTGAACCTGCTAAGAGAGTAATGCTTACATTCAGCTGTTGTGGATAGTGATGATTGTGTCGCACTGAAAGCGTAGAGAGTCAAAAAAATAATAATTTTGGAAATTCATTTCGCTTTGGATCTTTGAACAGTACGGTTGAAAATCTCTGTTAACTCCGCGATATCACTTTTATAATTTGATTTTCACTCAAAAAAACTTTTATTTTTTTTTGTCTGACCGGATTTGAAATTTATATTTTTTATAGATTTGATTTTTTGTCAATTTTAATTTGTGTTAGGAATTAAAAAAGAGTGATTTAGTGAAATTTATCTTCCAAAAGTCATAGTATTTAAGAAAATGTGATATAATTTATCACAAACTTAGTGTTATTTTTTGAAAAAAAAAATATAGTGAAAATCACTTGCGATAGTTAAAAAAAATATTCAACAAATAAAATTAAATAAAATAGTTGATCATGATGTGCTTAAGTGGATACAATAAATTCCTAAAATCATGCAGTCTCCTATTTTTAATAGTTTTCGTACTGAAATCGAATTTAATAACCTGTGATATTATAACAAATTCGACAAAAAATGAGAATCATACAGCACCAATAATTCAATGTAAAAAAAATAGTAATAATGCAGAACAGGAAGATTGCATTATGCGAGATAGCCATGTAGTGATAGTGAAGAAAATTGATAGATATTTAAATGAGCCAGGCTCCATGTATAGCTCATATGCTGATCGTCTTAAACACACGTCAATATTATATGGGCTAGTAAAGCTAGCTCAAGAAAACGAATTGAATCAAAAGTGTTATAATGAAATTATGCAAATTTATGATGGAATCAATAGAAAAGAAATTTGGGCTATGAAGAGTAAGTTTCAACATCTTATTTATATTTTATTATTATTATCTAGATTATTCATGGATTTTGAAATATACATCGTGATTTATACTTCTGCAATAAAAACACATGATTTGGAAACATCTTTAAATAGCCATTGGTTCGACCTAGAGTAATATGGAAGTCTAGAAAGATTCGAATAATTCGGAAATAAGAAACTTAAAAATAATTCAGATGATTTTATTAAAGGGATTGCTCATAGGAGCATGGTTTTTAAAAGCTTGATTTCTGCAGTCATTACTGTGTTCTGTACAAAATGTTGTGGACAACCTTTATTCCAAGGACTATGTAAAGCACCCTGTCAGTTATTAAGATTTTGAATCTTTTCCGCATTTTCTTCGATGTTGTTTACGAAAGTTCGTAAATGAATTTTTTCATAAATTCACAAAATTTCATATTTAAAGACAATTTTGGTTCTGTTTAAGCGAGTTGCTGTAACTATTGAGTGATAATAATCGAGTTGCAACTGTCATACCTTAAATTTTGCTTCAAATAGATGAAAAATTTGCAATTGAAAATTTTTGTCATAAATTGTAAACAAACTTGTTTTGTTGAAAATTTTCTGACAAAAAAAGTTGTCGAGTTCGAATTTTCATCAACTATCCATAGTCCTTGGCCTTTATTGTGACACATCTTCACAGTCATTATTCTCCAACTACAGAATTCTTAAAAAAAATCTAATTAAAATATTTCTAGAAATTTTAAGAAATACCTATCTGTTGAAAATCTAAGAAATAAATCTCCATACTTGACAAACAAATTCATTTCATCATAAATTCATGCACGACCGATTCAAATAATAGAATATGTATAAGTGTGTTTGATTGAGATCTGCTAAATTAATGCAATTAATTAAATAAATGTTTACGAACCTTGGAAGAAGCATCTTACTGACACTTCATTAATGCGTTTTTTTTCTGAATATGCAAATATTTTTTCGAACGTCTATTCTTTGTGTACCTAAAATTGCATAACAATTCGCATATCAACAATTTCATAAATTATTTAACTTGGGCAAAAAGAAAAGAGGCTATTATATAAGGCTCCTTATGAAAAGTACATAAATTGAAATTATTTGTGCAAATTAGATCTTAAACTCCGCATCCAATTAATATTGGCATACTCGAAAAACAGAGTCTTATTTGCTCACTTAACTTTCATATTTTATGTCAATTTTAAATCTTTTGAAGAACTCAGATGTCATCTGTCAAGTACTTTAAATTGGAAGCACCATAAGCACACGAAAATGAGTCAATATGTCAAGTCACGCTGACGGAAATGAATTTTTATGTTAACAGTAAGTCTTTTGCTTATGAGAGATGTAAAGATAGGTCATTCACATCTGTAGATTTGTTTAGTAATAAATAAATAGTATGGACACACTTATCAGCTCCGCATCGACCTAGTTCAGTTTATTTTTCGTCACCGAAAATGTTCATGCATGCAGCATCACACGCTCACATATTCAATGTATGTTAATGTGTCTCGTTTTCATGAAAGAAATGCAATCAGTTTCAACAAGACAAAAGAATCATTTTTTGTAAGGAAAATGTAAAGCACAATAATAAAAGACATGCATTGTTATTCATTTTTTTTTGGCTCGCGCCACACAAGATAAAGAAATACAAAAAATTTATGTAAGAGAAATTACATCATCCACAAAAATCAGTTTCGATTTTTGCACTTTTTTATGTGTGCCACGAAATAATTTTCGTTGTGTTCGGCGAAGCTTTTTTTTCTTTCTTCTTTCTTTTCAATGTTTGTACCAACAGAGATTTTTTTTGTTGATTGATTGAATTATTACCGGTAAGTTGCGGAAGCACATGCTCTTGTGTGATTTCTTCTCTCTGCAGAGAAATGGTTTGTTATGAATTTTTATATTAAGAAGAAATTATTTATTACCTAATTATGAATGCCTACATAATTTAATTGAACTCACTGTGCAGCAACAGTTTTTGCTCATAGGGGTACGAATTCTTATGAAATAAAATTTTAAATTACGCTGATTGTTAAAAAATGATGCCGATTGGCAAATAAGTAGAGTATTGACCAGTATTGACTCCATTATTGTCTCTCATAATACTTACTTTAATTTTTGTGGTTTTTTGGACTTTTATGTAAATAAAATAAATTCTTTCGTGATCAACAATGATAAATTTACTCAGAGAACTGTGAAACTTCTAGATTACATAAAAGTAAATCGAACAAAAATCATCTTGATAGGTCTTTAACATAAAAGTGTGTAAAATATAGCTTTTGCATCTGAATTATCTCTCGAAACTATTCTTTAAAACAAAAGCTAATTCAAAACAAGTTCCAATAAAACAATTTAACTCCAGCATTAATAAATTTATGCTCAAAAAATTATGAAATTTCCATGAATCATCTTTTGTCTTCATCAAAACAAATGACAATTTTACCCTTCATCAAATCCATACGAGAAGTAAACAATTCAATGCTCAAATCTCAAATCATGGTCATTATGCATAGATATCATTTAGTTGTCATGCATTCTAATCGTTTGTTTGAACATGTATCATTTCACGGTATTTCCCATCTATCTTAAGGCCATGTTCACAGTAAACATCGAATAAGTGTTAAAGAAGATGACAGGTAGGAAATTTCAATGATTCTAATGTGCAAATAGACAAATAAAGATTCATTAGAATTTTACGGCAGTGGCTTTTATTTTAAAACTAGACTAATAGAAATCTGAAATTTTATAATTATTCATTATTGACTATTGAGTAATGTTAATTCAGATAACACATTAATCTGAGTCGATGACCTTTGTTTTTCGTATGATTTTGTGTAAATAGACATGAGTTGGCTAAAAACTAATCCTATAAGACATTACACTTTGCTTTTAAAATTGTGTCAAGTTGTGAAATCGTATCCTCATAGTTTAATGAATGTGTAATAGTTGGAACCAATCGAAAAATTTTAATTATTGACAAGAATTATTGTTAATGTCGAAACTTGAGATTGCAAACTCTGAATCATGTTAAATTTGTGTCAAAATTGCAAAAAGAGGATATACTTGAAACAAATTTACCAATTTAATTGAAAGGTTTTGTAATCAACAAGTTGTAAATAAGGTTAAAAGTTTATTATTGTGGATTTCAAGGAAGTATTACTGTGAATTGTTTATTGGCCTCTTAAGTTGCTATTGAGATTAAAATGAAATCATTCCTTGATGGAAAATTTCTTGATTCATCATTTTAATGATGCTTGAATTAAAATCTCATTGACGTCTTATTGTTTTTAACTTTTGCACTTAAGATTTGATTCGCTAATTACTAAGCCCAAAATTAAGAGTCCTAAATGCTTTTATAAAAACTAATACAACCCGGAATCGCTCGAGTCCTCAAAAAAGTTATGAACAATGAAAAAATCCCGAGATTAAGGTCAGGATATTCTACAAAACAATTTTGACGTCAATGGCAAGGCTTTCTCTTAGTAATTTACTATGTCAAAAACAGCTATAGTTCAATGAAATCATCAGAAGTCATGAAATTTGGCATAAAGTAAAAATAAATTAATATTTTCAATTTTTACTAAGCCTTTCTTCAATTGACGTAGTTCTTCGTAAAATTAAGAATAGCTCATTAGGCTGTTATTTGGGTTTATATCATTTGGATTAATAGCAATTTCAATATGAATCACAAGATGCTTCAAAGGTTCTTTTTATTCGAAAGTAAATTATGAGATTGACGTCAATAGCACTCGTGGTTGCTTGCTTGTGCTACAATCTTCATATAAAGTTGTGAAATTGAATACTTAGTCACTACCATGAAAGTACAACATTATCAAAGAAAGCTTAAAAACTAAAGTTTTAATACTGATTATAAAAAATAAGCAATAATAAAATTCGCAGCATATTGCGAAACTTTTTTCACAGCTGAAGACAATTTTATGGAGCTGAAGTTGTAATTTATATTTTGTGGAATGTGTTTATCCAACTGATGATGGGATATTAAATGATCAAGAGATAAGGGTGCATTCCTTTGTTGTGTAATAACTTAATGAGATTTTTTCTCTGTTGGTTGTTGTGAATTAATGAAGATTAGAGAGTCACTCATATGAATCAGGAGTGAATTTATTTTAGAATGGAGGTTAGGTTCTCACAAACGAGAAACAATGCAATCACAACATAACGGTATCCTTTCAACAAGTGCATAAAGCTACAAGCAATCAATCCTCTGGGCAATAAAAAATAATGCCTTTACAAGATGATAATAATAATATCAGTTAGTGAACATGACATTGATAGAGTTCAGTTCTCTTATTACAACAGGTTCCTTACACACGCACATCACTTTTATGTAATCGATTTTGAAAGTGATTCTGATCAAATCAGACTGATTATGAGAGATATGTGTAGCATTAAATGCCATTTTAGGGTTAATCATATTAAATAACATTTCACTCGCAACATTTGGAAACGTCTTCATATTCTAATTATGCAAAAGACATGTCTTTTATTAATGCAAAAACTTTCGAAATATTTTTGGACACTTTTCCATAGGATATCAGCTATTAATAAATAAACGAGATGGGTGCCAAGGTGTGTGAATTTCGAAATAAATTTATGGGTTTAGTGACACAGTGATATTTGAACATATTAGATGGACTTTTGGATAAAACTCGAATAAATTTGTTTTGTAACTTTGCGGCTCCAACTTTTGCTATCCAATTGAATTTTGCTCAGATGACAAATGAATGTTGATGTGCTCTTGAGCTTACGAATTTATGTCTGATTAATGATCCAGTACTTTTAAACTTTATAAAATCAAACTCAAATTCTATTCATCATTGTTAATTTTGGATTATGACACACACGTGTATATGCGGTTTTTGATGAAATAAATATTTTGATGTGACCCTCTAAAAATAGCATCAATATTTACTATGATAAATGATCGCACTTATTTTGAGCAAGTTGGGCATGTTCAAAATCCAGTTGTGAATATGAAAAAAAAAAATCTCCGGCTGATTGAGTAGTAAAAAGCGATTATTTACACATTTTTATGAATGAATATTTGCCATGAACTTGTTAATGCTTTCTGTTCGTACCTCCAAAAGCACGACTACACAATCATCTTCTCAAACTTCATTGTACCTAATAAAAGAATGAATTGTGGGATATAAATAGCATAAGTACTGGTGATGGTGAATCATGGATGATTTGCACAAAAAGAGCTATAGTCAGTCAGTCAGTCTGAAATGTAAATATTTAACCCAAATAAATGCACATCTCATCATTTCCATATGATGTCCAAAAAGTGAAAGTTCCCGAAAGATAAAAATTCCTCTCAAGTAATATTACAGGAAATATGTTATCACATCACAATTCATGTCTATTTCATCTATCCAATTAAAAATTTTTCATTACTTCACTTAATTAAAATTTACTATGTCAATTAAAAATTGAAATCCGAGTTAAAATCGTAATTGAGAAGGACCTTTTTGGGCTAGAAAAGTTGTTGCGTGTAAAACTTGTTGACCCTGAAAGAGAACAAGCAGACTGTAGTGAGTACTGCATATAGGTCGTGAAGAACATTAAAAGCAATCATGGTATCAGCAATAATTTATATCTCTTGTGTATGAAAAACTTCATTGCTCAATAATTACTATATAGCAACCTTGTGAGGATGAAGGAATGCTATATAGACAGAATGTCGTGCATATAAAGGCAAGAATTCATTATAGAAAATTTATTTTAATTTTTTTCCAGCCTTGGACTCATCAGGCCACTTTGGATCTGGTTTTCTTCATGGCAATAATCATTGGTTAGGCTCAGAAAAAGGATGTCAATCGTTAACATCTCCCTTACATGTAACATTATCGAATCGATTTGAGCGGCTAATGAAGCCTGATTTGATACATGCTGTTGCACCATTCGAAATGAACTACCGCATGATTTATGCAAAGCATTACTCAGCGTGGCAAATTGAAATCAAATTTCATACAGAGAATTTACTCCATATTGGATTATGTCTACCGAAATCATGCAGCAACAATGAAATTCACAATTTAACACAAGAGTATTTAAATAGCAGAACTCTTGACGCACAAAATTTGTTTGAATTTGAGAGTGATGTCTTACTCGTCAAAGATTTAAAGCTTAGAGAAAACTTTTTCTCCAAAAAAAGTGTCATTATTTTATGGTAAGCTAGCTTTTATTTACTTGTATCATGTCTGGATCTTTAATTCCCTGTCTTTTGTGTACTTTGATATCTCAATAGCATCATAAGCGTCATTACCTTAACAATCGTACTCTGTGCATGGTATAGAGATGAGAAAATAAATGATGCACTAGATCCAGTCGAAGCAGCTCAGTGCAACAACTTTTGGGACAAGATTTTGAAAAGCTTTTCAATACAAAACAATTATAAGAGCTTAATGGATGACACAATTCCTCCTAATTCGATTAGTGTCATCAATGGAATTAAGTAAGATACTTGATCAGATTCCTGGCTATTCATTTAATAAGGATTTGCATAAATTTTCATTTTTTCGCGTCAAAACCTTTTCTTTTGGTCTTCAAACTTTAAAAGTCAATAAGATGCATCAATAGCATTGAAAAGTGAGAGTCTATTAATATTCATAAAAAAAACATATCTCATTTCAGGTCAATATCATGCTTCTTAATTCTGTGCTTTCACATGTTTTGGTTTAGTTTTTACGTAACAAGCAATCCAGGTGTGCTATTTCATTTATCAGAAAAAGTAAGTTTTCAATGGATTGCGAATGCAGCTCTTATGGTCGATTCGTTCTTCTGCATCAGGTAAGCAATAAATGTCATGTCATAAAAATTGTATTATTAAGTAATTATTCTGTGTATTATTACAGTGGATTCCTTGTTGCATATAATTTCATAAGAAATGATAAGCAAATGGAGGAAATCAAAAACAATACGCTGATGCAAAATGTAAGGCTCTTTGGAAAGCTTTTGTTGCATAGATTTATAAGGTAAATAATTATTAGGGGCCGTTCACTTATTACGTTCGCATTTTAGGGGGGGAGGGGTTGGAAATATGTATGTAACGTTCTAACTGTCGTCTGTCTCTTAAGGAAAAGTTCACGAAAAAAAATTTGTTTACAAATTCACAACAAAAACATTTTTTTAAATTTTCCACCTTTTTAATGATAAAATAAATTATGAACGTTCAAGGGGGGGGGGGGGGGGGGGGTGAGTTGTCACATATTGTAACAAGGGGGGGAGGGGGGTGAAAAAAGTCGTTTTTTACGTAACGTAATAAGTGAACGGCCCCTTAGTATAATCGTTTATTATAAAGACACAAATGTAGTCTTTCGCAAGTTTAACAATCTCGAACATTTAATTGATGTCAAAATCATTTTTTTGGCCAAATTATGCAAATTGAAGTTTTTTTTTCGTAATAAGAGAAATAAGAGTTTCCATTCATTCTTTTTATTTATTTTGTTGAATGATTTAATATTAATGAACTATCAAAGTTGCAACATATGAAATGTGAATCACAAATTTCTCATGCTGAAATTTGCCATGGGATTTATATTCTTTTGATTTATTTACAAATGATAGGGTTTAAGTTTAAACTACTAAGTTCCATACCGGTTTTGATGAATTAATGAATGAATTCCTGTAAGGGCTGAGTTCATAATAATTTATGCATGTGCAACGAAAGTTCAAAATCATCGGAACATTATGAGGCTACCTTGAACGAATAAATGGGCATGAAATATATATATCGCATAATAATACATAAAATACTGTCATGTCTTGTCATTTTTTTCTCTCTATAGACTTTCTCCCCTTTATCTCATGGTTGGCTTACTGACAGAAATTTTTACGTCATACATTGTGGATGTATCAAAATTTTGGGTACATGAACGAACTGATTTAACATGTCAGCAGTGAGTATTAAACAGTTGATATACATAACATTAATAATGACATAATTGTAACAACTATTATCTTCCCACATTTTTGTAGATTTTGGTGGAGAAATATTTTTTATGTTCACAATCTGTATAGTCATGATGAGTTGTGTATGAACTGGACATGGTCAATGGCTTGTGAAATGCAATTCTTCATAATGTTCACGATAATCTTATTTGTATTTGCAAAGTAAGTTGCTAATCATTTATGTCCATGATATCTAAGCAATTTCTCACAAAAATATATATTTTTTAAATACTACAGAAACAAAATTTACGGAAAAATAACATTCAGCATGTTTACACTACTCATGCTTGTTATCGGCGTTAAGAAGACTTTCAAGTACCAATTTCTGCCAAGCTTTGATGTTCTTCTGTACACAGGAACTGAACTTTACATATCTCCATGGACTCGTATCATACCATATGCGGTCGGTGTTGGTTGCGGATGGTATTTGAATAAATACAGAAAAACATTCAGCATGTCTGATGTAAGAAAGCGAGGATGACCTTGAAAATATTTTTTTTTCTCTCTGTCTTGAGTTTTTTTTTCGTCTTCATACTCATTAATGCTGATTTTCTCTTTCGCTCACAGAAAATGCGCAACTTTATGTTCTTCTTATCATCATTTTTGCTGGTTTTGGCACTTCATGCAACAATTGAGAGAAATATCAGTGTTGAGATTGCATCATTTTGTATCTTAATAGGAAGACCATTGATCGCTTTTTCAGTTAGCTGGTTTATTATCACAAACGCATGCGGCTATAACTGTAAGACATTAAAAACATAGCTTTGCGTTTATATTTTCATAATCTCTTCCTCTCTACTTGTACAGGTTGGACCTCAAAACTGTTTTCTGCACGAATTTTTGTACGAATTAATAAATTAACATATGCCATTTACTTGCTCAATCCACTGGTAATATCAATAGTTTTTGGTAAATTTGATCATGGAACGTTTGTTGATCCAGTGTTGTATACAATTCTTATAATTGGAATTACACTATTGACCTATGTACTTGCCATTGTATTTTCACTTCTTTTTGAAATTCCCTTCTACAAGCTTTCCAATGAAATTTTAAGAGCAACAAAGTCGTCTGGAGTATCAACGAATGGGTTTAAAGCCAAATCAAATTGATCGTTTAAAGATGTCAGTAATTAATGTTGTCGACATTTTTAACTTTCTCATCTCTCTTAATTTTAATTTAATTAAGCAATTTATTTATTGATGAAAACAATTCTGAATTTTTTATGCATCTTAGATTTGTATGTGATTTTATAGTTATGTAAGATTTTGGTTAATAAAAGATTGATGACGATACAAAAAATACACTCTTTTTTTTCTCAATTTCAATTTCAATTTATTATACAACATAATAGCATTTCAGAATACATAAGATTAATCGTATTTTTTTCGAGTGTTAGTCAATAAAAATTGTATGCTTTTATTATTTGAATTTATTAAGATGTACCTTTTGTTCGTTTAGTGCACACTCTAGATGATATTTCGTTGATTAACATCAAGGTATGCTGCATAAAAAAAAGATACGAAAGCTTTTTTTATATATTTTTCTCTAACCCAATATTGAAATATGTGTTAATACAAATTCGGCATCTTGTAAAATTAGCCGAACACAAAATGGAATCGTTCACTTATGACGTCCAAAATTAACGGTCATTTTTCAAAAAAAGAACAATGGATATCCAGGAATTACTATTGTTCTTTTTTTGCTGACCCTCCCCCCCCCCCTTGGACGTCATAAGTGAACGGCCCCAAAGCTTAATGCATTCGAATCTTTCATTAATGTAGTGTAGTAACTACATGCAATATTATTTCTTTCTTTGTAAGACTATCAAATGAGGTAAATTGATGGTGATTTTTTCATTGAAATTCTTTCAATCTTTTGTTAATTACTTGACGTTAATTACTTCCTTATTTATTGTTTCTTTTAAACACATTTATTTCAGGATATTAAGACACGTCTGATCTCAAGGAAAGTTAAATTTTAAATGCTTTCAAGCCAACTTTTTATGAAGGGAAGCAAATGCGACGCAAAAGCGTGTAAGTTATTAGTTTCATGAAAAACACACTTTTTTTAATACAGCCTGAAGGACTCATTTTCAAAAATCTCAAAGGGTACCAAAATGTGTGTATTAGGAGGCCGGATTTTTCTGTACATAAACTTTTACATTTGAACATCATCCATGCCTTCAAAACGCCAAAAAACGTTTTTCTTGGGTCTACAAATTTAATGATCAGGGTCACAGCCGAACCATAAGGGTTTCCATTTGTACCATTTGATCACACAACATAAGCAATTAGGGGGATCGAAAGTCGTTTTTCGAAATTCACAAATTTTCAGTAGTTTTGAAGCTGTCAAAGTTGGAAAACTTAGGAAAAATGGTCATTTTCTTAAAATTCTTGCGGCACCAGACTTTTTTTCAAACTAGATATTATATTATGTTCATCTTATAGTCCTCAGCAAGAGCTTTACAAAAATAACCCATATGACTATATTTTGACTTTACCATGACTTGCTATAGCCTCTTGAAGATCGAAAAAATAGATTTTATATCTATATTAGCGTTCTTTATCATTTATAATACCTAGATATGTTTTAAAATGCAATTTAAAGCATTTTTGATTTCGATCATAGTAGGCTATTTTCAAAAAAATAAATATCGATTTTATATCTATATTAGCATTCTTTATCATTTATAATACCTAGATATGTTTTAAAATGCAATTTAAAGCATTTTTGGTTTCGATCATAGTAGGCTATTTTCAAATAAAAATATATCGATTTTATATCTATATTAGCATTCTTTATCATTTATAATACCTAGATATGTTTTAAAATGCAATTTAAAGCATTTTTGGTTTCGATCATAGTAGGCTATTTTCAAATAAAAATATATCGATTTTATATCTATATTAGCATTCTTTATCATTTATAATACCTAGATATGTTTTAAAATGCAATTTAAAGCATTTTTGATTTCGATCATAGTAGGCTATTTTCAAAAAAAAAATATCGATTTTATATCTATATTAGCATTCTTTATCATTTATAATACCTAGATATGTTTTAAAATGCAATTTAAAGCATTTTTGGTTTCGATCATAGTAGGCTATTTTCAAATAAAAATATATCGATTTTATATCTATATTAGCATTCTTTATCATTTATAATACCTAGATATGTTTTAAAATGCAATTTAAAGCATTTTTGGTTTCGATCATAGTAGGCTATTTTCAAATAAAAATATATCGATTTTATATCTATATTAGCATTCTTTATCATTTATAATACCTAGATATGTTTAAAAATGCAATTTAAAGCATTTTTGGTTTCGATCATAGTAGGCTATTTAAAAAAAAAATATCGATTTTACATCTATATTAGCGTTCTTTATCATTTATAATACCTAGATATGTTTAAAAATGCAATTTAAAGCATTTTTGGTTTCGATCATAGTAGGCTATTTTCAAAAAAAAAATATCGATTTTATATCTATATTAGCATTCTTTATCATTTATAATACCTAGATATGTTTTAAAATGCAATTTAAAGCATTTTTGATTTCGATCATAGTAGGTTATTTTCAAAAAAAAAAAATATCGATTTTATATCTATATTAGCATTCTTTATCATTTATAATACCTAGATATGTTTTAAAATGCAATTTAAAGCATTTTTGATTTCGATCATAGTAGGCTATTTTCAAAAAAAAAAATATCGATTTTATATCTATATTAGCATTCTTTATCATTTATAATACCTAGATATGTTTTAAATGCAATTTAAAGCATTTTTGGTTTCGATCATAGTAGGCTATTTTCAAATAAAAATATATCGATTTTATATCTATATTAGCATTCTTTATCATTTATAATACCTAGATATGTTTTAAAATGCAATTTAAAGCTGGAATTTGGATTTTGGAAATAAAACTTAAAATATCAGAAGGTTTAATTTTTTTTGAAGTTCTCGAGATAATAACATAGCTTTTGCAAATGAAAAAAAAAATTCTAAAGCTATTAGAGTTTTAATATTTAATTATATTTTCCTGACTACTTTACTTAAAATTCATTTTGAGATGTTTGTAACTTTTCAATGTCTGTGAAAGGATACTTTTGATGGGAGTCTTATATGTAGGAAGGGGAGTGCACGAGCTGTGCTCCCATCAAAAGTATCCGTTCACAGACATTGAAAGCATCTGTCAACGACTTAAAGATTTGATATTTTATTAGATTTCTCATCATAAAAAAATTTGACGAAACACATAGTACTTGAAGATAATATTCTTATTTGGCAACTTTTTTGTTATCTAGTGTAAGTCAAGCGTGGAAGTTCGTGGCTTTCTACGTAAGTCGTGTTTTTGTAGAATTTCATTCAAATAAAAAATAAATGTTATAAATTCGACTTACTTCTGGCATATCTTAATCGGATTAATTAAATTGATGAATCGTGATTTTATTGTTATTATTTAATTGGATGCAGTAAACGGCAGTAAACCTACTTCGAATCAATAAAATAGTTTTCATCATTCATCAACACATTGAATTGAAAATCTATAAAAGGAGATTAAAAGTGTCATTAACTTTACTTCTTGTGAAACAAGTCTAATAGGGAAATAGGATGGCCTTGAAAGTTGAGAATTTTCTTATCTCATTGCACCGTGACAGTTGAAAGCATGTGTAAACATTTTTGTACAATACATTCAAGGATGATATAGATTAAATGGTTAAAGCAGTTCAAAAAAAATTAAAAACAATGAAAATTCTTTTGAGGATCAGAGATGAAGATATGGTTTTTTTCCTTATATTTATGCAAATTCATCCTGGTTTAGTGCCAACAACTTTGAAAGTCATGTCAGCTGAATTACTTCGGCCACACCTTAAGCTTTAATTTAAGAAATTTTGACTCAAAAGATCATGATAATTTCATATGAAATGTGGGTGATAAAAAATATTGAATGTCCTTCTAGACCTTGCCTCAAATACTTAATTCAAGTAGTTTATTAAAGCATATCTGATTGAAATATTACAATTATATATATATATATATATATAGCACAATTATACAAAAAGTAAATTGGAGGAATGCTACTGTCGAGACAATCAAGAGATTATTGCAACAGGCAGTAACTGTAAGTTATGTGAAATAACCGAGACTAAATATATTTTAAAGCAATAATTGTTCTCTTGATTGACATATTGTATCATGAAGTAAGTAATGATGATTGAGGTTTTTAATTGTTATTTTCTTAAAATCTGGTATGATTGGGTATGATAAACAATTCTAAAGTAAAAACTTAATTCAAGGCATTGGAAAGTATCTCAGGATTAACGAGCTATCCACCTTGCAGTCATTAAAAGCCTCATTATCACAATTACAAATTAATATAATATATTATTTTATGACAAGAGTCGAAAAGATTTTTGGCAAGATACCATTTTTCAATCATATGTTTTTGATAAAGATTAGAGAGAAGGAGAACACGAAAGCATTTGAGTACAGTTGGGAGTCAAATCTTTAAAGCAGGCAAACTCTACGAGTAAATACCTAATTAAATGCAAATATTCATCAAAGTGACAATTTGTAGTAATCAAACAAGATAACATACCCTAATGACATTCATTTTCATTCGTATTTGTTCCTTTAAGTTGCTATTTAATCATTCCACTCTTTATAATGATTTACATGTAAATTCACAAGCATGGCATTTGATTCAGACACGTGACAACTTTTAACGGTTTTTAATAAATTTAAAAATTTACTTCGTCTTATTGCGGTTCCCTTGTTTATAAACACAAAATCCACATCATTCAAAAATAAATTTCTCTTTAAATCCAGTAAATTAACTTAATTAACAGACAAAAATGGATTCTATGGTTCGCTATGCATCTCCAATCAATCCAGCAGTAAGTAGATTTACAGTTTTTGTTACTTTTTTACCGGCTTTTCAAAAATCTCAATTTTTACCTATTATTTCAAAGTCAATTCCGGAGATTTTTATATGCCAGCTAGCATAAATAAACCTTTATTTTTTTTTAGATTTACCCACATTTGGCAACAGTCTTGTCACTAATCGGAATCTTACTTGCTTCGTGGTTCTTCGTGTTTGAAGTTTCACGTCCAAAAGATCAGAAAGAGAGAGTTATCTTCAAGGAACTAAGTGTATCACTAATTTCCTCAATTTTCCTTGGATTTGGTATTTTATTCATCTTTTTATCAGCTGGAATATATGTCTAAAGCATAAGCTTATAGTAATTGTCTATTAATCTTTAAGGCGTGCATGAATAAAGGATTCCATCATTTTGTTACTAAACCAAATGATCTGTTTATTCTCTCTATATTGTACAAACATAGTTTAATTAACTTTATTGATTTAGCTTAAACTTCTTTTCTAAACGGTTTGCATCGATTCTGTTTAAATGGAATAAGATTTTTTCTTGGATTCTTTCAGCTGCTGCCTTTGTAAAAACGACTGTATCATGTTTGAGCATTGAGTAGACATTTAGTCCATAAACAGGCATTAAGTTGACATAATTAATGCTATCTGTTGCAATCGAAATGTTTTGTGGCATAATGTCGTTACTGTAAGATTTAAAATTAAGATTAAGTATGAGCAAATCAATAAGGAGGAAGTTCACATACTCGTCAACAATCAATACAGAAGGTCCCCAATTCCTCTTCTCGACCAAATTCTTAATGAACTGACTGTCGTCAGTTGGGATCTCTAAATCATTCACAAAATGAAGATCGTCTTGTGCTAATTTGATCGAAAGTGTTGATGTTAATCCACGAAGTCTAGTCCAAAATGGAAGCATATAAAAATGGACAGTCGGTGATCTTGGGCCATGACATCTTCCTCCATTCTTAAATATTGGAGATCTAATAGATCCATGACGTGCTCTTCCTGTACCCTTTTGTGGCCATGGCTTTCGTCCTTAAAAAAATTGATTGAATAGCTATTTTGGAACTTCTGCTATAGGATATTAAGACATACCTCCTCCTCTTTTTTCAGCTCTAGTTTTTGTGTGAGCAAAACTCACAAATTTATACAGTCGTTGCCAATGAACATTTCTCTGGACAATATCTATTCTCGGGGTATCAGCAAATACTTCTGGATGTAATGCCATCAATCCTAAACGCTGTGTTTCTTCTGTTTCCAAATTTTCCAACCATACTTCTCTCGGTTCTGTTACTAATGGCGATTTATACCTTTCTAATGCATTACTTAAACTACTCGACTGTGTTACTATTGATGCTGTTGGTGCTGTCACAAATAATCTAGTGCTAGGTATTTTTATAAACGAATTAATAATATTTTTTAACATTTTTCCTTCGTTGTGAAACTGCTGTTCTACGTATTTTTACGTAAGTTTTTTACGTATTATTGACATTTAAATTTCTCAAAAACTGTCATTATTGAATTTGATTAATTGGACACTTCTAAGCTTAATTATGGTTTACTATCTACTTAAAAAGGTTAATTGTACAAAAAAGCTATAGATAATTATGAAAAAGTATAAGTTTGCGAGAAAAAATTATTCATAGTTAACGGATTTTAATATTTGAAACGAGCTCAGTGTCGTCAAACTTTAGTTGAGAAATGATTTTTTAACGTAGTGAATTGCTCTTTAAATAATTTGTGATTTTATTGTATTTTAAGTCGTGTAAGAGAGTTTATTTGTGCACCAGAAGACATTTAAGATACTTGTGAATTAGGAAAATATCGAGTTTATTGTGAAAATAAGTTCTTTCATAAAGAAAATTCAAAAATATTTTTTTTTTGTGTAACAAAGCATTTGATAAAAGAAATAAAATATAAAATAAGGAAGGAATCATACAGAAAATGGGCAAACTATTATCGTTGCTTGCAAGAGAAAATAACAGTGATTGTTGTGGACCAAAATCAAGTTATGATATTTTTCTTGATTTTGAGAATGCACAGCCAACGAGTGAAGAATTAGTTGTCTATAAAGAAGTGAACGAAGTTCTCAAAAAATCAGATAGAATATTGGAAGAAATACAATGCTATAAGGTAAATCATACAGCTCACTAATGCAAAAATATATCAATTAATTCTTGGTAAAACCACACATGAAAAGCTTTAATCAATGAATTCAAAGGTCAACGAACATCCATAAAATTTAACTACATACCAATTAATAACGATGTGCGAACAATTTAATGGGAAATGAATATAAAAAAAGGGTTGCAAATAACTATAGCTTAAAAGAATGCATTGGCTTAGGGAGCATAATCATTTGTCATGTAAAGCTATTTTTTTTTGTTCATTCAGCAATTTCTCTCTCTTTAATTTTTGTGATGGGCAATGCTTGCTCATTTGTCTCTCATCCGGTATGACTCAGAGTTGATTAATGTATGTAAGGCATATTCAGAAGTGCGAAAATCAACTCCTGAATTATGTTGGTAATTGCAAAACTGAAAACAAGTTTCGAAAACTGCAAGTGCATAGTTCTTTTAATGCTTACAGCTTATTTCTTTTATTTTATTGTGTAATTCTAACACTTGTTTTTAACTACATTTACTAGTATATTTACCATAAAAAAGTGAAAATTTCACACAATGCACACATCTATTTTCTATTACGATTAAGTTTCAAGGACATTTTTGGCATTTTCATTTTACTTCAATGAAGAACAATGTGTGTCAGTGCAAACACAGCACGAAAGATGAAAAATCTTTTCTATTTTGTATTGGTGAAATTTCATTAGTACGAAGCATGTACATACATCTTAGTAAAATCAGCAGTAGGACTAGCCATTGTGTAAATATTTGTATAGCAGGTATATTTGTATATCCTCTCGTTACTTGTTCTTACAACTATGTTTTTTGTCTGAGCTGTTCTTTTATGTTACATTGATGATTATTCAGCCTTCCTAGAAAAACATTCGCACACACAAAAAAAAAATGATTTGAGGAATACGCATAAAAATTTTAATAATTTACTGCCGAAATGAAAAATATAAAAACTAAGGCAGAAATGAAATTTATTAATATCGTGTAGCGGAAGTAGCATTTTCTGTGACTGTGACTATACATTCTATTTAAACACGACACACAAGAGGTGGAATGTATTTTAATTTATGATATAAACAAGACACATTGTAGTACCAAAATGATAATAAAAAGGTGAGGGAAGTACGTCTCATCTGTTGCTGCGTTTATTCATTTCATTGTGCTCTTGAATCTCATATTTATGCTTACAATGTAGCACAGTCATGTTATTGGTCCAATAATAATGAAATTCTCATGTTTACAATTATTGCTAATTGAAATAATAAAAGGCATCACTCGCACGTAATTAGTCAGTTTAGCACAGAAAAAGAACATTACGTCAAATTGCTCATTAATCTGAAAATCAATAGGTCCTACCTCTATCTAACGTACATAAAAACCTTTTATCTTATCATTTTTCCACTTTATTAGATAAAAAATCGAGTTTGTATTGACAGGAGGGAAACAACAAAATTAGTAAAGATGCGGTCACTAGTTGGCAATAAAAGCGCATATTATGAAAGAGTCTTTTTGGGTAGTTCTCATTAAGTGTAGCAGCTAGGTCATGATTAGACAAACTGACAATATTGAATTTCAATTCCATACCATGTAGTTAAAGACTAGGTAATTTATTTACGCAAGTGAGCAATTTACGTGTCGCGCCGATTTCCAGCCTTTTAGATAACTTCCAAACATCAATCTCAATGTGAATAAATTCATATCAAAAATGTGTCTTTTCATCCTGATCATTGCCGCAAAATGTCAATTATGCAGATACACACAAAAAGCAGCAAAAATATTCAATTGGATTGAATAAATTGCGTCACTCATAAACAAGTATGCGATATATTCAATAATAAAGAATGATAATTTGTATGTTATGCAGCCTTTTGCTTTTGCTTTTGATGATAAGGAGGCATGAGTTCTGTATTCACACAAAAGAGATTCCTCTTATCGATATAAAAACAAATTACGGTTTATTTGTTTGTTTTGTGTAGGGACGGAGATGAAAGCTAGCTAGCATTTATAGTAGTAGGATATCGATATTGATATCGTTTGTTTTTATTAATAGCAAACCATAATTTTCATTATTTCTTACACAGAATAAAAAGAATCTATTTACATTTTAGCGCATGAACTGAATAATTAAAATGCTACGAAAAAATAATAAACATTTTAAAAAAAATCTTCTTTCTTGTGGTTTTTCGATGGAATATAGCGATTGTTGTCATAGCTGTTTCTAGCATTAAAAGGCATGCTTTTAAGTTCCAATTGTCGACAATATTTTTCCTATTAAAACAACCACCAATTCATGCCATAAAAAAGGTCTCTAAAGGGATATTAATAGTCACAATAATAACGCCATACTGCTCTGCATTTAGTTCCTTGAAAAGTTGCAATTTTCTCCATTTTTCATGCTATGCAGCGCTGAATGAACAGCAGCAACAACTGGGTCATTGAAAGGATACAAATGAAGCTCGTAAACTTGAAAAAATCAGTCCACTATGCTCTTATTGATTTTCCTTACTACTATTGCACATTTTTTTTTTATTTCCCAGCTTGTGTCTATTTCATTCTCACACCCTGCTTCTGTCATTTCTCATTACATTTTCATTGACACAAAGAGATTTGTCATGAAAATTAATCATAATTTTCAGATTATAGTGTAAGAATCATCTGTCTGACTTTGCTTTTTTGATTTAGAATTTCAGTGTCTATCACTTGATTTAAAGAGTTTTGGGATAAGCTTTGAAGTCGGATTTAATTTAAATCTAGAGATTAATTTGTAGGATTAAAATAAATCTCAGTTTAAATAAATTTTTTGAAATACAAGGATGATTGAACAGTTTATGGATTTCTGAGTTATTAGCTTAATAAATTTAACGAAATTTTCTTATTTCCAAATGCGATTTCCTGACAGTATTGATTTTTCAATCACTTTTAATTTTGAGGAAGATGAAAGCAGGCGAGACGAGGAAATGAAGATGCTTTTAAAATAAATGGAGTAATGTTGTTACTACTGCCGATGCTGTTTACACGTTTTTTTCTTTCTTTTCTCACATTTTTTAAACAGATAAAATCATTTTTTTTTCGCATGCCTCAAGTTTACGGTGCCTCTAAGCTATAAAATTTGTGTATATTCTTCAATGAAGAAATCATCATCATTTATGATTACCGTTTCGCATGATATGAACAAAATTGTACCATCGCTGATTTGAAGCTATGCGAATGCATAAACAAGCAAATTACAATTATCTCAATTTGCTTCTCGGACTCGCGGTGTACTTTTTGTGCAAATGAGTGAGCAATAAACTGAATAATGAAATAGAAACAATTTATTTTCCGTGTTACTGACCGTGCGAATTGATATGTGTTAAAGAAGTACAATTTATTTACAAGATTAAGATGTTTTAATTATGAAGCGTTTGGAATTAATGGATGAATTACGCATCAGCATTTTTGCTGCTGCTGTTGGAATGATGTAGAGCATTTTTATTCAAATTATGGGATTTTTCACGTTTATTAAAGTGCTGGCTTGTGAATCAGACACATGAATGGTCAAAAGATTCCTCTGAACAGTTTAATAATAATCTGTAATTTTAGATCAGAAGTGGGAAGCCTCACAAAATTGGATTTTGATGGGTTCTGTCCATACAACAAAGCTTTATTGTTCTCGCTTAGATCAATTTCTGTGAATTCATTACTATTCAAGCTTTAATATTTCAATATCTTAGTCCACACTCCGTAGTTGACATACAATAATAATTTCATAAAGCTTGATCTCGAAATCATTTTAAAACTCATGCTGGTGACAATTGATGTGAGCAATATTCAATATGGATATGATGCATGCATCCTTTATTCAACTCATTCACAATTCAAAGGAGATAAGGCATGAATGATCTAGGATGACAATTTGTTCATTCAGATTTCATTCATATTAATGAAGATAAAGCGTCATGCAGGATGAGAATTTACTTAGCAGTTTCCAATATCATCGCAAAATTTAAATTTTAATTCTCGACAGTTGTTTGTTTTTGTTCAATATTTTAATTTGCTAATAATTAAATAATAATAATAATATCACTTGCTGTTGATGATAACTGATACCATAATATTTATCAACTTTTATTTAATACCCGAGTAAAGCTTGATACTATAATTAGAATATGATTAATCATACACAATTTAGAAGAATTTACTGAAAATTTTTGCTCGTCATAAACTTTATAACAAGACATGGTGCAGAATATTCGGCGCTAAATCAATTTTCTTTGCTGCTGTAGCGGTTTTTAAAAATTCAAAATTTGACTGATTTTTAAAATTTAAATGAACTGAAACGAAATGAAGTTTAACTACTGAACAAATCTTTAAATTTAAAAACAAGTTTAACGGTTTTCTAGCATTTTTAATTTAGATTTTACTTCTTTGATAAGCGAATAAATTCATTATACTGAGTTTCATGAACTTGAAACATTCAAAAAGTCACAAATTTGAGATTCAACAGAAAAAAAAGACTTGAGAAAATTGATTTACAAGCACTGTAACAGAAATAAATACACGACAGCACTCTAGGAGATAGAATTTATTGTTGCTGCATATGTGCAAATTGCGGAGACGGGAAAATTCCTAAAATATTTTCCCAGATTTTCTTCTTTGTTTATTTTATGTCTATCCATTTGTGGATGGCTTGTGTTTTTTTTTTTTTTTTTGTATCAAATTTTCAACTTTTTGCATTCCTTTGAGTCTTGCTATGCAAATAATGGAGCGACATAAGATGTTCGAACTATAAAAAGAAATTGTGTTTTCTTTAAAAAAAAAGACTAAGAACCTTTCACCCAACATCACACATTGCTTGCCTGCAACTGAATAAATATCACAGATCTGAGAAATTTCTCATATTTATTTATTTGCTCAATTTCAATTCATTTAACACATTTTTTATTAACCGTCATTCATTTGCATAATTTACTTTTAAATGTGTAAGAAGAATAAATTAAATTATTCAAACATAAATTATCGCTGATCTACATACGTACTGAGCAATTTTCGAATATATACTTTAATTTCACTTTTTCAGTCTGTTCTGCTTTGGCAATTCATTCGCAAACTTTTACTCCTTTTATTGAAATGATTTTCATGCTCCTTTGGGCTTTCAATATGTTCTGTTTTAGTACACCTGTAGAATATACTTGGCACACGTGAATTGTAAAGAAAGCAACAAGCTTTATTGATGAAAAGTGATATCTTGTACATAAATTTTCAATGTAAATGTAAATGATCCATCAGAGACTCTTATTTTTGGCATGATGATGAAGGAAATCGTAAATCATTCATTTTTTTTTGTGTACAAAATGTGATTCACGTGTCATTAAATCTTATCTGAGTGGAATGTATTCTAATAAATATTAAGATGAGCTCATGATGAGCTCTTGCTGATTGCAGACATTAATGAATTAAAATTGAAATTTTTATGGAAAAAATTTGAATTTTAACGACTTTATAGAATTCAAATGAACTGAAATGGCATGAAATTGAATTACTAAACGAAAAAAAATTCAAATTTAAGTTTAACGACTTTTTAAACTCTTGTGGTTTATACTTTGATTATCTAATTCATGCATAAGTGAACAATTTCATAACAAAAATGAGTAAGAGAAATGCTGATAAATAAATTATTAACATTGTTTCATGCACATGACTTAACTTAAGGTCAATTTGTTTTACATTAATTTTTATCAAAAATAATAAAACGCCTATTGTTGATAATGCAAGCTTAAATGTGAATGAATTTGTTTGATTAAAACGACTGATGTATCTTATGCGATGTTTATGTTTATTTCTATTTATAATAAAAGTAATAGAAGAGCCTTATGAATTGCAAATAAGTTAATAGAAAAACGATAGAATTCACCGGAAGTGTGTTAAAACGTTTATAAAAATTTAATCCGACTATTATGTTCATTTTTTTATGTTCTATTCAAAGAAACTTTTTTTACTACTATTTTCTAAACTTGAGAACTCTATTATTAATAGTACAAACAAATTATTACAGTAATAATGCTCATTGTTGGCTATATTGTATTAATCATAGAAGACCGAGAATGGAAAATGAGCGAGAACTTATGGGTTCTATACTGTCGTGACGTGTTAGCCGCTTTTATTGTTTCTAAAGTATATAATATGAGTATATACATAAACTCTATTTGTTATCCTGTCCAAATGTTTCATATTGTCGGAATTACAAAGAAAAATATCGCGTTTCACTGAAATTCGCTGAATTTTTGCTTCATCGTCGTTGAAAGCAAACAAAAAAGTGCAGTGTTCTAATTTGCAGTACAATGGCTCGATGACAGGTCATTTTAGTCTAGAAATTTGAGAAGCTAAGACATTCTTAAAGGAGGACAACGACTTGTTTTGAAACTTCAGTGACTCTAATTTTTTTATGATAAATTGCGATGATTTTTCTTTACGCCCCTCTTAGCAGCAGTAGATTAGGTTGCATCACTGATTTTTCTCACACACACACACACACACACACAAGTTTTCGTCTTCATCATGCTGCAATTTTTCACCCAATAATTTTCTAGGGAAAACCACAAATAGATTTTTCCGTCCCGAGTTATTCAGTGAGACATCTTTTCCGTGTCATACTAAATTACAAAATTTGAAGAGCATGACAAGTGTATTAAGCATAGAAAGAAAATTTTATTTTATTTTTCCGATGCTCTTTAAATAATTCACATGCTCCATGTCATAGATATTCGAGAAACGAGAACAGATGAAAAATTGCTGTACAGGCAATTCCTCATTCTACTAATTGATGATGAACGATCTGATAATCTAATGAACGAACAACAAAACAAGAGAGAAGAAATTCTAAGCTAGAATTGGTCTATTAAGTCATTTATTACGGAATAATTTTTATAAGCATAATAAAAAAGAAAGCAACTAAGTTGATGAAAGGAATTGGTGGAATTTATGGAATTATTGACACTAGAATTTGAACTTTCTCAAGTTTAGACGATGAATTTTTATTAATCGTAGATTTAAGACTAATCTAGGTTTAAATCGTAGGATTAAGATTAGTAATAAATCCATCGGATTAATATTAATCCTAGTTAAATCATAAACTCAATTATAACTACACAACATTAAGACACACAAACAAATGACAAGAATTATAAGAGTTCCGATTAAACATCCAACACAGCGCCATCATAACATAAGTGATTCTCACATCTCGATATAATGGAAAGATTCTTAAACATTTAACCTTCATGTCATTCATTCTGGTCATTATTTCATCGTGACGAAAGAAATTTTGCTAAAATGTAATTTATTATGGACACACAACCACAATATTTTTAATATCGAAAAAAATTTCCATTAAATCACTTCCAATTTATTTTTGTGCCATCGAGACATGGGATTGGCTTAATAACATAAACATTTATGGAATGATTTTATTTATTGAATGAAAATGTTGTGGGAGATGCTTGATTCGTCCAGTCGTGTATATAATTTTTACGGTACATATAGCAACCAAATAATATTAAAGTCGTTGGCATATGACATTGTTGGAATGAACTAGACATAAAATATTCATTGAATTCTTTTTCGATTCTACTATTTGACCTTGTAACATAAAAATGCTCATTTTTGGATAATCAATTTTAATGATTTTCGATCAATTTTTAGGGTGCTGGACGAGAAATACGCGAAGCGATATCAGATCCATCGCCAGATGCACAGCAGAGAGCATGGAGTGTAATTTTGCCCTTGGTTGAGAGTTTAAAGAACTGCTATGAGCATTCACTCGAGTTGGAAAGGATTGTGCCGAAATTGTTGGGTCAACTTGTGGGTGGACGATTAAATCCCACTCAGCATTTAGAGACACAACAAGCTCTGGTTAAGCAATTGGCTGAGATTTTGGAGTTTGTGCTGAAATTTGATGAATATAAAGTAAGTAAACATTAATTGAAATTGATTATTAAGCGAGAGTTTTGGACGTCATATGTGACTGTTTGCTGTTTATATTCGTTAATGAATTTTCTTTAATGCATCCCTTGTAGATGAAAACACCTGCCATACAGAACGACTTCAGTTATTATCGACGTACAGTGAGTCGTCGTGGAATGGACTTTAGCACTGATCAAACAATAAGCACCGAGTTAGCAAATAGAATGAGTCTCTTCTACGCGCATCCGACACCTCTCCTTAAAGTATTGAGTGAAGCAACGTCTAAATTTGTCCATGATAATGCAAATGATGTTGAAAATACAACAGAAACGATTGGTACAATGGCAAAAGTGTGTCTAAGGATGCTCGAAAAGGAAAAACTACTTTCACAAATTGAACGTGAAGAGACACAATTGCTTGTATTGAGAGTTATGGTAGGATTAGTTATTTTATACGATCACGTTCATCCGGATGGAGTATTTGTAAGAAGTTCACATGTTGACGTTAAAGGATGTGTGAAATTACTTCAAGCACAGCCAGCGATTAAGGCAGAGCCTTTATTAAATGCTCTTAGATATACAACAAAGCATTTGAACGAGGAGAATACACCGAAAAACATTAAAAATCTATTAGCTGCATAATATCTACCGAAATCACAGTCTCTCCTTAAATCTAACGCTTGTTTTACAATTTTGAAAATTCTATTTCTAGGATTTTTGGTGATTCTTTTTGTGGCGTTTCATCAACTGAGCGCTATTATGGGATGGATCTAGGATATCCACATACAAATACAGTAGTCTAATGTTAGGAATAATAATTCTTTAATAATGCGACAAATTTCTTCTTGACAGTATGATTAATAAATGTTTTATTTTATGAGATTATTCATTTTTTTTTTCGTTATAAGGTCCATACTACACATTATTTTTATAGTTCTCTCCTTTTAAGTATTATTGTCATTATTTTTGTGATTTTTTTTTCTTCAACTATTTTCTGGATTTTAGAATCGCAAGCATGTCACTCGAGGGCATTTCAATTCTTTTGATGTGTCTAGATGAGATAAATGCACAGTGCTATGAGATTCAAGTCCAGACATGATTCGTAATATTGCCGTTCACGTATAAAATAAATAGATAAAGAATAATAATAAACCAAGATATGTGTTCCTCGTTCAAAATGTAATTTCCTGAGTTCAATAGCTGACCAAAAAATAAATGAAACTTCACTTAAACTCAATCAGCACATATAAGAATATTTTTTACAAAAGCGTATATTTATGAAAAATAATATCTCTTTTAGATATCGTAAATTTGTGCAAATCAAAGCTTTTAATATTGAAGAAAGTGTTAGATGTTAATCGCCACATTCAATAAAAAAAAATCCATTTTAGATCAAAATTTAAAATTTAATCAAAAGTTATCGAAAATTTATTGATTTCAATTGAAAATTTATAGCCAAATTTTTGTGAGAAATAAGGAAAAAAAATTGTTATTTTATTAAGAAAAATTGTGAGATTAAAGAAATTTACACACAAAATTGGAAGCAGACGATGTGCGATCAGTTTTTTTGTCAATTTGTTAAATAATTCATATTCTTGAAGTGAGAAATTTATATTCAATCAATGTTAAAACAAATTTAGAGAAAATTTTTGAGCCACATTTTTGGTGAATATGAATTTTTTGTCCACTATTCATTGATATACACATACATAGACCTAATCTAATGCAAAATAATTGATTAATTAAGGCAAATTGGCTTCAAAAACTTTTTAACGGCTAAAATTTTTCAAAAAATATAATTAATCGTTCAGTAGTTCAATAATGTTCATTTCAGTTCAGTCCAAAATTTTTAAAACTGATTACAACCGTTGAAATTTCAAACTTACTTTTTGAAGCAAGCTTTTCCTGAATAAATGGCTTTTTCACAGTAATAGCTGCAAATAATAATCACCATGTGATGATGAACTTATAGTTGGGCATGCAAAACTGAATTAAAAACCGGCATAAAAACTAGCTTGTAAATAAAACTTTCGCACAATAAGTTAATTAAAAATGTATCCAATGGAATAAAAACTTTTGAAAGGAAGTACGATCGGCGAATTGTGACATACCGTTAACAATAATTTTTATGAGAACAAGGAAATTTTTTTATAAAAAGTAACAATTACAACATAATAATATTTTTATCCTGTAACTTAAGAATTTCAGAACAAAAGAATGTCACGTGACTTTCTGCATGATCTTGTATCCTTTATGTAAATATTTAACTGAGCATAAATTAAATAACACAACCAAAAAGAAAGTGGAAATAAAAAATTATTATTAATTCCAAAACTAGATTTAAATCGTGTTTATTTGTCCTATTACCAAATAATTCGTTGTGGCTCGTCAAAATCTGGCCATTTGATTTGAATGGTATGGAATATTTTTATGGTCACATAATTCAAAAATACATTAATTAAAAATTCAATAAATGTCCATTTTTTAACGACATCCTTTCTAAATAGTCTAAGAATGACAAATGGAATCAAAAAGTATCTTACTTCTACAAGTCCTTGAAGGCAGAATGTCAAAAGAGTCGAAATTATGTAGAATAGCTTAAATCCAATCGATCCGTGTAATGATTTACAGATCACGTACATGCCGAAAATATAAACAGGAATTAATAAATATCGCATGTACTCATTTCGACCATACAAACGATTCCAAACATAAAAAGTATAATGACGATTATCAGCTAGCAAGTATGGATGAACAATTGTGTTGTACCGAATTATTAAAGCCATTAAAATTGCTATTGATATTATGGATATGACAAATCGCTTGTTGCGAATTTGTTTGATGAATGACCAGATATTATGAAACCATAATGAGAAGCCAAAGATTAGAGTAAAGAGTGAGAAGTAAAGAGCTTGTGAAAGATGAAGTGTCGCTGGATGCGCTGTCTTGTCACCAACTAAAATTAGATATAATGTAAGTAAATTGTATGGAGCATAGAAGAGACTTTCACTTACCGACTAAAGATCCATTCTTTACAAGGAAAATGAGGAACTTAATGATGACTAGAATATATCCATAATACTTTTTGATAGTCTGTCCAATTAATTTAAAAAGCATTCTAGGTTGCTTCAAATGAGTCTTGATGGAAAATAGAAGTTGTGAGAATGTTGATTCCTCAAGCTTTATTTTTGGATAGATTTCCTTCATCATATCGTTGATGACACTCGTTCCAAATATTCCAGCTACCCAAACTATATTCGTCTGCCTCATTAGAAAACTAAAGAGTCCAAAAATTGAGGATAGCTGATACTTTTCTTTTAATGCAAAGTAGAAAGTCAATAGGATTGAAGTCATTGATGGAACATCCGTATAATAGACAAACGAGAAAAAATACAGTGGTGGAAGAGTAGCTATTGACATCGTGTCAATCAATACTTTGAGCCTTCCTCTATCATTTTTATCATCAATCAGCATTAATCGAATGCCATAAATCAGGTAGAAATTGATGACTGAACATACTAATGGAATCATCCGTAAATTGTATAATGAACATCTTGGAGTAAGTAAAGTCAAAAGATATAGCCCTGGAAGTGTTGTAATTTTTGGGTTCCACTAAAACAGTTGTGTAAACATTGACTATTGCCAGCTCAACAAATTAGTTCCAAGCACTTACCTCTTGAAAAAATCCATAACAATAATTTAAGCCTTGTTCAACATGAAAAAGCTCGTCAATCACTGATTTTGATACGTCATAAATGCCATTAAGGATTACTACTGATATGATTGTATAAATAAGTAGTATTCTATATTTAAACCACGATCTTTCCATTTTAATTGGATCTATTACTCGATCTTAAAACTTGTTTATATTAAGCTGCAGTCACATAAAATTAACAACCGGTTTGAAAATGCTTTTGTTTTGCTTACACGAAGTCTGTCTGTCAATTTGAATGACGTTGGAACTATTTTTTGTTGCAAATTTTATTTTAATTAATTATGGGCATTGAAGAGCGTGTTATTGCCAAATTAAATGCAGAGCTAGCAGGTAAAGTTGAGAGTTTACCAAGAAGCAAGGAATTAGTCAATAAATATGTGGATCAGCTAAACAATATTGAAAAGAAGGTAAAAGAATAAATATTAAAAAAATATAAAAGTATAATTAATTCATCATTCATGATTACTAGCTCAATATTGATGAGGAAAGCGACGAATCAGAAAACTTTCGAATAGTCCTGACGGAATCACAGAATGCACTAGATACAATAGACGAGAAGCTTGATAAAATCAAGAATTATGAAGAGAAAATTGAAAAACATCTGAAAAAGTTCAGAAAAGTTGAGGAAGAGATTCATAGTCATTTAGAGAAAATAACAGATTTAGAGCGTCTTGTTGAGTATTTTCGGATTGTACAAGATATACAGGATATAAGTCACGAGCTGTCAAAATGTATAAACTCAAAAGATGATCAAAAAACAGTTAATTTATTTTTATCACTATCTGGATCGCCAGAATCTTCAGACAGTGTAATTGGACGTTTGCAGGATGTTGATGCACCAAACTTGAAGTTTTATTCAAGACAAATAGCAATTCATTGGCATGATGTAATCAAGAAGAAATTATCAAGTGAATTTGAATCAATTCTTAAAAGCATTAAATGGCCAAATTTAGGTCACTTGGTAGATTCATTCAATCCAACAAAGGAAGCTATTTTTAAGCTTTCAACTCTTGCTGAATATTTATTCCTTGTTCAATTGCCTGGCTATGATAGATTTATGTACGTAAAATTATCTCCATCAATTGTATGTCCTCCGATTCCAGCACCCATTGAACTTTTAATCAAGCCATTCCGAATTCGTTTTGAGTATCATTTTATGAGCAATCGTCAAACTAATCGTCCAGACAAGCCAGAATATTTCTTCACACAAATTCTTAATTGGGCTAAAGATAATCATCATTTCGTTGGGGAAATTTTTCAAGCACCAGCAACACGAGCATGTGCAACTGATAATGTGAGGCTTGAATTTGTTCGTGGCTTAGTGCAGCTCACAATTGAGAAATTAATTAATGATATAGAGGAAATAAGCTTAGATGAACAGCTTTTTGCTCATTTAATTGATGAAATTTTATCATTTGAACAAGATTTAAAGACGATGCTTCTTTATCCAAATAATATTCCAAGTGCTGTCAATGTCCTGACACAACCTGTATTTTTTATTAAATGGCTAGCATTAGAAGAGAAATTTACATCCGAAAAAATGGACATAATATTCTGTGACGAGAATAATCCATGGTCTATGCTTGATACTTTTGGCCCATCTCACATCATTTCACCATTAACAGCTATGCCGATTACTGTTGAACAGGAACTAGAATTAGAGGAACTGAAAATACCAAAATGTGCTGATCAATTCGTTCGATTATTAGAAGCTATGAAGGAACGATATTGCATTTTACCACAGCCATGTCATCAGCTACAATTCTTAAAACTCCAAATAGATCTTATTGATAGCTTCCGAAGACGATTAGTGCAACTTCATAATACTGGATATGTCAGCACACTCAATGTATTAAATGCGATATTTTATGTGACAGCGGTTCTTAGAGAATGGGGAGAAAATGTTCATTACTTGCATTTACATGCTGCACTTTTAGGTCCGAATGCTGATGAAATATCTTCAGTTTTTGATAAAATTATTAGTGAATTGGATCATTGGGAGAATAAGTTGATTAAGCAGTTATCATCAAGATTTGTGGACGATATAAAATGCAAGACAATGACATATCGACATGATTTATGGGTTTCAATGCCGAAACAGAATCCAAGTGAACCATTCATCATATCACAAAGTGCTGGTGAAATATTTCAAGTCACAATTGCTGTTTTACATGATTTGGAGTCTGCATTATCTACAAGAATATTTAGTTCAACATTAAGACGAATAGCAAAGAAACTTGATGATTACTTTATCGACAGTATGATTATGAACACGAAATTCTCAGAAGGAGGTTCCAATCAATTTAAGTTTGACATTACAAGGAATTTGATTCCATTATTTGGACAATATAGTAAACGGCCTGGGTATTTATTTAAAAATTTATCTGATGCTTGTACTCTTCTATCGCTTCCTTTTGGAACTGCTTTATTGCTTCATCAAACGTTAAAGGCTGGAAATAAAACAACCAGCTCGGAAGAGCTTCAAAAGATGAAAGATGCCTTAAAGGAAGTCGGAATTATTTCTTTACCAATCACGCTGGCTGTTGATGTGCTGGAAAGGCGGACTGATATATGCCTTTAAATTTGATACTTTGCCTATTAAGTTGTGTCAAAAATAAACGTTAATTTTGGCAAATTTAAATAATTTCTTTTATTTACAAAGACTATCAGCTAGTTCAATAAATTAGGTTTTTGATTATTTACAGATAGGCAATAATTAATTTAAGCATCAAAATATGGTCATCGTTAATTTTAACGATCGTTTTTCAAATTTTTTACATAGTTTTCAAATAATTTTTGATCGTTATTTTTTGAATAATTCTTAACCGTTAATCTTGACAAGGATAATAATTTACATTTTTTGACCAGACTGTTTCTCTATCGTCATTGAGGTCATCGTTGAGCTTTTAAAAAGACTCTTCGGACATTTCTTAATATATCCAAGACACTCGTTTATTTCTTTTCCTGTTTTCTCAGCTTCCACGTATTCCTCAAGATGCTCAGAATAAGGAGAAAGTGATGCTCTGCGAATAGATTTAATTTATTAATTGATAGCTTGATTTATTCATTGAGTCAGTCACTTACGTAAAAAATAGCTTTATAAATTCCCCAAACAACCCGAATCGATTCACTGACCGGAATGTATGTATCTCACAAATCCTGTATTATCAATCAAATATTAGAAACTATACGCAACTTAATAAGCACAAATAATAATCAACTTACGTTCTCAAAACACAAGCTCGTCCGTCAAGTCCAAAATTACTTAGAAAATCTTCCACTACTGAGTATAAAATAGCTCGTTCACCTCCATGAAATGCATGCTCGAATGGCAATTTTGGAGGTTCTATGTCATTTGAAACATCACGCTTCCGCCTGTGCTTTAAATATTTGTAGACATAATCGGCAAGTACTTCACCAGCTGTTGTACTCATACCCCGACTCATGCTACGTGCTAATAATGGACCTAAAGTTCCCAAAGGATTTTGATTGTCTGTTAATCCAAGCTTGTCGAAATCAATTGTTAAAGGAACTGATATTGAGATATTCGAGTGGAATCCATCTGGTGGATATCTAATTAATGGCATGGATAGTGTTGGTGCTAAGATTAGTGTTGTTCCTGGTGGCAATGCTGGATTTAAAATGGATTAGATTTAAATTTTGAGATTCAAATTTCAATAATCAAGCCTTACCTAATCGCCCATCGTCAGTAACCCAAATCAGCCTCTTTTGTCTGGAATGTGGCTTTTCAGAGTCTTCATGACTCGTTTCAGTTGCAATAATGTCCACGAAAAATAGGAAGCATGTGAGAAAGTAATAACTTCTTGACATCATTTTTACATTCATTGTCGTTGAACTTGAAAGTAATTCAAAGGAGAATCGAAAATTAATTTTAGGTATCAATCATCTTGTTACTTTATTAAATGGAACTGGTTTCAATTGATTTAATTCAATCACGTCCTGAATTCCGGATACTTTCTTCACAATTCTTAATACTTAAATGTGTAATTTCATTTACAGCCTGCAGTTATTAAGTTGTTAATGAAAAACAATTTTTTTTGGGAACGCGAGAAAACTTTATGGACCGATTTCTGATTGATAATTAAGAGTAATGCCACACAACCTGAATTGAAAAACAATTATCGTCAATAACATTACACGTGATGGATGTACGTAGATGCACAGTAATTAATGAAGATGTGTTTATTGTCTTCATGATAAGACAGTCCATGTTAGGACATTTTTATTTCCGCAAACCCAAATTAAACTCAAAGAATTCTCGTCATGCTTGATAGTGAAAGCCAATCATCTGGTTTAATGACTTATGGGAGCTAATAAAATGAGATGCATTAGATCATAAAATTCTGGTTTAAAGAGTTTTTTCTTCTTAGAAATCGAGAGTCATCTTCACTGCATGCCACATTGGTAATCATTTGGTAAATAGGATTTATAACTAATTACAATCATCAGTATTGCGCACAAATTGTACACATGTCGCCGTTAAAGTATGCCAAAAGTAAAAATGACCGAATTAAAATATCACGCTGACATTACACACCTGTTTTTTTTAATAGGAACTAAAGTATGCAGATGAGATGTGATTAAAATCATCCTTGACCTAACACAAGTCTTGATACTTTTTCATTCATAAGAAATGAGTCATTCAAGTTGTTAATTAACAGTTATTTTGAATTCAAAATTTCAAAAACTGAACTGAATCGAGTTGAATTTTGAACTACTGAACGAACTTATTAGAAAATTCAAAAAATCGTCGACACAGAGATTAATTAAATTAACTTTAAAACAATGGGAAACGGCATCATTTTAGCACTAAAACCTAAAGTAATCCCAAGTCCGAGCCAGGAATCACAATTTAATCCATTATTTGGCTTTGAAAACGGACGAAAACAAAGAGAAATGATAGCAAGTGAAGAAGAAATGATTTCTGCTAAGTTACCTCATGAGAATCGAGATTACTGTGCTCATCTAGCACTTAAATTGATGCAATGTAGGAAGGAAGTATGGCCGTGGTCTTGGAAATGTGCTCCTGAGAAGCACGAATATTTGAGCTGTGAATATGAAGACTGGATCTTAAGGATGAAAGAGTATGAACGAGAACGACGATTGATGGAACGTCGTGAAAGAATAAGGAAGCGAAAAGAGAAGCAAGGTGCTATATAAATAGTAGTTTTTGGATGTAACGAATTGGAAGTATTGAATAAAAATCTTTTAAGTGAATAGTGTCGATTTAAACCAATTTGGCGACATTACTTTCTTTATATTCAGCTATTCGTTTGGAATATAAATTAAGTAATTCATCACTGTAATAATTTCAATCAATTCCGTCGTGAAACTTATTGGTATTCAAAGGATATTCCATATTATAATTAATTGAAATAGAAATTGCATAAAAAATTATTAGTTTTTTGGATGCTTATTTAAAAAGTACGGTGTGAAATGAAACTGAACGTGCATACATGTATTATGAGGATAGAATTCTTAATGTACCTCAGGTTAATCACTTGTGCTGTCAATTTCACTTTCAATATAATTCTAGTTTCCCAGACAGACAGAAATCTCCAGTTGATCTGGTCAGAAGAGAAAAGAAGAAGAAAAACCTGTTGCATTTATCACTAAGATCCACAGTACAACAGCTGAAGGAATCATCAGATAGCAAATCATAACAAAATAGAAGCTAATAGCAAACAAAATAAAAGTAAAAATTATACCGCTTGCATTTAATGCTGCCTGCACCGGTATTTAAAAGAGAATCTTTTAAGGTTTTGCGTGTTCTAGTTACGATTTTGTAGCAAAAACAGGTTCGAATGCAGATTTTAAATAATATAATTAAATGGAATGCTATATGCACCATTAGCTAATTTATCAATTAATGCTTGCTGCATTTCACTAATTTATCACTTTCTCATTCTAATCTCGTGTGTGTCGTCTTCCAAATGTTCATCATTACTTCATAAATATACTCGTGCATCATTATCCACTATCGTTACAGCAATTGACCTGCATATTAGTCAGTCAGTCATATTATTTATTAGAAATCATCACATGTTGATGACAAGATTCACTTTCAACAGTTGCGTACGACATAATTCAAGCTGTTTCTTAATTTTGTACAAGTCTATAACACTGTAAGCACTTTGAAGCGGAATCAAGAATATCGATAACAATCATGCGAATTTATTAATGTGGTTAATATTCCCGAACGTCTTACCTATATAGCCAATAATGTATGGAGTTTTTCAAATACTTGGCTCGCTGATGATTTGTTTTCAAAGGTGATTGATGTATTGAGATTAGTTTGAGTAGTTAACAGTAAGAGACATGAAATACTTAATTAATAATATTTTTTTTTTGGAATTAGTAGAACTTTATAGCACTATGTGTAGACTTCCTTAATCTCCTTTAAATTTATTTTTGTAATTTACATATTTTTTCTTGAGTATTTCTTTCTTCTCTAATTTATAATGCACAGTAATTATAGTTCCTCTATGATAAATTCAATTCTTATCACCTCGAAATCAAGAGTAATACTGAGGAAAAATGCACAGCGATTTGCAATTTTACGCAAAAAGAGAGCGCCAACACATTTTGTGGGGAAGTAAAAGAATGAGAAAAAGAAATGCAATAGAAATGGAAACGAATTATATGCAAACGTCGAAGATGCATATTTGTATAAGCTCTTAATAGCTTTTTATTTAATTAATTTTTTATTCTAGTTTGAAGCAGTCACGTTTTTGAGATCGAGTAAAAAAACGTTACAAGAAATATTTGAAATTTTTCAAGGGGAGTAAAACTATGAAATTCAATGTTTACATTTTGAAGAATAATTTCGCAATTTCTCCAAAATTTAATAAAATAATTAATTCACTTAATTATAGTGCATTAAAATAGATACTGTTTAATTCAGAAGAAGTAGAATTAAGTGAGTTTTGTGGAGTCATTGTCGGTTTGTTACAGTGTGCATTAATCCCCCTAAAAATCTGATTGTATTATTTGAAGAAAGCAAAACATAAGAATTGAAAATTTATAAAAATCATCAATTTTCCTATTAAATAGGTCTTATTTTTCAATAATACTAGGTAATTATAATTCTTTGTACATTTAACTATCATAATACAGTGAAAGTAGGAAGATGAGACATCAATTTCATGATAAATTCTTCACTATAAAAATTGGGCAATTAAATTAAAGAAATTGATCTGTCAAAAGTGAATTTTGTGACTCATTTTTCGTTATCATTATCTAATAAGGAGAGTTTGATTTCACTGGATTAGGAATTGCTTCCTAAATTCCAATTGATAATTTTTGAGTCAACAAACAAAGAGAAGAGAAGCTTGAAAGGGTCAGATTATATTTACTAAATTGAAATTGTTGTTGTCTTTCTTTTCATTTAAACTGATGTGCTGTGCTGTATATGCTGTACTGATTTCAGAATTCCACGCAATGATAAATAATGGCATCTGCCAAACTACATGAAAATGTCGAACTTGAAAGCTTTCTGGTTACCAAACATTCAGCTTGGAAGGGAAAGTACAAGCGAATTTTAACGATTGGTAGTCAAGGAATCGCGACTTATAATCCTGACAAATTCGATTTGACGAATAGATGGCCTTATCAGGATGTGATAAGCGTTGCTCCCAACAAAAATGGAAGTGTAAGTTGATATGATTCACAATACTCGACCGAGATTTATTAATTATTTAATTCTTTGTTTGTAGAATTCCAACGAGTTCATAATTACGCTTAAAAAGGAGAAGAAGATTGATACAATTAGGTTCTCGTCGGAATTTAGGAATGATGTTCTCACTGCTTTATTAAAGTTTCATAAAGAGTTTGCTGAACGTCCACGACATGGACAGAGATTTAATGCTAGAAAGCATCATTGGTCAGGCGTAAAATTACCAGTTACTCTTGAAGTCACTCCATGTTCCTTAGATCAATTAGATCCAGCGACAAATACGATTTTCGCAAGTTACAATTATAAAGATATTGACGGCATTATAGGTATACAAATCATTTATAATTTATGCATGTTTCCAACAATGTTTTTTATTGATTTTTATGCATTTTTCATACATGCACAGGCATTCAAGATGTTGAAGGTGGAATTGTTCTCGCGTATGGTGGACACAGTAGATTACATTTATTCATGGCACTTAATCATCATGAAATTATACAAAATATTGTCCAACAAAGTAATCAGTTTTTGGCATTAGACATCAAAGTTCTTCCCACTCAAATTACTTTAAATCAATTCGAGCGTGAACGTTTTGGCGAATTTCAGAGTGATTTACATCAAACGTCATTGTCTGAATTTACTGTGAGGAAAATATCACCGCGTCATATCGAACCACCAAAAAGATTCTTATGTTTAACTGAAACCACTTTACTTGAACGAGATCCACAAACTTACAATATATGCACGTTGAGACCATTAAAAGAAATCTTTGCATTAACTCGTAATTCCTCAAACATTCAAGTGTTCGGAATTGAATATAAGAATGGTGACATTCGGACTTATTCAACAAATGATCGAGATTCACTTCTTGCAACTCTTCTCGATGCCGTCAGAAGCTCAGGAAATATGGATGTTCATGTACGATCGGCAAATTCTGAACGTAGCAAACGAGTCGTTCCATTACATACATCCGTGGACGAAGAGACTGAAGCAAATTTATTAAAATTTGTCATGAACTTTTATCAATATCCAATAAAACGCACAGAAGTCATGGATCGATTCAACGCCAACATTCCGTATAGTGGATTAAATTATTCTGTGTCTCAAGATGTTAGTACTTTTCATTTCGTACTCAATTTTGTTTATAGAACATTTTCTGTAATTCAATATTTTTATTTACTTATGTTTTTTTTACTGTGGCTGGTGCATTTTTGCGAAATACTCATATTCGTTTCTCATGAGATAGACTGACAGTCTTTCATTGTTCTGACTGATCTGTTTTCTATGTACTTAGTTTTAAAAATTAGATCATGCAGAACAACTAGCCTAATTTTCTTCATAAGCCTGTGTTTGGTGGGCTTATAATAGGAAAAAACTGTTTTTTCGTTCAGTAATCTCCTACTTTATTTCATTTGGGTTCATTCAAATTATTGAAAGCCGTTATAATTTTATTATTAAACAATTATTAACAAAAGTGCGCTATAGTAATACAATCTCCTAAACATACAGCATTAATAACAATTATCTTTTCAATTTCAGACATTATTTGCTGAGAATAAAGAAAGATTAATCACGGCTGCTTTGCAAGCACTTTCAGCAAAAGACACAGATCCAAATGCACTGCAATTAACGAATTTAGAATTGGAGTCGAGCTTTCATGTTTTGAGGAGATTATTAGCTAGTAAAGTTGGATTTGCTGCTTTTACAAACTTGACAGGTTTCCGCGAATCGATGGGAACAAAAGTAGTGAATTCATTAAAGAGAAATGACTTGGCTGTAACGTATGCTGCCATTGATATGGTTAATTCATTAATGCACTCTATGCATTCTGATTATGATCTAAAGCAAGAGCAATTAAACAAATCATCATTGCTTCAATCAAAGCCATTTTTAGAGAGTTTATTAGACATGTGGACACAACATATAACACTTGGAAGTGGTGCTTTAGTAATATCAGCTATGCTTGATTTTCTTACATTTTCTTTATGCGTCCCATATTCGGAGACAACTGAAGGTAAACAATTTGATATTCTTCTTGAAATGGTTGCATCACGAGGACGTTATGTCTATAAGCTATTTCAACATCCTTCGTTGGCAATTGTCAAAGGAGCTGGTTTAATAATGAAGGCATTAATTGAAGAGGGAGATGTGACAGTTGCGAAACAAATGCAAATACTGGCATTAGACGAGGCTGCATTATGCAGACACTTACTTATTGCATTATATACGCCTTCAAATGATTCCACAATGGCGACTCATCGACAGATATCAAAACAATTGATTAATTTATGGGTGAATGAGAACGATGATGCATTAGCACTGCTTGCTAGAATTTTCCCTCAAGGTCTCTTAATGTTCCTCGAGTCTAAAGATGCTGTTCCAAAAGAGGCAGAAGAAGCGGATAAAGTTAATTTCCGTGATAATCTTAAGTTAGCATCACAACATTCCAGTGGCAAGAACGTCCGATTAAATTATCTAATTGAGAAACATTTGGAAGGAATTAAGCATTGGGGTATGTCCTTATTTGATTTGGAGAAACTTCAGCAACAACAGAAGCTTCAAAATCGTCCAGTTGTATTGAGAAATCGTCGTCAACGAAAAAGAAAAGGAGATGGAGTATTCAACTTGCCATTATTCTTCTTTCAGTTCCATAAAAATCACAATATGCCTAATTTAATTTGGAATCATAAGACGAGAGAAGAACTGAGAAGTGCATTAGAAAATGAGTTAAGACAATTTCAGACAGATAAAGATTTATCAGGAAATATGCTCGTTGCATGGAATTTCGAAGAGTTTGAAGTCAAATATAATTGTTTAGCTGATGAGATCAGAATTGGAGATTTTTACATTAGAATGTTACTTGAGAATGAAGATTGGCCACATAATTTAATTAAGAATCCAATAGAATTGTTTAATGCAATTTATCGTAAAGTTCTCGCCCGAAATCGTGTTAATGATGATCAAATGACAATAGTAGCATTGCAGGCACTAGCAAAAGTTTATCAAAAGTATCATGAAGAGATAGGATATTTTAGTGATATAACATACATTCTATTAATGTTGGACAAAACATTATCGCCATCGTTACGAGATGCATTGATAGGCTTTATAAAATGTCTTGTGTCACACAAGGCAAATTGCCGTCCTCTATTGGATTATATAAGTTGCTTAATTGACCTTATTACATTATCGCATTTACATAAGGGAAATGTTGTTCCTAATACGAAGACAAATGTAATTGATTGTGGTGATATGAAGATTATTGAGGAGAAGGATTGGTATTATAATATCGAAAAAGATAAAGAAAATGAGAAGCCAGAAAGGTGTGGACCTGTAACCTTTTCGGATGTAAAATCACTTTACAGTAAGGGCATTATATCACCACGAACACGTTTATGGGCAATTGGAATGGATGGATGGAGATCATTGCAACAAATTCCACAATTAAAATGGTGCTTAATGGCAAAAGGTCAACCTTTATTAAATGAGATTGATTTGTCAACAGAAATATTAGAAATTCTGATAAAATGTACTAGTTTCTTTCCAAGTCGTGCACGTGATGGCGAAGCTGTATTAGTTCCTGGTCCGAGAATCTCTCGACGACTCTCTGAATTCATTTGTTTGCCACATATTGTTCAAGTATGCTTAACACATGATCCACGACTCGTTGAGCGTGTAGCATCACTTTTATGTCAAATCATGTGCGATAATCCTGAAATAACAAAAGTCTATCTAACTGGAGTATTTTATTTCATGCTAATGTACACGGGCAATAACATATTACCCATTGTGAAGTTTCTCAAGATGACTCATATGAAACAAGCATTTCGTAGTGATGACTCTTCAACGTCCGACATAATGCATCGTAGTATATTAGGTCAAATGTTGCCCGAAGCCATGGTGTGCTTCTTGGAGAATTACTCAGCTGAAAAGTTTGCAGAAATTTTTCTCGGTGAATTCGATACGCCTGAAGTCATTTGGAGCTCAGAGATGCGACGGATGTTAATTGAAAAAATTTCAGCACATATTGGTGATTTTATACCGCGCTTAAAGGGACACACAATGGCTAGATATCCATACTTGGCAATTCCCGTTATTAGCTATCCACAACTTGAGCGAGAACTTTTCTGCCATATCTACTATCTTCGACACTTGTGTGATACTCAAAAGTTTCCGAATTGGCCAATTCAGAATCCTGTTTTATTGCTGAAGCATACACTCGATGCATGGCGAAAAGAAGTAGAAAAGAAACCGCCACAAATGACTGTAAAGCAAGCATATGAAAATCTCGGTATTGATATAGAAAAACATCCACAGCCGGAGGAAGCTTTAATACGTAAAAGTTATTATCGTCTCGCTCAACAATATCATCCTGATAAGAATCCAAAAGGCAAAGACATTTTTATGCGCGTTAATCAAGCTTATGAATTTTTATGCTCTCGAACATCGTGGACGACAGACGGTCCAAATCCACACAACATATTCCTCATTCTTAAAACGCAAAGTATTCTCTTCGATCGTTATGCACGAGAATTGAAGCCATACAAATATGCTGGATATTCACAATTAATTGCAACAATAAAACTCGAAACAAAAGACGAACAGCTATTCTCAAAAGCTGTTCCATTATTGAATGCTGCATCAGAATTGTGCTATCATACGGTTCATTGTTCGTCACTTAATGCCGAAGAGTTGAGACGAGAGGGCGGATTAGATGCTCTACTTGATGCATACTCAAGATGTGTCTCAATCATGAGTTTAGACTCAAATCCTTCGGATTTGCATTACCAAATTATATCAAACGTCACAAAATGCTTTGAAGTTGCGTGCACGTTCGAGAAATGCAAGGAGAAAATTATTGAGCTGCCGGAACTGATTGTCGATGTTTGTCGTATTGTGTACTTTAAGGTAAGCTATGCGTGCAATCTTTGATTATAAATCCATATTTCCTTCTATTTTGCTCCTCGTTTCTTTCACATTTTTTTTTTGACATATATGTCTAATTATAAAATTTATTGTTCTACATATTTCACTATTTACCTCTCATATCTATCATATATCTCCCCCTTTATTTCACATCCATTATTGTTATTTAATTTATCGAAGCATGACGAATATTTATGGACCCACTTCCTTGCGTGAAACTCTATGACTGTCTATCTATCATAGACATACAGACACAGACAGCTTATATCGTTTTTTAATTGTACTTATTTACATAGCAATCAGTCGGTTCTCGACGTAATATTGTCGCTTGAAAGACTTTTTCTTTACGATTATGATTATTATTATTCTGAATTCTTCTTTATTTTCTTTTACAGCACCCTCTCTCCATTAATTTGGTCACGAGTCTCGCTGCAAATAACTACCAGCTGCAATGTGATCTCATCCGGAACGGTGTGCTTTGGTCGATACTACTCTTTATGTTTGAATATGATTATACTCTTGAGGAAAGCGGTGTGGAAATTGAGGAGAAAAGTAATAAGCAGGTAAAGTGGACGAACATTAAAATTAAAGCCTAGTAGATTACAATTTCATTAACCGCGCAAAAATTTCAATTAATTTTTGATTGGGGAAGTTTATTCGTTCCTATTTAGCTATTTACATAGATTGTTCATTAAGTGCGGCGAAGAAATTGCCTTTCGAACCCAAGTTCAAGTTTAAGTAAATTGAATCTCATTAACAAATTGGACAAATGCTGTTCTATGTGCTGCTCACCAGCCAGCATTTATTATTATAGTCTTTACCGAATAACAATGAGTTTGATGACATGAAAGAAACAGAGACAGAATAATTGAATCAACCATTTAAATTTATAAATGTATACATGCTTACTGTCCATTATTAATGAAAATTTTCGTTGAAAGTTCCAAGAATTTCTAATTTACATTAATTCAATTCGAGTGTCATAAATTAATTAATGCTTGAATTAAAGTTATAAAAAATTATTATTATTAGATGCATTCGTCCGGAAACTGTCTAATGAAAGCTTAAGTATTTTATATATGATTATAAGAAGCATTTAAGAGGGTTTAATTAATCACGAGGTTAATATCAAACAATTTTCAATTTGTTCCGCCATGATCACACTAAATTTAATAAAAGGATTATATTATATATATTAATTAATCACGAGATGTTGCATTTGTCATTTTATTAGTCTGTGAATTAAAATACAATTTCTTGGGAATTTAATAATTTCATTAAGGCACTAATGGTTCCTTGGTTGTTTAAAGCAGTTTAAGAAACAATGCGAAAATCAATTAAACCTTCAGTAAGTTAAAGCTCAATCTAGAATTCAATAGTTAAATCCCTGGATTTATTTTTTAATCGGGCTTGATTCACTTAAATCCGAATTTTCTAAATTCTAAACGAAAATTAAAGACTTTCCTAGTCAACTTTAATGCCATGAACTTTATGTAATAATCACATAATCAACATTCTTATTAAATTAGACAAAAATCCTCATGTGTAGCATACAAATGTCATCACACACGTACGTCAAAAGTCTATTCATGTAGAAATGATAATTCCATATTTTATTGTATGTCAAAAATATTCTTATGAAAATAAGAGTCTTCCGTAATCATGCTTTATTGGTTCCAATAGTTATGGAAACTATTTCTGATATTTTAATTCCACTTGAATTCCAAAACATTATTCATGAATTTATATTGTTATCCAATTTATTCTTAAGAAAATCTTTCTGTCCCGTAAAGACTCTTGATGCTAGCCTTTTCATCATCACACAGATTTCTTCATTCTTTTCAACATTACTCAAGGATGAATAAGTTCCGAGAAGATGAAGAAAGAAAGAGAAACTACCTCTCATTGAGTCACTCATTTCATTATTATATTCACACCGTTTTCACGTGTGAATCTATTGGTTTTGTTCAGATTGAAAAATCAGTTTTTCACATTTTGTGAGAAAACGAAGCAAAATTGGTTATAAAAGGTCCGAGAAGAAAAGTTTGTGTCTGAAATTTTACATCATTTTCAAAAAACAGATTTCAAATTGGTTTCGGCATTGCTGAGAAAATCGCAAAATACGCTTTCTGTAAGCAAGCAAACAAGCAAGTTAATCAGCAAGAAATCTCAATAAGGGGCCGTTCACTTATTACGTTCGCACTTTAGGGGGGAGGGGGGTTTGAAAAATTGTAACAAAATGTATTGTCATATAAAGTAACAAATCAATAGAAAACTGGTTTACAAGACTTTAAAATACAATCATAATTTGTGAAAATTTTCAAAATTAAATCAATCATAAGTTTAAAAGTAAATGTCTCTAAATCTGTCATTCATATGATGATTAATATGATCCCATCATTGTGATATTTACATTCAAAGATGATTGAATTTTCCAAAATTCGATCGGGCATATTTTTCTTGGCATTTTTGAATTTTCTTCAAAAAAAAAAAACAAATTTTTGCTTTATATCTCAATCCAATAATTCATGAGAATACTAATAGTATCAATCAAAACCTGACCTATTTAGCTGTACAGTATTTTGTTGTTTAAGAAATAAAATACAAAAGAACTTTAACCGTTTTTTTAGAATAATAAATTATCAAAAAAAATAAATTACGAACGTTCAGGGGGGGGGGGGGGGGGGGGGGGGGTTGTGAGTTGTAACAAAGAGGGAGGGGGGGGGTGTAAAAAATCGTTTTTTTGCGTAACGTAATAAGTGAACGGCCCCTAACGAGACATCGTAGAGACTTCTAGTTTTTTACATTTGATCCGTGCTGCTCTATAGAAGAGCTGTATTGTTTTTGAGCAAGGTAGGAACAGCCGTTGCTTCAGAAAAAGCAAAACACTTTCCTTTCTTACGAATTTTTTAAAACAAAAGTTGACTGTGATTTTTATATAATTAAACTTTGGATGAAAAATAAATTTAAAAACTTTTAAATAATGTTCGTTAAGCTTTATACCTTCAAACTTATGCTGAGCGAAGCTCAGTTGACTTATCAAGCTTCATACCTTCATACTTACGCTGGGCAAATCTTGGTCTATATATAAGACTTTTGATGCTACGGTGTGAATATAATCCGCATTGGGTTTCTACCCGATACACTAGTTTTTTTGGGTTGTTGGATGACATCTAAAAATTCCACTTTTCAATATTATCACATTAAGTTTGAGATGCTTGCCTTATTTATGCTGCATCATACCACATTTCATTTCCTTACATTCTATTGGATAGATGGATGGATGGATATATGGTTTGTAGCTGCTCTATTGTACTCACATGAATTTGAAATATTTTCTTAATATTATGTTTATTACTTTACAATCACACGAAATATCATCGTGGGGTTTGTTGATAATTTCTCTATCCTTGCTTCCTTCTTGTTCATCCACATTTGATGTCATGCGATAACATGAACAATACATGAATCATTTGACACTATTTGAATCATACTTGTCGTATCGGTCTCTTGCAAATTCTTGCAGCTACTACATTATGATTATATATATGTATGTATGTTCGTCTTTGGCTTGAAATTTAAAAACTTTATTTCCTTCCTAAAAATTTTGCATTATAACGCAAATTTCAGATTCAAACGAGGTTCAGTCAAAATTCAAATAATTAAAAGTCGTTATTTTTCAAATATTTTTAATCGTTATTCATAATTGGAAATGCGCTCTCGTCACTAGCTCGTGACCATGTTTAAAGTAATTTTGGGATCTACTCATTCACTTTATTTTCTTACAATGAAGTTTGCAAGTTTTTCTTACTCATGAAAATGGAAAAACTAAAAAAGTTTTGAATAAGAAAAGAAATTTTCCTCTCCTTTTTATTCCTTGTCTCTATGTTATGTTCAGTTCAGTTCAGTACAGTGAAAAAGTTCTGTGAATGAAAAATGAGAAACTTACGGTGCTGCTGAAAGTTGTGGCACTAATGCTTTTTAACAATTTCTTCCTCATATAAAATATTTTTTCAACAATTTTTCATTCTTTCTTCAATTCCCTGCAGCAAGTTGCGAATAATCTTGCAAAATCTTCTGTGATTGCATGTGTGGCACTTTCTGGATATAATGTGGTATTTAAAGCGGAAGAGAAGGAAATTGAAGAACCGACCGAGTCATCTGAGACATCATCATCATCAACAACGCCAACAACAACGACTACAGAACGTCCAAAGGAGATACAGGGCAAGACAGAATATGTTGGAACGACACAGCAAGCATCCAACATGTATACATCAAATGCATCGAATATTTTACAAAATAATCAGAGTTTGGCAGTGGCTGGAAAGAATGAGAATCCACCGTCGCCAGGTGAGGATGCTGTAAGCGAGAATGAATCAAATGGCAAGACTGTATCAAAGAGCTTTAGTAAATACACTGTTAGTGGAACGGCAAAGAATATTGTTGTCAAGAGTATTTTAGATATCCTTTTAACACCATTCATTTCAAATAAGCTCGCCGTCGATGCTGAGCATGAAGTTTTAAAAATATTGACCCAAAATACACGTAATCCATATTTGATTTGGGATAATGCAACACGATCACAATTATTAGATTTCCTCGAGCATCAACGTCAGAATAGCTCTAAGGAACAATATTCAGACATAACTGATATTTATAATACAATATCAAAATTCATTTATGATGCAACGCGTGACGAGCTTAAAATTGGCGGTGTTTATATTCGTATTTATAATGAGATGCCCACATTTCCTATCCAAAATCCAAAGATGTTTGTGCTCGATTTATTGGAATATTTGAAACAAGCTCACATGTATTTAAATGGCAAGAAAATCATAAATAATCAACAGCCATTTAATCAGACAAGTCCACAAAAATTACCTGGACAGTTACCAAAGCCATTAATTCCAACGCCCGTGAAGAATCCAAATAATCAACAGAATATTGACAACATCCTCAATGACTATAATCGATCAAAGATTAAGCATCAGTTGGAAAAGAATGAAAATGGAACATCCAAAATTAATTATGATTTCGCGAGTGATCAAAAGTTTGTGGACCATCTTATAATGACATTGAATTCACTCGTTTCTGTGATAAAGCTCAATCCAAACGTTGAGTTACAGTGCATTGGGAATTTTGATATCTTATTTGGATTGCTAAATACGAATATTAAGGAGCAGGTATGCTAATTTTATTTCATATCAGTCAACTTCCATCTCATCTCGTCTCATTTCATCTTGAATAGCTTGAAAATTAACATATTTAATTAATTATTTTTAATAGAATCAAACAATCAAGACATTGGCATTGGAGGTAATCTCACTGCTGTCAAGAAATAAGGAATGTGTAACAGAAATATCAGCGTGTGAAATTTTGGGACAATTCTTGCGAATAATGAAGGACGACGATTTCCAAAAGCAACGAGTTCTAGATACACTATCGGGATTAACGAATGCTCCGCAATTAGTGAAAGAAGCTCACTCAAAAGGTAATTTATTCTATTTGCTATCCTTAGAATGCTACTGGATGCATTTTGTCTGCTATCTGATTTTTTAATGGATTTTTAAAGTTTGAATTTTTCGGGTTATTTTGAATATTTTATGACCGTTAATTTTCAAATAAAATGCGTTCCAATTAGCCATTAGAGACCACCTCCATACTAGAATAATTTAAATTAGCATAAAGTAATTACACATCTTTTTATTTCATTATTATTATTGCTCATTTAAATATTTAAACTCTCACACATATTAAATTATTTTATATTATCTTTTTGTATCTACACCAAAAAATTAAAAACAGGCGTCGTTATCTACCTTCTTGATCAATTTTGCAATTCAAATAACGGTCAGATTCGTGAAACAAGTTCCGAATTATTAGCAAAGATGACGGCTGATAAATTAAGTGGTCCGAAAATCAGAATTACGGTCCAAAAGTTTCTGCCGGCAGTTTTTCTTGATGCCATGATTGATTCACCGTCGATTGCTGTTCAGATGTTTGAGAGTGAACATGAACACCCGGAATTAATATGGAATGAAAAAGTACGTAATCGAGTCTCGCAAATTGTAAGAAGAATGGCTGAAGACTTTTCACAGAAACAACAAACCAGTCCAGAATATCAATGGAAAGATCCAGACATGCTTCAAGAAATCGCAACAAATGAACTTGTCGTTTCCGGCGTTTATCTACGTCTTTATGCTTCAAATCCTGGCTGGACATTGCGCAAACCACGTCAATTCTTATCAGATTTATTGGACTTTATAGTCGAGAATGCAACGCGTCCAGGCACGTCGAAAGATATTTTAGATACATCAACATCAGCACTTGTTGGACTTTTAAATACTTCACCGCATTTAGCTGATGCAGTTCCTGTTCTCGGACATATTCCCAAATTATTTAGACAACTCATTGTTCAGCCAAAAAGCACATTGCCAGTTATTCATCAGTTGGCTTTATCAGAGGTAAAAATTATCTATATATGATGTCTGTAGACGAATTAGAAGGTGAAAAGGGATGATAAATTATGAACAATTCTCATTTGCCTGCCTTTCATCCATGCTCATTTCTTTACTCATTCACTTATTTATTCACTCATTCGCAGGTTTGTGTAGCTGCAATAGCTCAAACGGAATGCATTTTGTCGCTTAAAAAATGCATGGAGAATGAGAAAGACCTGATTGCAACATGCTGTGAGACGTTAACGAGATTATTTAAATGTCAACATGTAAGTACAGAGGAATAAAAAAAATAACAACCTCGATGCTCATATTCTTGCCTTGCCAGACTATCCCCCCATAACTCCTTGTCTCTTTTATTTTTTTGTTATGCTGCATAAAACGATAATTGTCATGTTGTGTGAACGGGTTATGCTGACTAATTCTATTATCTTTCGTTATGACAGGATTCTTTAGTTCGTCAATCGTTGGAATGCATGTTGATACAATATTTACTCAATTTACTCAAATCTCGTGCAAATTTGACCAATAATCCTGCAACAGTTATTGCACAGATTGTGTCGGCATTGAAAACAATGGCTCAAAATCTGAATTATGGTGACCAAGTTTTGCACATTCTAAATTCGGATCCTATTTGGGCGGAATTCAAGGATCAAAATCACGATTTGTTCATAATGGACACGCATAAGAGAGGCATGATTACTGGTAAGTATAAAGCTATAATTAATCAATCAATGAATTTGTGACTGACGAAAATCTGCTTGTTTACACAGCGGGAACATCTAATACAATTGCTGGTTATTTGACACAAGCACCGAATAAAAAGATTGAAGTTGTCATGACTCCGCCACCGATAGATCGAGACGATGTTACAGGATATCCAACTGAGGAACCATAATAAAATTTCTCACACTTGAGCATGAAAAGTGCTTGAAGGCATTTTCTTTATTAAAAGGAATTTTTTGATGATTTGAACAAAAACAACACGTAATAAATGTTAAGACGTATCCAGCAGTAGCCAAAAGCGTATTTTTGGTGGCTATATCAATTTTTAAAGTTAATTATCAACGGTTTTCTTGAGATTCAAAATTCGTAGCGATTTTTAAAATTTGTAACGGATTTTTGAGATTCAAATGAACTGAAAAGAAATGAACTTTCCGTTAATTCATCCAAATCAGGCTAAATGCTTCATTAACAGCACATTCGCTGGTCAAAAATGCGTAATTAATGGATATAAAAAAAGAGAAAATAAAGGCCACAGAATTGAGAGTTATAAAAGAATTCGTAAAATTAATGCAATTAAACTAAAATTACGTACTACTTCTCATCCACATCATCCTTACACATTATCATTACACATACACGGCAAGTCTGAGTTTAGAGAAATGAAAAATAAAGTTTAAAAACAAAAAAATCTTTTAAATTGACACGCAAAAAATATGAAAAATAAATTATAGCGAAATATTTAAATAAAATATACATCAGAGTCAGTCGTACAGGAAGACATGATTATAATAAACAGTTTGTATATTTTTTTGTGAGGCGTGATATCATCAAAAACAACCAATTTATGATGTACGCGAAAAATATTCATTTTTTCTTACTTTAAGTTTTTTGCTTATTAAAATGAAAACTATAAAACTCATATTTAAAATTTAATTACCTATATATTACAGCTGGAAAAAAATTATATGTTATTATGATTAATAATTTTCATTCTACAGTATGTGATACAAAAAATTGCTACTATACATACACCATAAAAAAACATATTATCAAAATATTGTCTCTTTTTTGAATAAAAGATATAAAAAAATTAAAAAAATTAAACGATTTTTTCTTTGCTAAAAACTTGTTATATTTTTCTGCAGGTAATTTGATATTCTCTCTTTTAAGTTATAATTTATACAAACATATTTTCGTTACTAGAGTCTCAAAGTCGTCTTTTAAGTAGCACAAAATAATATGATTTATAGCAGCAAACTCTAATTTTAATTTATAACGGATACTGAAAATTCAATTTTTAACGATAATTTTGAATTCAAATTTTACTTGTATCTTTTCCCATAAGCGAATTCAAAAGAAGCAAAAATTTAAAAAAAAGAAGTCGGTTTCCATCGCATGCACACAGTAAGTATGTAATTATTTAATATCTCTTCGTCGTCTAAAATTACCCTTCATTTTCAAATTTGCAAAATTAATTCCCAAAAGAGCTGAAATTCTCGAGATAATTTGCAATTCGTGGAATCCCCAATTCCTACCTTAATTTCCTCTTTCTTTTTCCTATATTTTTTATGAATAATATATTAATGTATATACACAGATTTATCATCGTCATCATTTTCTGCGAACTAAAGAAGTTTACAAGGGAAAGCCAACTTTTAGTAAGCTGACAAGAATTTCATTGCTGTGCTCTTTTGCATAATTCGTGAGGTTGTTCATGATAAAAGGGCGTCGAAATGAATTACATTTAATATTAAGAAGCTAATATGAGGAACGTGTATAGCAAGCGTACACTATGTTTAGCGCATATTCAATAATAATAAGCGAGCTCATGACGATCATTATTAATTATTCATAATAGTGTAATGCGAACTAATTCGATGATTTTCAACTCCCACCTATCTACCTGCCTTTGGATTGCATGCTTATAATAATCATTCAATTTAATAGTGGTGTTTAACATATCATTTAGACGATATTTTGATGATAAACGACGTAGGTGACATTTTTATAATAATAGTGTTAAATACCCCATTTTAGTGACTTTGATGATGCATTACAAATTTATGGCTTTATGGCGTTATGGCTTGCTTGACAAAATTCATTAAAAACATTATCAACCTTCCAAACTTGCTGAAGTAAGCATAAATGAATTAAATTAATACTTAACAGAATTAGTCAGAATTGAATACAAAATCGCGAATTATACACGCCAAAAATTGTCATACATAAGTTCTACATAATTATCATATATTTCATGAATAATAAACGAGGAGGTAGATAAGTAAACAGAATTTTAATAAGCAATACCAAAGAGTTTTGTATCCTTGGAAATTTTATTATTGTATTATTGAGCGAATATGAGCGGTTCATGTATATATATATTTCGCAAATATGCACGCTTATCTTTCATTTTTATTGTGCACGAAATATGATATGTAAGAATTCAGCTCTTACCGTGATAAAAAGAAAGAAAGCAAAAAGACTTGCCTCAAAAAGAAAGAAAAAAGCCTCAAATTTGTTTAGATAGAAAGAAATGCGATAAATATTGAAAGCGACTTTAATAAATACAAAAGAATTGACTCAATGACATTTTAAAATGTTTATAATATCGTCTTGTGCCATGAAGTCTCATTCCATCAAATATACACAAATAATGATAATCTGTGCGATTATCAAATATAAAACCGTTAGATTCAACCAAAAATTTACCGCCATTTTTGTTTTCCACTTGAAAATTGTTCTTCTAAAATTTCAACTTATTTTATGCTTAAACTTTGTTTTGGTTGTTTCAATTGATCAAAAAAGATGGCAACAAAGCTTCAACTACTTTAGAATGTATCAATTTGAGCTTAAACTTGTCCAATTTTTAAAAAAGTTTCATTAAAAAGTCATTGCTTACATCTGTAAAAATTAAAATCCGAAAAACACGACTTACTATCTAAGAAGATGTTAAACATTTAAACTACCAGCTATTTTTTGATTTAAGGTTTTAAAAACAAATTAAAGCAAATGTAGTGTTTGCCTGAAGATTTCGCAAAAATCTTCCATGAAGCACTACGGTCTCAAAAAAAAAGTTAATGCAAAGCGCCATAACTTCCGCCCCACTAGACAAAAAGGGTTAAATTTTGCCATATAAATCATTACTTTTGGATAATACGGCTGACCTGTAGGTTGGGTGACAAAATTTGAACGACAGAAAGAAACACCTTCCGTGATCCACGCGGAAGCTAATATATATAATATCGATATTTTTCTTAAAAAGCCTACTATGATCAAAACCAAAAATGCTTTAAATTGCATTTTAAAACATATCTTGGCATTATAAATGATAAAGAATGTTAAAATTGACAAAAAATCGATATTTTTTGAAAAATGCCTACTATGATCAAAACCAAAAATGCTTTAAATTGCATTTTAAAATATATCTAGGTTTTATAAATGATAAAAAATGCTAAAATTGACAAAAAATCGATATTTTTTGGAAATAGCCTGCTATGATCAAAACCAAAAATGCTTTAAATTGCATTTTAAAACATATCTAGGTTTTATAAATGAAAAAATATGATAAAATTGACAAAAAATCGATATTTTTTGGAAATAGCCTACTATGATCAAAACCAAAAATGCTTTAAATTGCATTTTAAAACATATCTAGGTTTTATAAATGATAAAAAATGCTAAAATTGACAAAAAATCGATATTTTTTGGAAATAGCCTACTTTGATCAAAACCAAAAATGCTTTAAATTGCATTTTAAAACATATCTAGGTTTTATAAATGATAAAAAATGCTAAAATTGACAAAAAATCGATATTTTTTGGAAATAGCCTGCTATGATCGAAACCAAAAATGCTTTAAATTGCATTTTAAAATATATCTAGGTTTTATAAATGATAAAAAATGTTAAAATTGACAAAAAATCAATATTTTTTGAAAATAGCCTGCTATGATCGAAACCAAAAATGCTTTAAATTGCATTTTAAAACATATCTTTGCATTATAAATGATAAAGAATGATAAAATTGACAAAAAATCGATATTTTTTGGAAAAAGCCTACTATGATCAAAACCAAAACAGCTTTAAATTGCATTTTAAAACATATCTAGGTTTTATAAATAATAAAAAATGCTAAAATTGAAAAAAAATCAATATTTTTTGAAAATAGCCTGCTATGATCAAAACCAAAAAAGCTTTAAATTGCATTTTAAAACATATCTTTGCATTACAAATGATAAACAATGATAAAATTGACAAAAAATCGATATTTTTTGGAAATAGCCTGCTATGATCGAAACCAAAAATGCTTTAAATTGCATTTTAAAACATATCTAGGTTTTATAAATGATAAAAAATGCTAAAATTGACAAAAAATCGATATTTTTTGGAAATAGCCTACTATGATCAAAACCAAAAATGCTTTAAATTGCATTTTAAAATATATCTAGGTTTTATAAATGATAAAAAATGCTAAAATTGACAAAAAATCGATATTTTTTGGAAATAGCCTACTATGATCAAAACCAAAAATGCTTTAAATTGCATTTTAAAATATATCTAGGTTTTATAAATGATAAAAAATGCTAAAATTGACAAAAAATCGATATTTTTTGGAAATAGCCTGCTATGATCAAAACCAAAAATGCTTTAAATTGCATTTTAAAACATATCTAGGTTTTATAAATGATAAAAAATGCTAAAATTGACAAAAAATCGATATTTTTTGGAAATAGCCTGCTATGATCAAAACCAAAAATGCTTTAAATTGCATTTTAAAATATATCTAGGTTTTATAAATGATAAAAAATGCTAAAATTGACAAAAAATCGATATTTTTTGGAAATAGCCTACTATGATCAAAACCAAAAATGCTTTAAATTGCATTTTAAAACATATCTAGGTTTTATAAATGATAAAAAATTCTAAAATTGACAAAAAATCGATATTTTTTGGAAATAGCCTACTATGATCAAAACCAAAAATGCTTTAAATTGCATTTTAAAACATATCTAGGTTTAATAAATGATAAAAAATTCTAAAATTGACAAAAAATCGATATTTTTTGGAAATAGCCTACTATGATCAAAACCAAAAATGCTTTAAATTGCATTTTAAAACATATCTAGGTTTTATAAATGATAGAGAATGCTAAAATTGACAAAAAATCGATATTTTTTGAAAATAGCCTACTATGATCAAAACCAAAAATGCTTTAAATTGCATTTTAAAACATATCTAGGTTTTATAAATGATAAAAAATTCTAAAATTGACAAAAAAATCGATATTTTTTGGAAATAGCCTACTATGATCAAAACCAAAAATGCTTTAAATTGCATTTTAAAACATATCTAGGTTTTATAAATGATAAAAAATGCTAAAATTGACAAAAAATCGATATTTTTTGGAAATAGCCTACTATGATCGAAACTAAAAATGCTTTAAATTGCATTTTAAAATATATCTAGGTTTTATAAATGATAAAAAATGATAAAATTGACAAAGAATCGATATTTTTTGGAAATAGCCTACTATGATCGAAACCAAAAATGCTTTAAATTGCATTTTAAAACATATCTAGGTTTTATAAATGAAAAAATATGATAAAATTGACAAAAAATCGATATTTTTTGGAAATAGCCTACTATGATCGAAACCAAAAATGCTTTAAATTGCATTTTAAAACATATCTAGGTTTTATAAATGAAAAAATATGATAAAATTGACAAAAAATCGATATTTTTTGGAAATAGCCTACTATGATCAAAACCAAAAATGCTTTAAATTGCATTTTAAAACATATCTAGGTTTTATAAATGATAAAAAATGCTAAAATTGACAAAAAATCGATATTTTTTGGAAATAGCCTACTATGATCAAAACCAAAAATGCTTTAAATTGCATTTTAAAACATATCTAGGTTTTATAAATGATAAAAAATGCTAAAATTGACAAAAAATCGATATTTTTTGGAAATAGCCTGCTATGATCGAAACCAAAAATGCTTTAAATTGCATTTTAAAACATATCTTTGCATTATAAATGATAAAAAATGCTAAAATT